GACAGAAGCGTCTTTGGCAAGTTTATGGACGCGCGTTGGTGACAATTTCGATCTTGGGCCTCATAACTGTAGCCCTTTACGTTGCTGCACATAGTTCCCACCTCTTTAAACACCACAAAGCTAGCCATGATCATGAGCATTTTGCCGTGGAAGCACCGCGGCCAAGGAGATCTATACCATTCTTCAGTGTAGCCGCGGCTGTTCCCACGGAGGACATCCCGATAGGAGCGTTACCAAATCACAATGCCGGCAAAAGACGAAGAAAACCCATCAAGGAATCCGTGGAATCTCAGCGGAAGAGTCAAAGTTCAACAGAAATACCAAAGATTGCTGAAAGTCTATCGGCTACTGTGGAGAATTCCGAGATGGAGCGCAAGAAGAGGGATCACATTATCATCCGCGAAGAGGGAGATTATCAAGTCATGGGCCGTTTTCGGCACCTGCACAAGAACTGCCTGGCATGCGTGATCACTCCGCATCACCCGCCGTGGTCTCATCGTCCTGGCCAGAGACCACACAGTGCATGCGGTATGTTAAATGACTCAATAACGTGCTCATGTAATCTCTTATCTTGTGCTTGTTAATTCAATTGTACGCCCCATCATTACCACGACTAAATTACACTCATGCAACGGTCAAAAGGAACATGATTGGAAAATTGAGGGAAAAAAGATAAAATGAGGGTCTTCAATTTCAAAATGCGTAAAACCGGATTCAATTCAGAACCAAGACTTCAATACTTGTGGTAATAATGGATACTGTTCAAATCTTGAGCGAGAGCTGAAAAGAATCAGCAAATGGTATCAGTAAGAACGTTTTGTTTTTGAATATCAATTAGATCTTTTATTTGTGCCATAGATTATAAAGGATTGAAGCAATGAATTTTACAAAACACTAATATTTTTCTGAAATATCCGATACAGCGATATAATTGTGATCAAATACGATGTCTTTTAGTAGTAATTCATTCCTCTTTCTATGAGTTATTTGAGTGTTAATTGAGTATGAGCACCACTTCGTGTATTCGACTTGTATTCAACCCACCTTTTAGAATTTTTCTATAGCAAACGCTCTCATGTAGAATTTCTCTGCGAAGCTTTCAAGTGTTTCCCTTCTTTTTATCGGTCCTCCATGTCACATCTCACCTTATTTTCCGCCTATTTCTTTGTTTGTAAGAAATGACACGTTCTTCATTATGTCTATCCCCAGGAATGGTAAAATGTTCAACAATATTTCTCCTTATTTTTTGTTTTATCTTTCTTTTTTTATATCGCTCACTCAATATCTTAACCATTTGATCTTGTTTATTTGGAGTTTGAGCCAAAGTGGAGCAAATTGTGTAAGATACAAGACGCATAATTTTTCTCAAATAGAAAAAAAAGCTGAATATTCTTGAGCATTTAAGGCGTGCCAATAAAATAAACGCTAAATGGCGTAAATGCTTTATAACTTGACCATCTCGTGCCGGAAAAAATCTAGCTTATCGGTATTGGTCGCTTCATTGACTGAATTTAGTGTGTGCAATAATAATAAACAAGACATTTAATGAAGATGGAGTTTTTCTCGTATATTCAACACGAGATGATAAATTGAGGCACGAGAGGAATTAGAGGGAAAAAGGGTGGCGAATAGGAAACGTGCTGACCTAAATTAGCCGCGTTTTCTCATGGATTGCGATGGAAAAATTGATTCGTTACGTGGTAGCAAATAAAATCCTGGATTTAAGTATCCGTGGCAAATGTGTATAAATTCAAAATCCCAGTTTCTTATCTCAATACGCACCAATATTTTATTTTCAATGTGTCGAATGACGATATACAGATATTCTGTGGCGCGAATTATGCTTCATTTATACTATTCGCCAACAATGTTGCCTTGTAATGTGCGCAGAGATTGAGTGGGTGGGATTCTTTCTACGTATTTTTCTTGCCACGTTATAGCATAAAATTGCACCTCAGAGCCTATTTTCGCACTTTTCAACGTGTTTATCTAGTGGCGAAAGGTGTGAAAGATGTGATCACGAAATCAGTGTAAAAGTGGCAAGGCGGCAATCAGCCAGGAAACAGTGAGTGAGATATGTAATTAAGGCCGATTGCACGCCAAAAGGGTCACGAGAATCGTTGCTCACTAATTTATCATCTTCTGCATTATGAATACATATACAATTTCTTGCACAGTCCAGGAAACAAAGGTGCTCGAGAGAATTTGTGTATCTCACTTTTCTTTTTAACACAATTTACATGCCAGCATTTCGATTTTGTGAACATTTGCCTACTCACGAATTATTAATATCGCAATGGAACTTCAGAGATAATGAATATGTTGACCAGGCAGATTTAATCCCATGATGAGAACTGGTGTGTCCGCATGATGAATGACAATTAGTCCGTGATGCCAGGCCAGATTCACGAAAAATACTGTAAAAAATGAATGGGAGCCTTTGTGTCTTGGCAAAAAGATGCCGATTCACCAGACAGGATGGAATTGCATGCCAGGGGACACTCATGGTAAATAAACTCTTTTTAATGACGGATGGGATACGCTTAATGATACAGATGGGTGCCATTTGGGGCGGTTAAAACCCCCTTAGCGAAACTTTTCTCGATCAATTTGTGTGGTCTCTGGCGTACTCTTAATACATTTCACGGAGCTTTCCAGTGTGTGTGCGAAAAGAAATTCCATTTGGCGTTGAGTTATGCATACATACGATGCTCATTGAGTGAAATCATGAATGACATCAACTTTTAAATGACAGTCCAGTGGAAATTTTCATTGAGAATGTTATGTTTACTTATGCAAAGGTATTTTACAAGGTGTGGGAAGTATTTGCCGCTGTTTTTGCTTTCAATCTAAATTTCTTTTGAAGTTTTCTTTCCATAAGCCGAACATGTTAAGGGAGAACTGAGCTGCCTTTAACTAAGAGGTGAAATCTTGAGAATTTTCGGCAAATTACAAGTATATGTTCACCAAGATGTGGAACAAATTTTGTAAAACTGAAGAAATTCTTATTAGGTGTTATTTTAAATTTTCATTTTGTCTACAAGATATGAAATTATTCTGTAGTAACTTCGATGTCGACTTCACGACATTAATACTACTCGAAGCTTGATCTCAATGCGCCTTCTTTAATAGGTCTATCATTCAGTGTTGATGGGTTAATGAACGAAAAAGATGTGGTGAACTGTCATCAAAGGCAAAGATGCTCTTCATTCCATTAAATATTCTGTGGTACAAGTGGGAGGAGGAATGGGAGGTACAGTCACGATAAATTGTATAGGATACATGATAGAGCATGATTTTAATTAATTTAACAGTTATTGAATTCAACGAGAGAGAGAAACTGTCGAGATTTTTCACCTTAACTGTGCAATTGAGGACCTTCTACAATTTCGAGGAGAAACACTTTGGAGTGTAAGAGAATCTTTATGCATGTTTTCCTGCATATGCATAACTTTTTGTCTCACCTCTTCATATTGTTCTATCTCTTGAAATATCTCCCTTTTTCCCCAACTGGCGCGGAATGACGTGTGGTGAAGAGGAAAGAATGCTTAAGACACTTCATGGATTTATGGCAGTTGAAACATCGTGAATTTTGTACCTACAAGTCTTCCTGGATTCTCAGTTTGGAACCTGTTCTCTGGCTCGGTATACTCATGCTGCCGTTTCTCTCAATTCGGAATCTATGAACGCTCTCATGTGATTATCAAATAGAGTTGGAAACATTGCTTAGATTCATGTGTGTGCCTAGAGACATTTATCTCTGACTTGATGGTATTGTGGCAAGCACGTGCTTCAACTTTGCCAGCATAGCGAAGAAATTCCTTTATAATTTCCATCCCCATCATCAATTTATTCCCATTCTCAGATAGAAGTACTGGGCGGTCGTATTTTCTAGGGAATTCTTTTAAAAATCAACTATTTCCTCCCACAATTTAAGCGAAAGTCTCGTGATAAGTTATAGTCTCACTAATCGATGGAAATCCAACATGAACTGTTATTTAATCTTTCATCTTGCCATTTGTGGCAAGTTGCCAAAGAAGCCTGGCTTCATGCACTGAATAAAAAGTGGAAGACAGCAGTGGAAATCTTGTCATATGACACTTTTGTTTCTTAAAACGACTGTCTTATTGACTGAGGCTTATTGGATTCCAAAATTGTGGCGATTGCCAAGTTAATTTTATTGAGATGATTTTGTCAATGAAACTGCAAACAGCAGTTTCTGGTTTCAGCTCCCAGAGGCCATAAAATGCCATAAAATTAACTCGACATACACTGCACGGCAACCCACACGCAGTGTCTGTGAGGCCCTTTGATTGTGAGAACCTCAGACCGCGCGTCTCCATTGAGTGCTTTTCCCCACAAAATCGTTTATACTATTTATTTTGTACAAAATCCACCGTTCACCCAGCGACAGTGTGGGTGGAAAACTCATTCAGTTACCGCCTTTTTTCAATGCTGTCGCCGGGCACACAAATGTCACAGACCCTACAGATGAGGAAGAAGGTCAAGAAGACCATCAAGTTGTGAATGGGACTCCTACATATAACATACCCATTGAGGAATTGCCATCTTTCCGCTCCGCGTGCTGGATAATTAATTAGAAATGTGTGTACAAGAAAATACACACCTCGCACTCTATTGATAGAATAAATTGGGTTATTCACTGCTTGATTATATTACGTACATAAGTGTGCTGAGTCAGAAACTATTTATATGTATAGAGAATTTAAAATTCTCAAAAGAAGCCCGTGATTAATATTCAGCCAATCAAAGGATAGGAAGCTCCCGCTGAACAATGTGTTAATTACTAAACAATGCCAAAGTGATTTAGAAAAATCACATTACAGGTAAAACGGCCCTCTTATCGCCATCTGGACTTCGCCCATCATGATTTCTCTGCGAGCGTGATAATCTCTCAGCAGTCACTATTTATAGAGGCATGCTTAGGGAATTGAGAGGCACAATTGACGACTGGCTAATTAATCTCCGTTTGTTTTCAGAATGCCTCTGCAACCGCCATGGATCCTCCCACTTGCGCTGTAATCCGGCCACGGGACAATGCAAATGCAAAGTTCACGTGACGGGAAAATCGTGCGATCGATGCGAGGATGGATTTTACAATCTCGAAGCAGGATGTCGTCCCTGTGAATGCAGTGAGTTGGGCAGTAAAAACAACATTTGCAATATATACACTGGACAGTGTCACTGCAAACAGGGCGTCACTGGACAATTGTGCGATATTTGCCAAGAGGATCACTACGGATTTTCAGAACACGGTTGCAAAAGTAAGTAGAGTTTACTTTATGCTTTCACGACAAAGATTTCTTATTCTTTTCGGTATCAATCTAGTTCCGGGTGTAACATTTATAACTTTGAATTACATGAATAATTTCCTGATCCTTGGCTATTTATTTGAAACGGAAAACGTGACCAGAATAGGATACTCTGCCATGTGGCAGATTTATTATACTCCGCAAATTCAATAGTCATGCAATCGATTAATTCGCTTCTTTATTACATTTCTATGTAGAATGCGACTCTTGTCCCACCTCTTCATATGTTTGTGACCAAGAAACCGGCCGGTGCGTCTGCCCACCCCTGAGCAAAGGTGCAGAGTGCAATCAGTGCACCCAGAATGCGTGGGGATGGCAGCACAGACTTGGCTGTCGCGCTTGTGAGTGTGACAAGATGGGATCCATTGGCCAGTCTTGTGACACCGTCAATGGTCAGTGTTCCTGTCGCGAGGGATTCTTCGGGAGGACATGCAATCAGTGCTCACTGGGTTACTTTGGCTATCCGCACTGCACCCGATGTAACTGCGATGTTCGAGGCTCCGTTCGGAAGCATTGGCTGGATGTCATTGAGTGCGACCACTTGGGCCAGTGTCCATGCAAGGAGCTTGTGACTGGACTTAAGTGTGATCAGTGCCGTCAAGCAACGTTCGGCCTCTCAACGCAGAACTATGAAGGATGCACGCGATGTTACTGCTTTGGGCGGTCACAGGAATGTACTCAGAGTCACTTGTCGTGGGGACAGATTCGTCAAGCTGGAGCGAGAAACTTGAGTGTGGAGTACATCACGCCGTTCAAGCCATTAACTGAGGACTACGATTATGTAATTGTCATTCAGATGGAGGGCGCAACTGTGCACAAGGAAGATGCGGATATTGAAAAAATAGGTCGCGTGAGTCTGATTCCCAGCTCCACTGGCAACGTATCCATTGGATCCTACATAAAATTTCACCATCCGCTCTATTTTCAACTTCCGCCCACGTTCTTCGGCGACCAAACACGAAGCTATGGAGGATTTCTTCAGTTCACCCTCACCACTGAGGGTTGTGACACGAAATTGAGTGAAGACATCCTCCGGAATTATCCACTCGTGCAGATTCACTCCCATGGGAAATTTGTGATTGAGTACTTTGGCCAGGAGATCTACAACACATCGCCTAATGTCACATTCAAAGTGCCTATAAGCGAGAGATTCTGGGTTCATCGCCACTTCAATCTCGAGTACAATGTCACAAGAGGAATGATGATGACTGCGCTCCAAGACATTCAGCACATTTTCGTGCGAGGAACAACATTGGCAGACGTCACTCAAGTGGTCATTAGCAATATTAGTCTGGACACGGGCATTTTCTTGGCAGGTTCCACGAACAACATAGCACTCGGGGTGGAGATTTGCGAATGCCCTGAAAGCTACGATGGACATTCTTGCCAGAATCCCTCAGAGGGATTCTACAGGTGGAAGAATGTCACAGACGTGGAGATCAGCACGAATCTGGAGGAGATTGTGGGCTTTGCCATTCCCTGCAGCTGCAACGGACGCAGTGAGAAATGTGATCGTGAGACTGGAATATGTTTGGTGAGTATTACACATATGTAGGTAGAAGAAGAGAGGGAATCTGTTTACAAGCGAATAGCTACATTTTCTCCTATTTATTCTCTATTTAATAATATGAAATACTCTTCTCAGAAATGTCGCGAAAACACTGGAGGACATCACTGTGAATCTTGTGCAGAGGGATTCTATGGCAATCCAAACTCTGATCTTGGCTGCTTGGCGTGTCCATGTCCCGAGACGAGGAAGAACTTTGCCCGCGGTTGTCATGTTCACAATAAGGTTGTGAGTTGCATATGCAAGCCAGGCTACACTGGATTGCGCTGTGAACGATGTCTGTCGGGCTTTTTTGGCACACCTGATGATGATGAGGGCTTCTGTGAGGCGTGCGAATGCAACCTGGAAGGAATCATCTCGAGTGAGTGTGATGAGAAGACTGGACAATGCAACTGTCGTCCAGGAATCACGGGCAGACGCTGTGACCAGTGCTTAGAGGAGCGACATGTGATTCAGAATGGGAGATGTCGCCTCTGTGACAACTGCACACTCACTTTATTAGACAGTGCTGATGATATTGGAGAGCTTCTTGACAGCCTGGATGTGCACATCAATTCGATTGAGATCGTCGCTCCTTGGGCGACCGTTGAGGATTTTGAGACGGAGAGTGACAAACTGATTGAGGCTTTAGAGAGGCGCGAGCATGCAATGCAAACTCTCCAGCGATTTAATGATACCAGAATTGATAAAATGACATCGAGGGCTAATAATATCTTCACTCGGGGTAGTAAATTGCCTTCAAAGATGGAGAAAAGAAGACACGCCGTGGATTCCCTGAAGAGCGATGCAGAATCTCTGTTCGAGCTAATTAATAATATCGGAGATAAAATTCTAAATACTATTGATGAACTGAATTCGTACGGAACTCACGATCATCACACAAATCTTCAAACTGCTCTAAGTGAGGCAAATGAATATCTCCAGCAGATTCGAGATAGTCATATTGGTGGCAATTCAGTTAATGGAGAAATTCCTTGCTGGCAGCGTCAATACAGCGATTGGCTCAACATGTCGAAATTGGCTAAGCAGCAGATGAAGAATCTCCGAAATCTGAGAGCAGAATTGCTAGGATTTGGCGAGAAATTTGATCAGTTTATGGACTTTTACGGAAATACCTCGGTTAATGTGGACAAATCTGGAGATCTTATTGAAGATTCAGCTTCAATTCTCGAAGGACTTATGGAGAAATTCAATAAAATTGCAGCACTGAGGGATGAAAGTGAGAAATATCCCTACTTGAATAAGAAGGAAGCCTTCGATGTGATGGCCAATGAGATTAACGAGAATGCTGAGAGTCTGGAGAGAGATATTGACGATATGGATTTGCTGTGCGATAAACTCAATGGCACACTTGCGGATGCTGATGAGAAGCTGTTTAATCTGGAGGAGTACATTCTGCCCAAGGCTAAGATACATGCCGAGGAGCTCATGAAAAAGGCACAGAGGGGAAGAGACCTTTTCCAGGATGCGAAAGAAGGCGCTGAACGGGCTCTGAAAGCTGTTACTGTCTACAAGAACATTACTCAACTTGTTGAGGAAGCCAAAACAGCCGCCAAGGAGACGAAGGATGCAGCAATTAAGGCTCAAAGTGAGTTATCTCCATCTGGAAATGTGTCCCTCGTAGAGAGAGCCACAAATTCTCTAGAGGACTCTCAGGACATTATTGAGGAAGCCGTGAAGGAGAAAAGAAAAATCGAAGGTGAGTCTCTGGTAATTTTAACAGCTGAAGAAATGGGGTGGAAGGAGTAAAAAAGTTTCCATCGCAAGTAATGAAGGGAAAACTATTGGAAAACTAAGCAAAAATAAACTTTCCGGCTAGAGTGAAGAGATAAGATTATCGTCACGAGGGAAGGTTAATTCTTGCTGTTTCGCCAGGAATAAGAAAAGACATGCCGCGAGCAAAGATGAATAAATATCTACGAAGTATACTTACATATATTATAATTTATAAACAAACTATTTTAATGGATGAATAAATACAGAAAAGTCTACCCATCTAATGCAATAATGGATTGAAAAGTTTTAAAACATCATGGGTGGAAAATTTATCATGCCTCGTCACGCGATTCCACTGGAAATTTTCTTCAATTCCTCAAAATGATTTTGTCGCATTTGCCATACCAATTTTATCGTATTGTGCCCCATAATTAATTTTCGTAATTTATTTTCTACAACATTAAATTAATATTACATGCAGATTGAACTAAAGTTAGCATTTGCCTTCTTATTGATTTTTCTTGCCTTGTTGCGGTGTATTTTGAGCGTGTGGCATTTTGAACAATTCCTAAACGAGTTATACTACTTAGATTTAAAAGGTAATAAATGAATCCTATGGGTACGTCACTGTAGTCATCATACGCCCACACTCTGAAAATTAAGCCGTTTTTGTCGTATTTGAATTTTTGCTTGAGAAACAGGGAAAACGTTCAATTTCTCTCAGTGCAGAGAGACTCTAATACGTCTTTGGTCATTTATTTGCAGGTCTGAAGGAGTCTCTGGAGGCTTTTCAGGATGTGGTGAAAAACACCAAGCATACAGTCTTCAAAACTGGCGTTGATAATAATCGCGTGATGGATGATTTGAGCACTTTATCCAATGTGGAGTCAATGAATACCATTCGTGGTATGAAAGACACTGCAGAGAAAATCTCAACACAAATGCAAGATGTTCATCGCATTGCGGAAAATATGAACAGTGGCGTTTATCTGCTGAAGGCTAAGCTTCAAACACTTCAGCCTGACTGGGAAGCAGACTTAGGTTTTGCCCAGGAGAACGTTTCAGTCAGTACGAGTAGCATTAAAGCTGCGACAAGCATGTTGCTGGGAATGGAAAAAATGGCTGAGAAGAACAATGAAATTGTCCAGAACTGGAATGACACTCTTTCTGCCCAGCTGAAAGCGCTCAAAGACAAAATTGCCAGAGCCAAGCATGCAGCTGAAGGCATTCGAGTGTCCATAGAATCAGATGCTGGTGATTGCAAGAGATCTTATATGCCCCAAACATTCGGATTGACAACATCCAACACGATCAAAATGTCAATTGCTTTGAATCGCAATATCAATGATTCTAGTTTAATCTTCATCCAGGGCGAAGATCAGAGGTTCATTGCTGTGGAAATGGTGAAAAGTCACATAAGATTAGTGTGGAATTTGGGTGGAAAAACAACGATAGTTACGCACCCTGTTGAGATGCAACACAAGGATCCCAAGCTCGATGAAGCATGGTATCAGATTGAAGCAAACCGAACAATGAACATTGGTAGTCTGACAGTCCGTCAAATGACTCAGTACGGCACCTACTCCAACTCATCAGTTGAAACCGGAGACAGTGGCATTGAATACACGAGATTTAGCCTCTCACCAGCTAATAGAGTCTGGATTGGAGGAGTACCCAAGGATATTCGTCCTCCTCAGCTCATTAACCGTGAGGGTCTCGGAGTTACTCTCTATCAGCTCTACATTGATGATAAGCAATACGGATTGTGGCATTTTGCGCACAGCGAAGGAGAATGCGGTGGAGCAATGCTTGGACCTCAACAGTCAACTTCAACCATCAATTCGAGGTATTTTAACGGCGAAGGATACTCGGTGGTCAAGAAGACTCGACCTAAACCCTACAGAAGGACGCTGTTCTCAGTGCAAATGCAATTCCGGACACGTGATGAGAATGCACTTCTCTTTCTCACAGTTGATGAAAAGAATGTAAGTAGTTATTGATAAATGAATCATTATTATTATTATTACATCCTTATTAATGTTTTCCTATTTTTCAGAACCGTTCAATTTCACTCACACTGCATGAGGGACGAATTGTTTTCCGTATTGACTATGGTGGTGAGATAAAGCTCGAGATCAACACAACGAAGAAGTTCAACACTGGCGAGTGGGTTAATGTGGCAGCAGCTAGAGAGTTCAGCAAGGGCAGTACAGAGAATGGCAGTTTGATTGTGGATAAAGAGAATCATACTGGCTCCCCAACGGCTCCGATAGGCCTTGATTCTCTCCCTCATCTGTCCAATACGAGCTACTATTTGGGAGGAGTGCCACCGGGTTTCAAGTCTGGCACATCTAAAGCTCCTGGCGCAGATCATGCCTTTCTGGGATGCATGAAGGACATTCAGATTAATCAAGAGACGTACGATCCTCTCGACAGTTCTAATTACTTCGGCGTTGAGCCATCGTGCAAGGAGAACATCGCCAGGTAATTAAATTACGAGTATATTGCACTTATTGGCACGTTGCACGCGATGTTAATTGATGTTTTCCTGCAGAGGCGGATTCCACGGCGATGGATATGTAGAGTTGCCATCTCACACGTTGAATCGTGTGGCGAACTTTGCCTTTGTCTTCAGAACACTCCAGCCGGAATGTTTGCTGCTCTTGGGCGGGTATCCGGGAAGAGTTCTGGTGGATTATGATGAGAAGGATTTGCGAGGGAATTATTCTGTGTGGCTCCAAGAGGGTCATGTGAACCTCTGGATAAATGCAGGAAGTGGTGGGATTCATCTCACGTCAGAGATGATGGTTAATGATGGAGAGTACCATGTTGTGAGTGTAACGAAGACCAAGAGAAAGCTTCAGTTGCGAGTCGATGATAAACTCCAGGCATCGAAGCATCTCCCAAATGCCTCCAGCATTGTGACACTGCCTGGGGAAGAAGGCGGTTTGTTCTTGGGTGGAGTACCGCTGACTCAGGAGTTTGACGACTTGCCGCCGACTGAGAAAATCGGGCTCATGGGCTCCATACAGGACATTGTCTTCAACAACGACACAGTTTCACTAGGGAATCCCGTTAATTTTGAAGGTGTGGAATTGGGCAGAACTGGACCGTCGATGGGCCTCAATGGACATCTGCATGAAGTGCTGCTGAAGACAGAACCAATTGGGAAGAGCTTCACTCCATCTCCTGAAGGTTGTCACAGGGTGAGTGACTGTCACAGGGCACTTTCTCAATCTCTAGCGAAATAGTCACTTTTTCTGTCTCACAAAATTATCTATTTACTAACTAATCTTGGATCTCCCTAGGACGAGACTTGGAAGTGCGCATAGAAAATCAACTAATACCGTAATTTGCTACTCACAACACACAAGTAGTAATTTCTCTATTTTGGCAATTTTTTCTATGATGAACTTTCTCTGGAAGTTATATCCTTATATTGTATATTTTAGTTGAGTGATTCCTTATTGTGAAACAGTGTGTAAAAGGCTTTTAGAGTAATCGCCTCAAATCTTGTGCGTTTAAATGGTTTAAATGTAGAAAAACACATCACCATATAAAAAATGAGCAATATTTCTGTTATCATCCATTAACAATTTGGGAGGCATTTTCTGGGTAATTTAAAGTTATTTTATATACCACAGTTTAAAAGTGTTTCTCTAACGAACATATGATAACTAAAACTGCCTTGATAGGTGGGCAGCTACTCTTATGAGCCGAATGCCTTCAAATTTGGCGATGGACCTCGAAGTCACTCCATCTTAAACATCCCTGGAAGACACATGTGGCAAAAGAACTTCAACATCCAGTTCGATTTCCGTACTTTTTATCCCAATGGTGTGCTCTTCGTGGCGCCAGGATCGAAGGAGAAGCAGAAGCATTACGTAGTTCTTACGCTGAGAGATGGCCACGTCTTGCTGGTAATCAGAGGAAGGCGCCGAGAGGAGCGTCGACTGCCTCTAAAACTGAACGATGGCCACTGGCATCATGTATCGCTGAGCAGTGTGGACAGGAAGGCAACATTGAGTGTGGAAGCTGGAGGCTCCAGGCACAATAGTTCGGCTCAGTTGAAGCTCCCCAAGAGGATTAGTGCGGCAAATGTATTATCAATCGGTGGGATTCCTGAAAATTCTCTCCTTTTGCCGACTGAAATGGTGAGCTAGAAAGTTATGATAGGAAAAAAATCCTCTTATTTTTTTCTTTTTATCACTGTACGGCCACGGGCGATTTTGCCCATATGGCCAATCCATTTATACTAATCTTCTCTACATTTCAGATCGCCAAACTGGAAGAATTCAAGGGATGCATTCGACGATTTAGCGTTAATAATGTAACTCAGGATCTCGCGCGTCCTGGAAAACACCTTAATATTGGCCAGTGCTTTCCACGCATTGAAAAGGGATCATATTTTCCTGGAGACGCCTATGCAACTTACAGTAAGTGAATTTACATACACTCACAATAGAAAAAAAAGCTTATCTGACTAAAATCCTATTTCCAGAGCGCGTATTTCATGTGGGAAAGTATTTAGAATTTGTGCTAGACTTCCGGACATCGGAACTCAATGGAATTCTTCTAAGTGTCTCAGAACCAGTTGGCTATCCCGCCCTGTCGCTGGAAGTCTTCATGGGCAAAGTGGTGATGTCGTGTGATTTCGGGAATGGGAATCCAATCAGAGTGGAAACCGATCTGCCCTCGAAATTCGCCCTGTGCGACAATCAGTGGCACACCGTGTCAGCATTGTATGACTCGGAACAATTGGCTCTCCGCATCGACAATCAACCCATGTTGAACAATCTGGCATCCCTCCAGCCGTCCAACATTTCTCGGATGATTCACACTAAATCCCCGCTCCATATTGGCGGCATTCCAGGCAAGTACACACTTGAGAGATGCGTTCTGTCCAAGTATTATGCAATAATCTGAGCGTTAGGAAATTACAGCTGGAAATTATGTCTCGAATTACAATGTTATTAATGAACGAGTCAGGCAGTTAATTTTCTGAAAATATGCTTAAATTGGAGTGCATTTAAAGCCTTTATTCACAATGTGATTTGTCTATTAATCCTGGACATGATATTTGTAAAATTATTTAAATATATTTCACGGATTGGGCGTTATTTCTTGACTGCTGACGTCCTTTTAATCAATGTCAGTTACAACAATTTCGTTCAGTACCTTTTTATAGACAATGTATGGATTTCTAATGTATTGTTTCCTACGAACGCAAAGCATTGTACAAATACGCAAATCCAATATATTCTAACATGTGTTTTCACAGAAAATGCCTCGAGTGGAACGCTTCTGAGCCGGGAGAACTTCAAGGGTTGCATCCGAAACGTGATGATTCGCGGTGAGATTAGGGACTGGACTGACATGGACGGCTTGACCAATGTACTTCTGAGCGAGTGTTTCACGACGGGCAATTGAGGTGACTGATTTTTGCTTGCGCCCTTGAGAGGCTTCCTTCTGTCGTGCTCTTTGTGTCATGTGACGAAAACGGAAAGGAGAGCGCGAATGTAGCATCACAGCGAACCCACCATCAATCACGGCAGCAAAAGAAGGTTGTCACGTTTAACGCTAAAATGCGTTTCACGTGTATAGGAAGAAGGCTCTTGTATTGTTCTTTTACTGCTGAGGAAGGAGGGGAAAAAATAACGTGGAAATGTGTTCAAAAATATTTTTCATTTACTTTTAATTGCCTTAATTAATATGCTAATAACTGCCATACAGAAATTGTTGTATTTTGCCAAGGCTAAGAAGTTGAAGTCATATAAAATAAATTATTTAATAGTGAAATGATATCTGTGGATGGAATCAAATTAAAATTGTGGATGAAGTAAAATCGTAAAAAACTATTTGTAGCGATTATACTTTCATATTCGTGACAATAATTCATCTGTGCCAAGTTTATAATTTTGTGCTCTCCAGAGAAAGAGTAGTGAAGAAAGTTTTTTTTTTATATTGTATTGCATATTAATGTAAGATAGTTGAGTAAGTTAAATTATTTTCGCAGTAATTTTTTTGCCATATATTAAAATGAATTATTTATATATGCAAAGAACAACCAATGGAATTTTCCTTTGTTGAATTAGAATGGAAAAATTTGGGGAAATTTTGAATCTTCGCCGGTGGAAGTGGTTCAGCGCAGCCGCCGCGTGGATGGTGAACGCCGTGGGGTAGGCAAATAAGATTTTGGCGGGAAGTATGTAAATCTGCCACCCTCGCATAAAATCGGCCTTTCCTTTCATTGTTTTGGAAAAAACCACTTGAGGAATATTTTTGCCACGCGCAAAAACGTGACGACAGTCGCGTTTGGGCCAAAAATAGACACTTTAGTAGTTGTCCTAAGCTTTCATTAGGTGCGTCTTGTTTGCCACAAACAACGCATAAAAGAAGTTATTGTCAAGGCTCAGATTAAGTACAGCAGATTCTCACAGAAAAAATAGAGAATTAATTCACTGAAACACAAAGAATTTCAAGCAAAACAGTAGTTAAACGGTTAAGCGAAAAGATAACATGTAACTGATAACATTTGAGTCGTCTCAAGAGTTAGAAGATTGAGATAAGAAATTTCCATCAGATTTTATCCTTGATTTTCTGCGACATTGACGCATGATTTCTATTGTATATGAATGCCAAGAGTCTCATTGAAGAATATTACTCGTTTGCATTTTTATCAAACCGTTTATGCTATTTTTTTCCGAAGAAATTGTCGCTAGAGTTATCATGAAATGTGTCACGAAATTTGTGTGAATCATCAATTATGCTAAAGAGAAATTTTACTTCCTGGAATTCTCGCACAAGAAATGGTGAAATATTCTTACAACATTCTCATCAAACACTCGAAAGTCAATTAAGAAACACCAAGTTTTTCACACACGCGTTATTTTGACGCCAAGAGAAAAATATTGCTCAGCTTAAAGTGGCCTAATTGGCATTTTTGGGCACTACTGAAGATTTATTGAAAGATTTTATGATCTCTATTTTAACGATTTTCAGCGTCAAAGAGCATCGATAAAAGTTTTTATGCGTTGTTGCTTCACAAAAGAGGTCAATTTGAACATTGAATCGGTGAAAAACTTAGAATCGTTACATATAGACATACTTTTACACTAATTTACATTTTTTTCAGTTATTATAAATAATCACATCAAAAGTCACTTTCATTTGTCTTTTTATGCAACTTCATTCAAAAGAAAACCGCCTCGAAGTTCATTGAGAAAAAAAACAAACTTATGATGAGAATATAATTGGCAGAACAATTAAGTCGGAATTCTATTTCAAATGCCTCTTTGTGATGTGTTTGTTCACATGCGCTTTCCTATAATCTTCGAAAATTTCCACCGCGTGACGAAGCCTCAACTTCTTATTTGCCTTTTTATTGAATTAGGGGTGTATTTTACTGGGGCTTCACTTTGTATGAAACATTTGTGCCAGCAGATAAGCCAACATCTTTGACCGCGTTTTGCCAAAATCAGCGAAATCAGTTACAAACGAAATCTGACCTTTCTCCACGTTGTTTATCAACTTTTTCGTGCTCCAAATATTCCTGGCATGAATGTAGGTAATACATTATCTAATTTTTTTTCATTGGTAATCAGAGAAAAAGTCTCCTTATCAATCAACTCACTGCTGCTTTCTATTTTAAGCGCACTTTGTGGAAGTGACTTGGTAGTTGACGATTCAGGAGTTTTTTTTATTAATTATTCTGTAATGGTCATGTACGCAACAGAAGAAACCCTATCTTGACCCTGTTCAGCACTTATCTTTCTGGCCGACAGAGACTCGATTAAGGTTTGACCTGAATGTCACAAGAGTGGCAGAAAAAGTTTAGGAGAGGAATTGTTCTTAGATATGAAATTGGGAAATGCGCACAATGGAGAATTAAACATATTAAATTTATTGATTTCGATCGAAATTACTCACTGAAAAGAAACACTGATGATCTCAAAGACGCGATTAACAGTTATCAAACGGTTATTTGAGGTTTTTTCTATTCTAACTATGTTTTTTGTCACTAAATTCAGAATCAGATTTCATAATTTTTTAGTGAAATATGCGTAATTTCAATCTATTCTATTCAACAGATTCTTTCTCTTTCAAAATTTAACAATTCATTTTTCGCGGCTCAAAACACATATAAAACTGTCCAGAAAGGCACAGTGATTATTTAAATCAAAATGCGTATCGCACTTCTATTCACACGTCAATCATGTAGCCACATGGTATACTTGCGCAATTGTTATGCGACACTTCTCACTATTGATAACTTCATAATGAGGTGATTACACTACATATGTGTACACATAGTATCGCTAAAAAATTCAGTTTCTATGTATAGCTATCGCGCGAAATCTTTCCGGATTCAGGGTGTTGGGGATTTGCTGTGATAAGAGATTTAAATGGCTATTCGCGATACCGCGACATCATTTCGCGAAAAGAGATTATCAGTATCACGACCACGAGGCTCGGGATTAGTGTTCTGCGAGACGCTACAGCTGATTGACGCCCTCGAAAGTGGTGTGGAATCTACCGTCGCGTCAGTGAATTTCCGGGGAATATAATTAACACCGGTAGTCTGAAATTTTGTGAATTTCTCACGAAGCAGTGAAATCATCATCCGATTCTTGTGCGTTTCCCAGTGCGCGCGTCGCTTCGTCATAATCACAATGTGCCTCTCTCTGTCTCGCTGCCACTCGCTGCTCGAACTGGATGGCGGTTCTGTGTGTGTGGCTGGAGAGTTCGTAACGGAAAGTTGATATTGTTTTCGCGAAAAATATACTTCATGTGGCGCCGATGGCACGGCAATCAGTTGCAAACTGAACTCAGACGCGGTGATACACGCATTTTTGGTCACATTGTCACGGAAGTGCCTCACTAATTCAATTTAAATATCACTTTTGAGTAACTCCTGAACACCCTTTGAATTTCCTTCAGTGGGACGCCTTCAAATTCCTTAATCTTTAGCAAATAGTGTAAAGAAACCAGGAGTGAAACGCTGTGAGAAATTGAACTGTGGCGGTTTTTTTTTGCCTTAATCAACTGGTTGAAGTGAAAGAAGTGCACCGTGATATTGGAAAAAAGAGTGAAATTGATCAAATGACTTGAAAACATCTGCACAAGAGTTGAGAGTTGTTTTCACAAGGCATCTTAGTACAGCTGTCCCAGGAATTAAACTCTGAAAAAACGACAGATCTTTACACAGACTTCATCGAAATGCTGCAAGTTCAGGTGACTAATTTTTTAAGCATGTGTGTCTTTAAGCGTCAAATCTCAAACATGAGACAGACGAAAATGGAAATGAGGTGGATTTTTGCTTGTGCGTCACACAATTGAGAGATAAATTAATTCCCCTCTTCTGTGATAAGATAATTCAGTTAAATTGAAGGCAAAGTGAGACGCCGTAATTCAATGAGCACTCCTTTAGTAGATTTATGTCCCATCCGCCAGATGCACTCTGCACCATTTGGCCTTCGTGACCTCTTCACCTCCACACTGCTATGTATTAGGATCAGATTGATGTTTACAAAACACGGCGTGCGTTTAATAAAGTGCATATAACAATATTCCCATCTACTTCCTTTTCACACGAGTGCAGAGGGAGGAAAACCTTGTGATAGACATAGTACACTTACATACATAATATGCTCTATGGTCATTCCTCAAATATACCACAAACGGCAAAATTTCCACCGAGAGAAATCACAAAGTGTACCTGACCCAAAAAATCACTGTATTTTTATTTATTGTAAAGTGAGAAGCGAAAAATTGACTTTCAGCATGAGATTACAATCAAATGGAGTCATATCCTGAGCAATTAGTGAAATATATTGAGGTCAGAAATGTATAAATCTATTTCTCACTTAATATTTACTGGGGCTGTTTATATTGAAATAGTCACCGTACCGTAAAATGGAGGCAAAGTAGAGAAACCCATCGTTTGGGAAATCACAGACTGAAAACAAGAGTTTCTTTGTCTTTAAGCACCTTGCAAGGAATTCTTGTAATTTATTAACTTTACTGTCTCGATGGCTCTGACAGTTTCGTAGAGTTTTCACTATCGCACTCAGAGACGTGCTTAGGCAAATTCTCTTCTTCGAAGAAGACGTGAGACTACAGTAATGATCGCTCAAGGTGATGCTGTATAGTGTCAATTCCGCGTATTATTATTCATTGTGATGCATTGAATAAGATGAAATCTCATGCATAGGAACTCAACGTAGATTCTGATGAAGTCACGTCTGTGATACTTTGTCATCTGCAATCAATGGAATGTCAATTAAAGTGAAGATTCAGTTGAATGCGAAGATCTTAATTTTCTGTAACATACTTATATTTCAGTTAAATTAATTATTTTTACACATTGACTATTTCTTATGTGCTCACATTCTTTTTACTTTTCTCCTAAATCTCTTAAATTTTACCAGTTTATTCATACAAATATGTTCCAAATGCATCAAAATCTGTATTGTATGACGATATCTGAAGCAATTTTAAACACAAATAGTTTATTGTTTCGCTTTGGTTGCCCGTAAGCGAGAAGAAAGCTACTCAAAATTCCTTCAAATGAAATACCAAACATTTTGTTTATTATGCCAGCAACACACTTCTCTCGTTCCTGAATCTTGTCATAGGTTGCAAGTGTTTATTGGTAGTGATGGGAATCCTCTCAGTTGGGAAAATCCTCGCCATCCCTGTCGCTCTTGTGCGATTCACCGAAATACGTAAAAATATTGATCTGCGCGCCAAACTCTGTCACATTTCAGGATGGAGAGATGAATCGGGTCAGAATGAGTCACCATCCATGGGAAAACAGGCTCCCATCTTGTAAGCTAGAGCATCATTGGGGGAGAGCTGCGTAAATAAGACATTCTGTTTTATCTATGTAGATTGATTTGTTGCGAAACTATATTTCTCCAATGGATTCTGGGAGAGAACATAGTGGTCACTCTCCTTCTCTCCTGAGATTATGAGGGGACTCTCTGAGTATTCAAGGCTTATTTGGCCATGTCAATGGGCCTTGAAAGTGTGATGGAACATAAAAATGCGCAGTGAAATTGCGATAGGGATTTAATTAAAATTTTGGGTAATGGCACACATTCCAGCGTCGTGGGTAATTAGTGGATGGAAGGTTGCAAGTTAGAGATTGAGATTTATGATGAGCTGAAGAGAAAATTGGATGTTGTGAAAATTCCCTGAAGGCATATCGATTCACGAGGAAGATTCAACAGATTCCCCTCTTCTCTCATCCTCAGACTCTCTCCTCTCACGCAAAATCCCTTACACAATTCGAGGGTCCTTGGGGAAGGGTAAAGGGGATTTTCACCTTCGACATTAAGCCGTATACTGCGGCACTTCGCGATGCAGTCTTTACATAAAGGCATTGCCTAAGAAAATGTGTCAGAATAACACTTGTTTGAGAATTCGTTTGATTTTGCAATCATTGCATCACACTTTGATAAATAAAGAATGTACATGTTTCACTTTTTATTCTCTTTCTCCATTTCGCCTTCGGAGTATGTCTGAGTGCGTGCTTCTTCTTTTTTTTCACATGTGGAATGCTGTGAAGGAAAATAACCAAAAGCATAGAGAAACGCGTTCCATTGATCATTGAACCCTAAACAGGGACCCGTAGAGCAACTGTCTGCATTGAGAGTGGATTCCCAACAGAGGCGAACTTCTTTGAATTGAACTTTACACCCCGAGAGAGAGAATCATTTGCTGCGCCACAACATATTATCGATTCAGAACACACGCCGCACACAAACAATTAACTCCATCCCTGGAAGAGCGAGGAAATTCAATTAATGAGTCTGGCATAATAATTGAAAAAAGAATTCCTCCTCCAATTGCGCCTTATTGCAATTGAATTCAATTGAACTACTATTTTTAATCCCTGAATTCCACAAGAAAGATTTAATATGTATGTTCCTATGTCCACGCAAGGAAGATTTTCCATTTGAAACATAAGTAGATAATAAGGTAAATAATTAAATTTTAATAGAGCCGCATTTTATTTCAGAGTCCTTGGTAAAGTACATATATATGGCTTCAAGTTTAATTTCTTCCTTCCTTTTATTATTATATTTTCGTGGAATTCCATGAGCCTTCAGGCAATCTTAAAGAAAATTTTAGGAAACCTAAATATGATTCGGTTTATGTCTTTTTTTTGGATATATGGGTTAAGCATGATGATCCTGAAAGATACTTTTCTCTTTCAGCAAGATGAGACAATGTGTTTTTATTTATTTGTTCTAAGTGATTATAGAAAATCTACTGTAATTTTCACATTTTCACGCATTTTCTTTCAATGGACAGTGCGTACAATTAGGCGGAGTTTTCAATTGTGAAGATTGTGAATCAGTCTAATAATTAAAGTGTGTGCACAAAATCTGGTTTCTGAAAGATTAGTACTGTAAGAAAGGGCAATTTTAACCCAATCAAATATCCTGTAAACTCGATAATTTTAAATACTTCTCCAAATATTCTCTTCGTACACGAAAAAACCCGCATTCAATCTCATATGTTCCCCTCGATGGCAGACGTGTATTGAAATTCAAAATAGACCCTCACTCAACATTCATAGAACCCTCACAAAGTCCCTGCTCGAATTACTCAAAAGACGCAGCCAGGCTGTAATGAACTTATAGGATCTTGGAGAAAAATGTGAGTTTAACCTTATTGATCATAGTGAAACATTATAATTCCTCTGGTTCTGTGAGTTACACTGCCACATGAGAGAAATAGAGAGAACAAAGAGTCAAGCATTTCAAATTGTACACTCTCGCAAAGAGACTTTCGATAAATTGTTCCTGCATTGTGACTTCGTTCGTCCCTTTCTATCGTGTGTAAAGTGCAATTTTGCTGGCACACATGACGATGGGCTCCGCTCTGAGAGTGAGAGAGTGCGCAGGTTCCGTGTGATAAAGCGCGTTTCTCTCCGGCTGGTGAGAAATATTTTCAGTCTCGAATGGTTGTTCAGTGAGTGTGGTTGATGTGATACTTCAGTGACTTGGTGGCACGACAAGTAGACAGAGAAGGCGCGATAGATTTTGAGGGGAAAGATAGTAGGCATAAGAGCAAGAGAGGTTGCTGTGTGCTTTGCTGGATTCCCAAAGTGAGATGGAAAAGAGTTTGTGTTGATTCTCAAAGTGTGTCTCTGGCGATATACAAAATCATACGATTACCTAGCCAAATCACCTAAGAGTTCTTTGCATTCTCCAAGAGGAGTTGCACAGTGTAAGCCAGAACAATAAGTCCACCTCCTCACTTTATCCATTCAATCTTTATTTGTGTGTCTCTCTTGACGCCCCACAAAACAACACAATGAGATTCGTGTATAGATTTTCGCTGGTTGTCTCACAGATTCGTAGGTCCGGTTTTGAGGATGTGAAAATGAATAATGCTCGCCTTGAGAGCGAACTCAGGCACCATTGATTTCCTACTGGGGGCGAAGAAAACCGCCCACATCGTCCAATACTCTCAATGGAAAAGTATATTTCGTGTTATTTTTTATTTGCTTATTTCTAACATTTCTAATGTAAAAATAAATCGCGATGGAGAAGAAAAAAGTTAATCCACGCGAGAGTGTTCACCTCAAGTGCTTTCATGTAATATAGACGATTTGGTGGAACATTTCGTGGCAAATGAAATTTTATGTATATTCTGTGTGATTGCTAAAAGAGCACGTTCTTCTCAATTGTTTCATTAAAAATATTGCACGTTTTTGGAGGACATACACATCGTTATTCACAAGTGAATAAGATTTTATCTGGAAAATGTCGATTTAGCAAAGCTAATACCAATTCATCTTATTGGGAACATTAGTAGAGTGCGTATAAAAATGATTAATCCCCATAATTTGTGAGAGATTATTTTGGATGAGAGGATGAAAGCGAAGACAGCAAATGTTTTTTCTCAAAGTCACATTATTGATGAAAGTTTCCATTCTGTATCGCATTCTATGGGCCATAAAGCCGCTATTTTTTGACTGTTCATCTCATTGGAAATAGGAAACCATCGAACGTCACTCGATGACGATGAAAATTTCTTTGACAAGCACACATATTAATAAGTACTCGCCAGAATTGAAAAATAAACACAGTGTCTGTGTTTATTTGTGTGCGTGCGAAAATGTGAGATAAATGAGTAATTTGGAAGTTAGAAGACCTTTGAAGGACATTCTGCGACTTATTAATAGTTGCTCAAGGTTCTTCGCAGACTCTGCGTGATGCTCATCTCGTCCCTTAAGTGATATCGGACACGGTGGAGAATAACAATTTGCCTTCTCAGTGGTGAAATGTGAAGAAAAATTGGGTCGAAGTTTTGCTGGAGTGGTGCCAAAAAGCCGCAGAGTTCAAATACAGCATTTTTTATTTATATACACTCCATTTGGCCATTTCACCTCATTTCTTGCCCAATGGAGAGTCAGTCACATTTCAGCACTTTGTCAAATAAAAAGCACTGCGGAAGAAGCAATGACTTTGGGTGGATCCCCAGTCTTAATTACTCAAATTCAAGGTGGTCCAACCGCATTGTGTAACACTTGAGGGAAATGCTGAAAAGCCATCAATCACGCCGAAGTCCGAACATTCGATAATTCACACGTTTTGCCGACTTGGAATGCGTGGAATCTTCATGTGTTTACAATTTTGCAATGCACATCACTCGGTCTCTAGTCAATTGCCAAAAATTTTCTCAATTCCACACTGCTAATCGGTGATTTATAGTAGGGAGACGTGGGGCAATATTGGTATACCTTTAGTGGTGACCTGCCGTAATTTGCGTGACAAGCAATCAATTATTTTTAGATTACCCGAACAATAAAAGAAACAACGTAAAAGAGGACATAAACCCTTGAATTGAAAAATTTTTTTGTGATTTTTCTTCTCATATACTTCAGTATGACACTAGATTAATCTCCCACTTACTACCAAACAGGTTAAATGGGTTGTACAGCATTTTTAAGCAAATATATTTCAAGCATTTATACGATGTGTTTTATTCTGCAATACACGTGATGGCGTCACTTTAATTTAGTCTTCAAAAGTATCAATATTTCTCACCATCACCTTATAAAAAGATTCTTGCCATGGGTGATGATCCAAGGGGAAGTTCACAAAAAGCCATACTAATTAGCAAATAAGAATAATTGTTGGTAGCAAAAATAGGCAAGAGAGAAAAAGGTCAATTGGTTGTTAAAATCGTCTTCAATGGCGCGCAATGGGAATTGGCAGGAGTTTGTATGGAATTGATACAGAAGAGGAGGAGGAGGAGAAAAGAATGCTTTATAGGCATGTCATCGACCCACAAAGTCGCTCTCAGAAAAGAATTCAAGTCTTAAGAGTTGAGATTATATTCCGTCCACGCACAGACATCGTGCAACATGTAAGACGCGCTCAAGATTTAGCTGGACTCCTCGCGATGGTCGCGCGGTGTGGAATTCAAGTAGCGCGTTTGCTTGGGCATCTGGCTTGTGCTCCAATATAAACCAATTGGATGTAAAAGGTGGTTGGCTTGATGTTGATAATTTCCAGAGCATTTTGTGCTTTCTATTGCACTTTGCTCGAATAACACTTCTAAAACCGGTAATAATTGTATGATACGTTTGCTTCTAAGCATGGATTGTGTGGCCGCCCAGAGTGCATAAGATGAGCTACATACGAATGAGAACAGACAATCCATTTTTGTGCGATAGTCAATTGCCACAAAATGAAAGTGTTGTACTTATTTGATCACCACTGTTTAGTGATTTAATTGAATTTACCTTGGCAGAACGATGGATGAAATGGGAGAGAGCAAAAGATGTCAATAGAAATTGAAGCCCACAGTCTAATTATTTATTGTTTTATGCCACTGTAAAACTAAAGTGGTTATTTAGCAAACGGAAAAGAAAATGTACAATGAAAGAGAGCGATTAATTCTACTGTAAAATTATTATTTATGTCATGGATCTCACTCGATGTGTCGGTTGAGTAATTTGCACCATAAATATTTTAATGCACACTTTGAAAAATAAAACATCCATATTGCATTATGTGCACTTATTTATTTCATTGATGATGAAAGTTCAGTTTCTATCGATTCAACTTGCGGTGATATCGCGAGCCTTTTTGTATGGTAAAGAGTAATAGCACTTTACTCGTATTGTACATATATGATCATTTCCGCATAAATGTAATTTGCCATTTGTACGACTTGTCATAAATTTCCCTCTGCGATTTTCTCCACAATAAAACCGAACAAAACCAATCGTTCTCTTTTGCAATGACTGTACTTTTCATTGGAGTGGTGATTAACTGTGGCATAGCGAGGACAATTATGGTATAAAAATCAAAACCAAGATTTCAAGACGTAAAAAAATGCAAGAACATCAAACTTTGTTAAATAGTTTTTCATATTTGTTTGTCAGATAGGAAGTAATACGTTGGATTGGCGTTAGAATGAAATTCTCCAATTAGATTAATTGCTGCGGTTTGCAATTGAGGAGTCAATTAGGAAAATTAATTCTCCTCATGGTGTCTATAAATTATAATTTTATTTGGAATACCAAAACGCTTCATTTTTAGCTCTTGGCACAGGAAGATCACTTCTGAGAGATCTCCCGGGAAATTATGTTGAATGTGAAAGTAAGAAAAGAGTGTGTTGACATGAGTAACAAAGGCGTGAAGAATGGAAAATTTAATAATCAGTAGACTAGACATACGTTTAATTATTTAAAATTGTCATATCCGGCTTAGGGTTAGGGGACTCTTATTCACTGTTCAGAACTGGCTCTTCTACTGGATTGGTATTTGTGAATTATGTGTTTATGCAATATTTAATACCAACACTTTGCTATAATGTATTATAATCTAAAAATAATTGCGCAAAAATTCCAATTTAATTTCATTCCTAAAATACGCTTCATTGACTCTCATTGAATGCTTCAATGCTGTATTGCAATATGTATTTTCTTTTATGTTTCATGGATACACATTTAAGAGAATTTACAAATTTCACTAGAAAATTAGCTTAGGGCAGAAAAACAAGAGCAGTATATTACTAAATACAATATTTAAGTTTCATATAGAGGGAAAATATTGTGGACATTGTTTGGTAAACTACTAATTGATTAATGACTCTTCTTGCGGATATTTACTCTTGCCACGTGAAGAATGTAGAGAGGATTTTCTTTTAGAAACATTCCCTTCCACTAACTGACTTTACTGCCCCATTCTTCGTGGCTTTTCGCTTTTGTGTGTTTATCATGAAATGCTCCACCATGTCAATTTTCTTCCACTTTGCGCGAGGGTGGAAAGTTTTCCTCTTTTCCGCGGGGAAACGCAGAAGAGGTGAAATAGGGCCGAAAGGGGGAGGGCAACAGAGACACCAATGAAAATTTATTTGCATGTTATTCGCAAAGGTGAATCATTTTGTGTTGTTTAGTGGAAAATTCGTGATTTCTCGTCATCGTTACAATCAGGAGAGATAATAAAATATTCTAGGTTTTAACTTATAACGACTGTGCGCATACCTTCGAAACGTCAACAACGAAGAGGCGGTATTCCATTGAACCACTGTGTAAGTTGGACTGAAAGTGAGAAATTGCTAGGACACATTAATGTGGATGTAAAGTGACTTTTGCACCTGCAGCCAAAGTGCTGGCCACACTTGAAGAACTGCTTGGAGTGCAAATGGTGCATCTGATAAGCGCAACCTCAATATCACTGCTTCTGAATTGATCGGTGGCAAGGCAGGTGGAAACGTCAGGGTCGACTCATTCTTCCATGTGACTTAAGACCGTACGAAGATCTCTAAAGGAATCATGTTGGATCGTGAGCCTGTAAGTTCTAATACAAATGCAAACAAATCTCTTGGCAAAGTAATATGGAATTTCAATTGGCCTCCACTTTGTAAGAAAACGCCATACACTGTTATTATTTATTTGTGATCCACACCAATAATTACCTACATGCAAGTACGATTTTTCTTGCATTCACTGTACCGGAGTTCATGCTGAAAAAACGTATCCATGAGTAAAATTTAGGTGTGTTTGTTTCTCTCATTTCATCTTTTATGCAATATCTTTTTATTACATTCACTTGAGCTGCAAACTTTTCAATTAACTCTTTGATCGATTGAACAAGAAATATAGCGGGAAAAGTGAAAGACTTTTTTTTAATTGCCAACAACTGAATTCAGCCATGTTTGTCATTGAAAAAAATTTATGAAAATTAGGGTTTTATATAAAATTGTGAACAGAAGCTGAACACAGAACATTATTAATTACAATTCACATGCATCGCATGTGAATAATAATATATTTGAAGGGAAAAAACTGTGCAATCACAACACAAGTGTGTGTGTACTCAAATACTAAAACCAAAGTGTGCATATGAAAGTTTAACGTGGATCCTCAAATATCACCGAGGGATAGAATTTGATATTTTACTATTACGACTTCAGTGAAAAATTGGCCTTCTCACTTTTCTAAGATTTGCAAATAATGATTTTATCTTTTTTATTTGCGAATGCACAATTTAGTCTCTATTTTTAAACTGCTTTGTAGTCTTGTATACAGAATAATAAAACTGAGAAAAACCTCTACACTTTCCTAAAAGCCACAAATGACGATTTCATGCGTTTAATGTTCACCTTCATGGTGATTTTAGGGCTCAATGATCTTGTGCATTTTCATAGCATTTTACTGCTTTTGGCAGGGTTTCAAGTCATACGTAATTGGGTTAAATTTCATTAAATTTGTATAAATTATTGATCCCATTTTCCCAACAGAAACCATCTCGCATTCATGTTGCGCTGTGCAGTCAAAAATAAGATTAATGATATTTATAGAAGCTCTGCAACACTCGTTCAAGAAATGTATTTCTTTCAATTTGCACACAAATTGAGCGAATTATGTAAAATCTAAATGGATAATTTCACTTTCGAAATGCAATTTTTATCTTGCAATTTATAACACACTTTTGTGATAAATATGTGATACATTACGGTGTTTATCTATTGGAATTGAAGTTTAGAAAATTTATCTGCACATGTGCAAGTGAAATTGGAATAAGTTAATCTCGAAGTTTGTGATTTTCATTGAGAAATTCACATATCAATCTATGCATATTTATATTTATGTCTGAATGATCACTGTTTGTGCCGTTTGGAAATCTCACTTTGGAGATTGCGACAAAAATAACTTTTTTCTCCATGTAGGCGCAAAAACATTCACGGTGAAAGTGATTCAATGTCAAGTGGACGGAAATTGACTTGAACTTTCTCGCAAAATTCCCTCGAATCGACTTATTTTCTGATGGTTTTATATGGTGTTATAATTGAAAATCAGTCTACGAAAATCACCCCTTAGTTCGATTAATGATTTTTCTACCTCGCGCAATTGTTGGGCCAACCATATGATTTTCTATTCATCCTTTCCGCATACTTTTGCCACCTAAAAATAGTTGCAGGTGCCTATTTTTAGTCGCGATGGTATTGGATTTTCGTTAGTAGCACGCTGGCGAATGTCTGTAACGAATTGATGAATAGGTTATATTGGCAATAAATAAAATTTTCCCTAACATCGCGGAGTATGTGTGGGTGGCATTGAAGAAATCAAATTGTTGGGGTAGTCTTTTTTGCAGTTTGCCTGCCTTATTAAGTAATCATTTTGTATATACAGCACCTAAAACCATGCGATTTCAACATAGAAAATTGTCGTGAATTACCTCAAAACTATAATGAGATGGTATTGAGTTGAAAATTGAATTGCAGAACCTTAACTTTTAGCCATCAATTGAGATGTTCATGTCCAATTGTGTTTATTAAACTGATGTGTAATGTGAAATCGCACAAGAAACGTCCTTAGCGTGTTTGAATGGGTGAAATGGATTATGAGGCCTCCTTGTTGTGGCTTTTTCATTCAACAAGTAAACTCCACCTTGTCTGCGGATCAATTTTGCACACTTTTAACGCACACACACTCACACACTAAACCCACAAAATGGTGTGAGTTTTTACAACGAATTGATTAAGATTGACAAAGGCAGTCGGCAGAACATCGTGAGGATTACAGAGAAAAAATCCAACTAATGTTGAGAATCCACGACTAATAAATTCTTTCAAATTGCCTTTTGCCCAACGCAAAACAGGGTCACGAGGTCTCGAGGGTAATATTTCGCCTGGACATGGAATTAAGAGCCAAAGAAAGAAAAACCCAGAGAGGAAGTGACTAATCTAAAATTTAACTCTATGATAGACATAACTGTTTCATGCTGTTCTCAACAGTTTTATTACATATTTTCATTGTTACGAAGGGTTTTCTCTTTTTGCTCTCCTCCTTTGCCTTCTTTGTCCCTGAGCTGGAAGTCACCTTTTGGTCATTTCCACTATTAAATACTTTTTCGTAGACGCCTTTCTCCACCATTACAAGCCTTTGTACTATTTATGGCAGTATTAACTGGCCATTGACATGGCAATCCATTGAATATGCGCTTAGGACAATGGTCTCTGTACGCACACGAGAGACGCGCAATCTGTACACATAGTCACTCACACATAAAGTATTTCGTTGACCTCTCTTGAAGTTCAAATGGCCTTTTAATTGACAATGCGGATTTTTCGCTGAAAATATTGAATAATACAGAATGGCTAAAAAATATTCATGAAATGCCAGAGGAACGCGCGTGCTGTTATTGCATATTAATGTAATTTTAGGCTCTTTCCCATTTAACTCATGTACATCATTACTGGGTTTAAAATCGATCAAGTTTAGGGGAAAGTCGCATGAAAAGCTTACACGATACAGTTGGAAAAATCAATAGCAAAAAATAATGTCGCATTGTGTATTTACTGAAATGTGAAACCATGTAACACAAGTTAAAAATGGCAAATTGCGTTAAGTGGCTTATTGACGTTATGTATAAAAAAATACATATACATATATACGTATATATGTTTTGAAATGTAAGTACAAAACCAATAGGACACTTCACACCCTACATTAGTGAAGTGAATAATTTGTGTTTCACACGTTTAATATTCCTAAGACTGGGACTGTGTGCACGATGATATGATAGTTTTGCCACAAAAGTCTAAAGGTGATTCTGAAAGGTCGAACAAACAAACGCATACGAAATTTATTGGCCATTTTGTTAGGTGGGCACAATTTCTACATATGTATTTTCATAACACAGTTCTATAGGAATTTAATGAAAATATCTCAATACTATCATGGGTTTTATACGGGAAATTTAAAAAGAAAATAGTAATGTGAGTTTTCTAACAAATTTCTAGGAAGATTGAAAAGAAACTGAATCAAAAATCATTCTAATACAGTCTTAGTTAACTTTTCTCTAGTACATATCCGCAAGGAAACTTAATCTTGACGTCACCAGTTTAAAGGAATGTTCTAAATATTCCTAAACAATCAGACAATATTAAAATCATTTGCAAATTGACTCAACAAAGAAAATCTTGAAATATTGATTATATTGAATATTTTCCTGACAGATTAATCAAACAACTCTCAATGTTGACTCAGCAATTAATGATTGCATAGAAATCTTTCCTGTTTCACCTGAGGAATGCTTGTTGATGGAGTAAATACGCAGTAATGCACGTTGTCTGAAAAATTCCTCTCTCTCTCTCTCTGTTCACAGGTACAAATTGACAATGACAAGTGTCGAAGGGAGCGTGAGGTGCGCCTGTCCGGGTCACGAATTGATCTCGCCGCCCTTTGCGGTGGCCCCAGAAGTGGACGGAATGGCACAATGGACGCCTTGGGGAATGCCCTGCCGCCTCTCAGTCCGCAGAGCAACAACAACCCTTCACCCACGGATCACTTGGAGCCAAAATCTATTCCAATGACACCCTCAGGTAAATTCCTGTTTCCTGTCGCTACCAGAACCCATACACGCCGTGTGTTTTGTGTGTGGGCCCATTGAGAATATGGCTCCCCATCAATTGCTAGTGTATGATAAACAGAAGAAAAAAACGTGGAAAGATTTAATACATGGCACGCCTATGTCGTGAATGGCGGTAAAATGCAATATTTATGTTCAATTGTTTGGTGGGTGCCAGCATAAAACGGAAACACTCATGTGAAATTCATTCGCAGAAGACACGCGCTCTTGTTTTCACTGCCATGGACATATTTTGGGCAATTTGATGAATTCCTTAGCGAAATAACTTGGCACTCATCGCAGAAAAGTGCGCACCCCGTGATAAATGATTACAATCAAGCATACTATATTTGTAGGAAAATATAATAATTATACTGTTTTCTTTTTATTTGTTCGCGAATTAACAGAGGTGCTGGAATTGTACAATAGCCGATTGACAGAGTATGAACGACAGGAAGTGGAGAAATATCCGGAAATTTGGTATCTCGGACTGGATGCATGTAAAATCAATGCGAAACCAGGAACTGCACTGAATTGCGGATACGATTACGATAATGGAAGTTACAATAAGGTATGATTTTTTGGACATTCTCATTGCAGTTGTGCAATATTAATTTTGTTCTTTCTTTGCACAAAATCAGGTGGTGCACGATCACATTTGCTATCGCTACGAGATCCTGGAGGTGATCGGAAAGGGGAGCTTTGGTCAGGTGATTCGTGCGCTAGACCACAAAACCAATCAGCACGTAGCCATCAAGATAATAAGGAACAAGAAGAGATTTCATCATCAAGCGCTGGTGGAAGTGAAGATTCTCGATGAATTGCGCAAGAAAGAGTAATTTGGACAATATTTATATTAGTTTATGGCGAAATAGACTTATTTGTACTATTCTTCTTTGCAGCAAGGACGGATCTCACAATGTTATTCACATGCTGGACTACTTCTATTTTCGAAATCACCTCTGTATCAGCTTTGAATTGATGAGGTATGATTAATATTTATCAAATTTCCATGTCGCAAAATCACATTGCGATGGGACACAAAATGATATTCTGTCAACAGAAATTCCCGACATTCCACACACAAGTAATATTCTGAAATATATTTATAAATTGTCAGGAAATCTACGGAAATAATGGGGAATTTGCGAACTTTAGGAGTCGTCATGTGAAATTGCAAAGTTCACAGAAGTTTTTGATAGGTTGTATGTTGTAAAGGGAGGAATGTTGCTGTATTAGGCTACAGCGCACGAGTTTACACTACACATAAATTTAGATGAAATGCGAATTGTAAGGCAAATTCAAATATGCACAATAAGTTGAGTCATGCGGTGACTTCTTCAAATTTGTCAAGTCCCAAAATAGAGGGAATTCGTTATATAGAGTTATTCCAAAATTTCCACTCGTCGATATAATTTTTCAGCCATAACGCAAAAAATAAATTTTAATACACTTCCAACATGCATTCAATTATGATTCATAAATTGATTGACAATTGAAGCCTTTTTTCATACTGCTGGTTGGTGCCTTGACAATGACAGAGGAAGGAAAGGAAAAAAACGACAATTTGGTGGATAACAATAAAAATTGATGTAACGTATATATAAAAAGTGGAGATGTACATAATACCTTCGATTTTCTTGATTGAGTATCATAACTAGTTGATTAATTTATTTCCATGGCAAACACGTGTCTCGCCCTCTTTTTCACCTTTCTTTATTTCACTCTTCTTTTGTTTTTTTGTCACTCCGCGTTAAAAAAGCGTTGTGATATTTTTGTCTTAATCAATTTTATTACTATTCTATATTCAAGTTCAATATGACGAAAGTGGATGGTGCGTTTTGATAAGATTTACATATATAAGCACAAATTGATGGATTTTGAGAGTCTTCTGCCTTGAGTATAAAATTTAAAACGGACTCTTTGATATATAATATATTGGTACCATTGGTACTATTTGTGAAATATTGACGGCCTATGTGTGAAGTCTAAATGTAAAACTTGGGGTGAAATTTGGTCAGGGGCGTAGTACAGAATTCCACATCGTGAAAACCCTTTTTTGATTGTTATCTGACTAAAAATTTTAGGTGTGTTCAAGAGAAAGAAATCTCAGGATTTACTAAATCCTTGGACATACACGACGATGTACAAGACGCAATAAGAAAAATTCTGACAAGTTGAGATGAAAGTTTTGATTTCAGATTTTCTTCTTCAATTCCAAAACATTATCAAATTATCACCTTGGATACTTTTTAAAATCTTTAAATACCCAATATGGACGTCTTGCTCTATAATAACCTTCAGTAATTGCTTAAATTAAAAAAGTATTTTATATTTGAAAGCGATGAGAGATACTTTTTCGACTTTTCCGACTAAACGCCACCACTGCGTTTGGGTGCAGTTGTTATGTGTATAAACTTCCAAACAACGCTTCGATAACATCTTATATTACATATAATGCTGAATAGTAAGTTTACTAGGAAGAGCTTTTTATCGGGAACTTCTCTACCCATTGACGAATTCTTATTGGAAAGCATAAGATATGGCATTTTATTTTAATAGCATCAAAAAGGCACTGAAGAAAGCATAGGGAGATGACAAAAGGGGTAGCATTCAGTTTGTATTTCGGGGAAAATAAATTGTTTTGTGACTCTCCGCCTTGGCGGCGTGTACATAAAATACTGCAGAATTTTATATATTTGGTGTAAAAGAACAAATTTTTGGGGGAGAGTTTGAGGGTAGTGATACCGCGATTTTTATGTTATTAGACTTTTATTTCAGTTATATACTTCCCTTCTATTCGGAGACAATTTTACCCCCTTTATTAGGAATTCCGTATCTATTTGTCATGTCCTTACAATATGACAATACAAATTAGCTTCGTTGTCGTTGTGTTGTCTACTGTTTTGAATAAAAACAATGAGTGGAAGTTCCCCTAATGTGGGTTTCTAAGGCATCACCTTTAAGGAATTGAAGTCTAGAAAACTACATTATATATACAAAACAATATATAGATAAGTAAATATGTACGTGCAAGTAATGCAAAATGATGTATGGTTTCGAGGAGGGTTGGTATTCATGCACCATTGCGTGGGAGAATTTGAAAGTTTTACAAATTTCCTTGACATTTTGTGGCGAATTTCTAAAAACTCTCTCCCGCTCTACCAAGAACTTTGCGCTATACAGTAATTTTTACACAAATATAATGACAAAACTTCACATAGTGGTTTAGTTAATAATTGTTAACGTGAGGCGAAGAAGAGTCGTTTATTGTAAATGGAATGTCTTGTTATCGTTTCAGCCTGAATTTGTATGAATTAATAAAGAAGAACAATTATCAAGGATTCAGTTTGAGCTTGATAAGGCGGTTCTGCAACTCAATTATCAAGTGCCTGAGGCTGCTGTACCAGGAGAATATAATTCATTGTGACTTGAAGCCGGTGAGTGGAGAAATTAAAAGAAATTTATATGAATTTACTCAATAACTGAAGATAATCCTTGCAGGAGAATGTATTACTAAAGCAACGAGGAAGCAGCTCAATCAAGGTGATTGACTTTGGAAGCTCATGCTATGCACATCGAAAGGTTTACACGTACATTCAGTCGCGCTTCTACAGATCACCTGAAGTTATTCTAGGCTTGCCGTATGGCACACCGATTGATATGTGGAGTCTGGGTGAGTTTTTACCGTGCCTCATGAAATATTCAGCAGATGATAATGAGAATCTCACGTAGGCTGTATCCTGGCTGAACTATACACGGGTTATCCGCTATTCCCTGGCGAGAATGAAGCTGAGCAGCTGGCATGTATTATGGAGGTTTTGGGAGTTCCTCCGGAGGATTTGATTAATCAGGCCACGCGAAAGCGTCTCTTCTTCGGTGAGTTTCATTACCGAAATTATAATAAGAAAATAAGTTATCAAAATAATAAGAAAATGCCAAATTTTATTTAATGTTTACAATGCATTAAAGATTAGATATATCTAAATATTGGGCATATTTTCAGACTCGCGTGGAAGTCCAAGGAGTGTTATTAATTCCAAGGGAAGGAAGAGGAAGCCCGGCTCAAAGACTCTGGCTTCTGCCCTTCGGTGTAGTGACAGTTTGTTCATTGATTTTGTCAGTCGATGTCTTGAGTGAGTAGCTTCTAGCCCGTGTTATTAAACGGTAGATGCAATTTTTGAATGACATTTGTTATTCAGGTGGGATTTCACCAAGAGGATGACTCCTGAGGAGGCGGCCAGGCACGAGTGGTTGCAGCCCAGTGGATCGTCCTCGTACAATCACTCCAAGGCCATGAATCGCGAACAGCACTCGCAAGACACGGACACCAGCGTGAGTGACAACCAGCCGACCGCTGTGGTGACGCAAACCTTCCAGCAGCCGAAGTACCAGAGGACTCTTCCGCAGACGCCCAACACGACTCTGCCGGAGATCAAGACGTCGTCCACAAGAAATGTGCCCAAGACACTGCGGGAGAGGTCTAAAGGTAGGGAACGACTGCGCTGTGTCCTGCTGAATCCGCCTAATGCTGGGGATCCTTCCGCAGGGCTCACGTCGTCCACAAGTGATCTCGACAGTGCAACTGCGGCCACCCAGGCGCACGGTCAGTATTCTCTACATCGGCTGTATCACGCCCGCAAGTCCACCACGAATGCCACGCAGGGCAGTGCCAAGTACAATGGTGGGATGTCCCACTCTCAGAGCACGGGTGACGTTACAGCAATGTTCGGGCGTGCCTGACCAGGCTACGGGCCGAGCCTGGCCAAGACTAAGATTGACAGTGGGCGCAAGCTAGTCAGCATCATGGACAATCGCGAGGAGTGGTAATAGTGATAGGCGAGATAATTACCAAACATGAAAGATACTGATCAAAATAGGTAGACGTAGAGTATTTGCAAGGAAGGTAGTTAATTGAAAATATTATGCATATGATTAGATGTATGGAGAGTGACGTTTTGAGAAGCTAGAAAAGCAATTAATTGGCTTAATCAGACCGTCACAGTGTAAATACCGAGTGTACATAATACTTGATGTATTCCTCAAGACTGGTGTTCTTTCTCCGAGACCCTCATGCAACAGACATACATACAAAGAAATTATTTCGTGTAATAAATAATACAGAAGTAGAAAAAATTGACTAAAACTCCTTAGATAAAGAAATATTACGTTATATTTAATGTGTCTTGTAACAATGTATTCAAATTGCATGGCGCAACTTTGTCATTAAGAGGACAAAAGCATCAGATTTCAATAAGTAGAAATGACAATGAAAGTAGAATGTTGCGAGTGGAATAAATTCTAATAAGAGCCACAGAAGGATTTGCAGGAATTGCTTTCTCAGAGACTTGTTATCATTGTAATAATGAGAATTTTCTGTGGTGCTACTCGAGATCCATGAGTTGGACAAGTAATTTTTGTATACTCTAGTGACAAAAGGAAAACAAATGTTCAGGAACTTGTAGAAGTATATAAACAAATCATGTAGTATATCAATTTTTTGGCAGAAAGTTAAAACTATTCAATGCTATCAAACTGTGATATTTAAGGAAAACCTCTCGGATAAACATCTCTTATTGGTAGTCAACTTTAGGATCCCTATTTTTTATTTATCTTTCTATGTTTAATTTCCTTCTCCACACTTTGTGTTCACTTCTCTTGTTCATCTCTTCACAAATTTTTCAACACGCAAATTAACGCGCATAATTAACATTAAAGTGTACAGAAGAGCAGGGCAGTTTAGTGCAATTTCCTCTTGATTATAACCTGCTTTTTTTCTCCAATAACTTTATTGAGGTAGAACGTTCAAACAATGATCATATCTCTATCTTCTCGGTTCAGAAAGAGACGCTAAAATGTTCTTTTTTATCTTATTGAAAAGATACTATTTGAAGAACAGTTTCCATTACTCTTTTTGGAAGTCTTATAAGACTAAGACATCCAGTGGAAATTTTCAGTATGACCAATGAAATCCCTTCACGAAAAAACTTGTAATGAAATTTCTATAGAATTACCTACAGTATAATGGAATTTTATTGAGAAAAGTCCACCCGCTTGAAAATCATTCTTTATGGGGTATGAAAAATTTGTCACAGTTTCAATATATAGATATAGCTGAAAGTCGTCATTGCTGTTGTTTGCGATACATTTTAAAATATAATCTTCTCGAAACGCCAATATTGTATTCAGTTTCATTGGACTATGTAAATTCCATTAAAATGTATTCAAATATATTTCATTTAAATGGCTAAAAATGGAAGAGATACATAGAACCAAAAAAATGATATTAATTCTTAAAACTACATATATAACATAGAAATTAATCTCTAAATGTATAAAAGAACTTTTTCATTTTCTGAAATAATAAAAAGAAAAATTGTATTATTGATATTAAAGTATCATACAGTAAATAATTTTACACGTAATGAAATATTTATTATTTATTGAAATTAAAACAATTGAAATTGCTGGAAGAAAGTTTTCTGAACTAATCTTGTCTTCAATTAATGTCACATTTCAATATATTGGTTCCCTGTTCAACGAAGACCGTATGAAAAATAACCGATACAAGTTCTCTAATTATATAAATTGTATGTATGTGTCCTGTGCAAAAAACTGATTTAAATATATAGTTAAATGAAAAGAAAAATGTAGAAATTGTGGTTGAAAATGAATTTTCATCGCATGTAGAATTGCATATAACATTATATATTGTAGATAACGTAGTGAAAACCAATATTTCCATAAAAAAAAATTGAAGACCATTATTATACCAATTTATTGACAACTCCTAATAATAAACATATACATAACATCAGAAAAAGTTTGATGAGAATTAAAATTGAAGCATGTACCCAAAGTGGATGAATATAATCTTTGCTGAAAAGAAAGTAAAATGTAATAAAAAGAGTTTTAGAATGATTTAATAGTGCTTTTCACTGTGCAGACGTGCCGTGAGAAAAAAAGACATTGAGCGATTTATGATATCTGTAAATTGATGTTGTCAAAGTGAAAGACACGAATATCTTTTTCATAGGTTATTGAATAATTTGCTCCTCAATATAAAGAGAGGCTGGCACACACAAAGGTGAAAAAGAAAACTGATAAAGTGGAGAATCAGTAATTTAAATTTGTCAGAGATCTCATGATTACGCCATCGTCCGATGATATGTCCAGCGATGCTGTTGGTGAAAGTGTGGCTGTGTACCATTGAAGATGAGACTCTCCAAAAGAGTGGCACTTTTTCCGCATCCATATCGTCTTCTAATGTCCATCTGCCGTAAAGTACCGTGTGCGCATTTTCAATAAGCCCACTTCGAGCTAGAGATCAAGCACACATTCCCAATTCAAAGCCGAAGCCGAGCTGGAGACATGAGAAATGCTCGAGACAAGTTGTGCACTGCAACTTCTTACAGCATCCCAAGATATGGAACTAACCCAGAAGAAAGTCTATTTTTCAATTTGTTGCAAAGGAACCGCGAAGTCGCATGGATGATTTCACCACGAGGCAACATTTGCTAGTCACAGAGCCGACCATCACCCAGGGACTGAGTCGGAGGTGAGAGTAAATTAATTCATTTGGCCAATTTGCAACTTTTTGCCATATTTTTCCCACACTTCCATCGTGCGCCGATTACCATTGACAATTGAGCCTGCAACGTAGGATCTTTCTATAGTCAGCAGCATATTAGGCAATCACAAATACACATTTTCCGCATTTCTACAATTTGCCATCTCTCGCATATTGAATTGATTTAAAAATTCGATGCCAAATGATCGAGTATAGCACAAAAGGCGTTAATTTGCCAGTGAAGCTTTCACTGTGATTTTACATTTTTATTCTGACTGACTAAATTATGTAGATTTCGAAGAGCTTTACTATGTTTTGCTTTTATGAAAAATCATTTCAATTATAATTTGCATATACCAATACGAAGCCTACGAATTTTACAACTACACATTTTTCATTCATTTATTGTTGGCATTCTCCAGTATTGTCCTCAATATTACTATGAAACTCTCTTATGTGAATTTGCAATGCTTTTCTATTGAGATTCACTAATCCTTTATAATGTTAGGGTTAGTGATGATCGGCATCAAAGACACAATAATTTTGAGCCAAAAAGAAGACCTTTGAATTGGAAACAAACACAGGAAAGAATCTTGGAAAGAGAAGAACATTGATATTTTTTTGACTCCTTGTTTTGAAATGTTATTGGAATATGCCAGGATGTTTTCCGACCTAGTACACCAGTCATAGGCAGGCTTAAGACCCGATACATAGAGGTGTTATCCTTTTTTTCAATTTATTTAACAAGTTGCCCACTGAGTATCCGGAAAGGCTAAGATGGCTAGTTTTCTCCTTATTCGCCAATTACACGTTCTCTCAATTTTCTCACTTTCATAGTCGCACGATGGTCGAAAAGACGATCACCTTCCTCCGTGCAGTCTCTCGTATATCACCTCAATCAGCTTCACTTCTCTCGGAGAGAGTGTGCCATCGCGAGAGTCTCTCGTGCTCGCGATTAATTCGTTAGTAAAAAGAGAAAGACTTTTTAACACAAAATCTTCCAACCATCCATTCAGTTCAGGTGGAAACGCTGCTTGGAAAGGAACAGTACATCTTGTGGGAGATTTTTCCTTCGCTCGCCGATTGTGTGATTGTTTAGCATCTCTTGCGAATTTCTTTGCCACTTTCCTGACGAGCGTGAGACAGTCCGAACACACTGCGAGTGCGAACAGTTGAATGGTGGATGAGAGTTTTTAAATCGGGGTGTGCATGTAGATGATCAGGATTCTTAGTCTGGATTAACCACTAATTGCTGTGAAAGTTTCTTGTAAGAAAAGTCTCTGCAGTGTGGTAAAGTGAGTGGAGGCCAGCAATGACTTTAATCGCAAGGATAATCCTACTCGGCAGCTGTTTACTATCCTATGCAATTGCCCAGTCCTTTGGACAGTCCCAGCAACATGTAAGTATCAGTGAATGCCAGTGAGAAGTTTTCACTTCAATAGAAAATAAGAGACTGTGAAATGCCTTGAGAGGAATCCGAATGTGATGTCGGCGGTTTTCACCCACGCGCTGGTCAAAATTGATCGATGATGACCCCAAGGGTCACCCAAATCGTGTCTTGCCCATCGTGAAAATTCCCCATTCAACTCAAACTCTCGCCTCATCTTGACCTACTGAAAGGTATTCATTGTCTCGCGATGCAGCTTCTGACGATCGCCACTTGCTTCCATTCGATTAACATAATTGCACAACATATAGGTGCTCTTATATGCATCCAAGCCAATATCGTAGAGTCGCGCATTTCCCCTTGGCGTGATGGCCCAGGCTTGAACGAGAGAAGAAACTCTGCACAAGCTCCGCATATTACAAAGTATTCATGTGTGTTGAGAAGAAAATATTTTGCCTCATTCCACTGCCCATCTTTGCATCTCTCAATCTTGTGCATCTCTGCGAACAATGCACAACACCATTTGCATTTTCTGCACTCTTCAGGACAGACTTTTCAAGACTACAACCGCCCAAAATTTCCCGCCCTCTCACCTTTTGCCGCACTCTCGCAAGCGGCACTTTCACAGGTGCAAATATGTAATAAAAATACCATCAGCACTCAAAACCAATTCACAGAATCACGGAGGGAACTTTCTTCTGACGATGTGATCAAGTGCAGCCTCGAAGAAAGCGCGCGATCGCCCAAATTACACATTGAAATAAATGATGATAACTTCTTATTGCCTGTTCTGTTAACTAAAATACTAGAATGACTCAGCCTTTAGAATAACCTTAATTTTCATCATTTATTGAAAAATTTATCTGCAGATCCACTATCTCTCTATGTTAATTTTTTATTCTCTGCATTCTTTTCATATCAAGAGTCCTAAAGGTCTGAAATTCAGTTAAAATTCAAAAATAACTGAATGAAAACGATACAGTGTTGAACTTTTATTAATCACAATAACCCAAATACCTGTGCTGAAAGCCCCTTAAATTTACACTGTTGCACACACACACGTTGGCTGAGCATCTTTGAGAAATCTTCACAGAGCCTCTCAATGGGATCTCTTTTTTCTCATCATCTTCCGCGTCTCGTTGGACAATGTTTGACGGCGATTTTGCATCACACTATGTCAATTGGACAGTGTCCACTGATTATCTCGTGTGAAAGATGAAAGTCAATTGAGCCCACGGTGAATTCCTCTTACCCAAAAACTCATTGTACAGTTGTAGATCAGCAAGAATAATACCTGTGATAACTTGACACTTTTAGTCTCCATGTAAAAACTCCGTGATGCGAGAAATGTGGGATATTTTGTTATATTTGTCGCGTAAAATTTGCTAAAAAATCTTAGTTAAAAATCGCTGTGAAATTCGTTCAAAACTGAAATCGGAAATCGATGAATAGGAAGAACAACATAAAATGTTTATTGGCAAAGAATCTATCATTAATATACAATCGATTTTATCACATTCCGATTTTCTTCGGAAATCCCATATCCGCATAATCTACGCAGAGTGGGTGCTTTTGCTGCATTGTATTTTATAAATCTTGCGGTTACGCCTTGATTCCAAATGATGTTTCCTGCAGTGAACCATAATTAATCCACATTACAAGAGTGCCATCGATAGGTATTGAGCATTATTTCCGGTACACTGACTTTTTCTTCGTGAGCATCTTACTAAATTGCAAACATTTTTTTCTGCGTAAAAGCGTAATTTAAAAAAAAAAATTCGTAAGATAAATAGATTTCTACAAGATGAGCTTTTGGAAAAGCAGGAAAAGTAAAGCACCAATACTGCGTGTAAATCAGTTAAGTGGAAATTCTTAATATTTTCCTATGATACTTCTGATCTCGTCACTTTGGCGTGCTTTCGCATTCCCAATTTCATATTGCATTTGCAAAGAGGTTCTTACTTTCCACCAGACAAATACTGACCAAACGACATTCTCAAATTGTCACCATTTTCTCCCTGATCGTCTCAACACTTTGAATTGACGACACGGAAGCAGATGGAGAAGCATGTCGAGTGAAGATGTGCCATGTGATCTTCTCAGTAACATTGTCATCTTACCGTGTTGCTAAGGTGCCCAACATGTGCGCGAGAGTGAGATTAAGAAATTCCAAGCCACACTTTTTATATACACACCTTATATATTCTTTAAGAAAAAAACCCATCTTCAATTTCTATCACAATGTTTGCTCACGTTCAAGACATCTCTTCACTTTCTTTTCGCCAACACGGAGATCGCGCAGCTTTAAATATTTTTCACTATAATACGGATTTATGGTCTCCGATGATCGAGTTTGGTGCTGAGGCTGTGTTAGTTATGTGAGAAAGAGATGAAGACGAAATTTCGCACGTTGGTGGAGAAGGGCAAAGTATCACACAAAAAAAAGCCATGGAGAAAACCTACCATCACAAAGACAATGAGTGAAAAATGCAAGTTACATTACAGAATTGAGAGTGAAATTATTATTTGGAATTTATTAGGAGCACGAATTTCACGACGTTCGTTAGACTCAGTAACGACTCGACACAATTAACTCTCTGTTCCTTTGAGGGCTTTCATGCCGCGCTAGAGTGAATTACTGGGCCAAGGAGACAAGTTGGAAAATATAACGAATTGACGACCTGTGACAGGGTTTGCAAGAAAGGAAACAGTTTGTGCGTGCCAGGGCCTAGAAAAGATTCTTTGTTTAAATTGCAAAAAATTTGTACATACGAAAGCTTCATGCTGTGTACCAAAAATATGTGATGGTTGCGCGAAGGACCACGAACAAAATGAGACCACAAGTTCTTATTTGAAATTTGCATTCAATACCAAGACATCGTGTGAAAAGGATTAAAATGGATGAAAACGTCAGGCACGCATCGGTGAAATCTTCTCATCGGATCGTGAAAATTCCAATGCAATATCAATAACAAATCATACATCATACGCAATCCTCAAGCACCAACGCTTGATGCAAAAGACAAATGTCTATTGCGACACTATTCGAGGCATCTCGAAGAATTATTACTTAATCATAGTCTTGGGCATTTTCACTCGCCATGATCTATACACATTACCTATGTACATATCTCTTCTTGAGGAGAAATGATGCGATGATGAGGCAATGAACCGCAATTACTCACATTGAGACAATATCATTGACTGATTGTAGGAGAGATGATCTCACTAAAAGTATAAAATATTGCTAGAGCAAAAATATCGAGAAGAAAATAATGCTTTGGTTGCTCAACTTTTGGAAATTGCACGATGAGGAGATTTTCTTAGAGGCCAGAGATATTAATTCAAAGTAGCGTGACTCAACATTATTTAGAGCGAAGATGTGCAGAGAAAAATATCTCATTGATGCCCCTCCGGAGTTAATTGCTGCACAATCTGAATTCTTTCTGCGTTGTGTGCAAGATGGTGAACAACCTCAGCAAGTGGAGAGTAAATTGGTGATAGATTGGATCGCACTTGTTTGAAAGAGATTCTCTTTGTGCGAAATTTCATGAACAAACCATTGTTGCGATATTGGCGAATGTCTTTTTCTTGAGTACTCAATGAACCATGAAGGCACGACTAGTGGGAGAAATTCTGTTTCTTCAGTGACACAATTTTCCAGCATCAATGGAAAATAATGATTGTTCAGTTTAAAAGATAGATTTTGCGCGCTCAAGCTCACACTCGAACGTTTATTTGGACCTACTTCGGATTTAACACTTGAGATCAACGCAGAAATACAGAGAAAATCATTATAGAGGAATGAAGATTCTCTCCAGCGGTTGTGTGAAATTTGGATGGAATTTGAGCTTTAAAATAACTTCATAAAACCGGCCTTAAAGAAAAATCTGCTTTTAGTAACCACCAAATTTCTTTATTGACATTATTATTTTATATTTATTGCAATAGCACACGGATGAATCCATAGAGTTTATGTCACACTGACCTAGAGATATGGTCAGTGCCACTCGAAAACTCCATCATTGATCTGTAGGCAAATTTATACAAATTCAGAAGAAATGCATAATACATGCGACCCAACTCACACCAGAGACTGGGAAATTTGTTTAAAACTTGATTAAAAATTGAGTCAAAATTAATCAACAATTAAACTCTCATGGCTCAGAGCAAATTTCAAAGTTCCCACAAAGAAGCAACATTGGTTAAGATCATGGACACGAAATACGTTATACACTATGATGATTTTCAAATTGATCTTCCACACACTTGCTCGCCAAACAGGGAAAATTGTAATTGTGCCCATGCTTGTGGTGAAGATTAAAAGAGTTAAAAAATAAGAAAGTGAGGATAGACAAAATTTCATCAATCAGTCATTAATCATCGGACAATTTCCTCGATTGACTCCCGACCAGAGAGAATCTCTTGTTGGCATTTATTACCCATCCATATTTACTCATGAGTACACGCAATAATGTAATACAGCATAAGACATTAAAAAAAATCCCGCCGAGAAGATTCATTTCGCAAGTCCAACAAGAAATCCAACAGGGCAAACTATTAAGAGACTTAAAAGATCTTCACATGATCGCCATCGATGATGGCTGAGGAGAGAAAGTGCACATAAAGCGAACACGTGCATTTTGCGTAAAATTTGAATTTCAAAGCAATATAAAAGCATCATTGATTGCCTTTCGTCCAATTGACAAATCAAAAATGGTGAACAGATAATATTTCATTGTAAAGTGCGAATTAAAAATTAGGCACGGTAAATTAGTGATAGAGGCTTTTACAGAAACACGTCGAGAAGGTGGATAAGCTTCACTATGATTATACTTTTTAAAGACAATCAACATTAGAAGAGATTTGGTTGGTTTCTTCATATAACGTCGTTTTTTCATTAATTCTTCATTATATTAAAAAATTAGGTCGACAACTAATATCTCAAAAACAAACATATCTTACATTTTAAAATGAAATCAAGAAATTGTGAATTTGTAGATAGAATAACGTATGAAGCAGCCAACAATATCAAGTATAATAGAGACAAAATACATAGCCATTCATCGTCATGCTCGTTGCCGTCTTGCAGCGAGTGAGTTTGAAAAATTGGGTTAGTGAACTTATTGGGAAAGCCTTTCATTTTCAACTGAATAGAATTGTGTGAGAAAACGTCTCTTTGCATGAAGTTTACTCATCTAGTAAACATTTTTTTTAAATTACTCTAATGAACAGATAATAATCGTGCACTGCTCATTAATATGCATATTTTTTCATCTCCATGTCTTCGTACTGCATCAATTTGATGAGTGCCATTGTGACTATGTGGGGACGCCGGGTGGTTGCACGCAACTAGTTGCAATGTCACGTTTCGGCTTATCTTTGTCCAAAGAAAAAATTGACGATGGAGAAAATCGTCGTTTTGTTTGCCATTCACAATGTGACTTTCGATCGTACATCTTCAGCAGTTTTTCTAATGTGCCATACTAGGCAATGTGGGAATTTTCACAATTTGGTACGTTGTCTTTTTGAGTAAAAACGCATTTTTCACTGTCGGCTTGTTTTGCTTGAGAACGTGTTATATACCTACAATTCGAATTGCATAATATTAAAATGTCTCCATTTTCACGTCTAATTACTCGTTTTTTGTATGTTTTTCTTTTCGAATAAATCAAAGTACATTTACTTGAATATATCTCTCTTTTTCTCACTGAGCGAATAATAGCACCGCGGCACTGCAAGAAAAGCCTCTAATCGCATTTTGTAGTGAGTCCGATTTCCAGATTTGTGCTAAAAGTGAAAGGAAATGAGACTCTTAATGGAGCCTCGATGGCTTTCAAAATAATACAACGGAGAAGAGACTGAGACATACATCTTATGAATGTGATTTGTGTCTTGCCATCCAGTACATGCCTATACATAACGTACATATTTGTTTATAGAAATTTCTCGATTATATGCCTTAGTGAAGTAGGAAAAGTCTCACTGATTTTACACCGCACGTAATATAAAACTATCTTTCCCACAAAAATTATTTGCCAGTTTGGTGAAAATTGGATGAAAATTGAATAATGTGAATTCCTTTGATAGCAATGCTAATGTAACGATAAACTACGGTTCATCCAAAATGAGGTGCTAAAAAGAAGCACCTTCAATGTCAGACACGTTATTAACTTTCATCTCTTTACTTTCATTTCATTCATTTTCACAAAAACCTTTTTTCTACTCCTCCAAACATATTATTTCACTTCTCCGCGTGCGCCGCAAAGAGTTTGTCTTTTGTACTTTGCATTATAAAATTAACGGTGGAGAGACGAGTCTATTTTCAAGAGCTTATTATTGTTTATTTTTTCTCGTTGTGCACTTCCGCATATCCAAATTAATATGTTTTATTTATTTGCCATCACGGAAGATGTGGCAACTTCCGGTGAGAACTATACATTTTTCTTACGCTTTAATTTCGGCATAAACCACACATATCTTCTCTCGGATGCTGTTAGAAAGAAAGTTTCGGAAGTAGACTAATAAGAGATGTTATGAAACATTTAAATGATTTTTTGCGCTAATTTAGCATGGCATAACAGGTAGCTGAAGTCCCATGCAGTTCAGTGACGACGGCATGTCGGAATTCCATTAAATGCTAATTGAATTCTCTCTCTGTTCCTTACAGGCACCAACGCAGGCCACCAGGCGGCAATTGACTCCTGTTCAGCAGACACACATCCTCTCAGATATCCAACAGCATCAGCATCGCTTCAATTTGCATCCAGGTCCTGGAGTTCCGGGAAAGGGCGTCTTTCTGCAGCAACCATCCGTCTCAGTGGCCTTCCCGCCGCAGACGACCCTGGTGCAGAATCGCCAGGTGAATCCCTTCATCAGTGGCCAGGGAAGCCAGTTCCTCCTGTCGCAGCAGCCAAGCCAGAATAACTTCAAGACCATCCTGCCACCTAGACTAGGCACCGGCGTTCATCAGCATCACACGCAGACGAACTTTGTACCCAACTTCCAGACGCAGACCTTGCGGCAAGTGCCTCCTGGCCAGTTTCAGCGCAGTGTTCAAACGCAAATCCACCAAACTCCCCAGTTTAGCAATGTGCGCTTCCCGCCGAATCAGTATCAGATTCAAATTTCACCCACAATTGGCCAACAATTACCCACTCTCACGTCATTACAGACCCAAGGAGGATTTCCTCCACAGCCTGTCCCGCAGAATCAGTTCCTGTTGCAACCACAATTTCCACCGCTCCCAGAGCAGCCTCAATTCATCGCGCCACAGCAGCAGACTTTCCAGTTTCCACCCGGCCAGCAGCCTCAACTTCCCCCAATCTCAGGAAGCTTTCCACAACAAATCCTGCATCAACAATTGCCTCTGCCGCAGCAGGAGCAAGTATTCCGTGACCCACGTACTGAAGAGGAGCGCTTGCGTGATTTGAAAGAGCGCGAGCGTCTCATTCAGAAACAGGAGCAATTTGTCCAGAAACACTACCAGAAGCAGCAAGCAAAAGCGCAGAAACTGCATCAGGAATTTCTCCTGAACCAGCAGCAAATCAAACTTCAATCTCAGTACAAGCCCAATACTGGCCAATTCATCCCACGATACTCTAACAGTCGGACTATTGCTCCCCATGAGCATGACACCTTCCAGAGAGCTGTTAAGGATTACCATGAGTTGCATCCCACCACTCCAACCACAGCCTCCTCTACAGAGTCTTCCACAGCTTTTCTCCCCACGACCACAAAGAGGAACAAGAGCAAGACGGAAATTACAATCTCAACTCCAGAACAGCTTGAACAACTTCTGCAAGGACAAAGGATCTTCCCACAATTGAAGGGTGCTCCGAAAGGCAAGTCCAAGACGAAGACAACCAAGGGATTTGGTAGGGAAGATCTCATCAGGCAACTGAAGCTGGCCTTGGCGGAGCAGCCACAGGATTTGCAAGGAAAGAATTTCACATCCATGGATCTGGTTTTACCGGATGGGCAAAAAGTTCAAGTGATCCGGACTACTGATCCTAATCTTATCAAAAATGCCACACCTCTTAGTGAAGAGTCACTTATTAACCTCCAGACAGCACAACCTTCGGCAAATGTATACGAGGAACTGGCAAAGGGCGGTGTTTTGCCTGCCGGAGCAGATTTCGAAGTAATCAAGCAGAGCTCGGATGGAAAATTAGAGGAAGTTGGTCAATTACCGCCCCAGAAAAAAGTCACATTCGTCTATTTGGAGGAACAACAAGATGGCACGTACAAAGTGCAGGGAGTAAAGGGCAATGGGGACAAAGTGCCACATACATCAGGCACGGAAGTGGAAAACATCATCCAGAGAATAAAGAAGGGTGAGATACAGTTGCCTCCACCGTCAAATAGAGTTCAACACACCACAGTGAGGGAGGATGTGCCCACAACTGATCCGCCTATTAGGAGTTCTTCCATTCCTGCCACCGTGACGATCTCCTCAACATCTTCTGATGAGATCTTCGCCTCATCGCCTAGAATTACATCCTCGAGGAGTCCCTATGTCAGCTCTACATCACCTTCGCCCTACTCAACAGTCGTAACGCCCAGAAGTGAGAATAGCGTGTATTACACGGGATCCCCTAGTACTCGCGTTCACAGCACCACAGCCGCTCCGTACAGATCCTCGACATTCGCCCCAGAAGCCGCTCCGCTGGTAGAGACAACACTCCCAGTGTCCGAACAAACCTCCTCCACTGTCAACGTAGACACCGTCACTAAAACTGAAGACATGGAATTGGCACTTATTCTCAAGAACAGCGGTCTTCACGCTATGTCAAAGTATCTAAAGCAGTCAGGACTCGACTCGATCCTGAACGAAACTGGACCCTACACAATCTTTGCACCCACGGACAAGGCGTTCAAGAACCTTCTGGTGCAACTCGGTGGACCCGAGAAAGCCGAAGAAAAGTTCCGCAACAATCCTCGTCTTCTCAGTGGAGTGAGTATCAAACATAAATATGTATTGAATGAAAGTAAATTATATAAAATTTTTGTGATTTCGCAGCTCCTCCTTCACCACGTAATTCCGGGATCATTCGCAATTGACACGCTTCAGGATGAGATGACTGGAGTGTCTCTGGCGGGAACACAACTCCGGGTGAATCAGTACAAATTGCACGACGCCGAATGGAATGATGTGAAGGTAAAAAGATTTTCGAATTTCTGAAAATCGAACTATTGATGAAATAAATACATATTTTGAAGTGACATTAAAATCTTTTTTGTATTTAAGGTAACGACGATCAATGGAGCCATGGTGGTGCCAGACAAGCAGGACATTAACATTCCTCAGGGCGTCGCTCAAGGATTAGATAGAGTTATGTTCCCGCTACCCGTCGGTGATCTTCTTCAAACACTGCAATCAGATCGCGAGAGGAGATTCACGACCTTCTTAAGAGCCGTCTTCGCAGCGGATTTGTCTGAGCTCCTTCAAATTAAAGGTAATAATCCTGGAGGTTGGGCGTATTTATTAAACTGTGGCTGATGATGTTCTTTTCTCGCTCTTCAGGATCCAAAACATACACCGTTTTTGCCCCAACGGACGATGCGTTCGCGAAGTTGACCACCGAAGAAGTAAACAGCATGGTGACAGATAGGGAAAAGGCGAGAACGCTTGTCACGAATCACATCTCCCCGGGTACACTCTATTCGGCTGGGATGAGGTTCTATCAGATCAGAGAATCTATGTCTACGGGAAAACCGATCACACTGCAGAAGAACACAGGCAAGATCAAGATCAACGACGGTCACATTGTCACATCAAACATTCCAGCCACGAATGGCGTGATTCACGCCGTTGACATCCTGCTGTAGTTGCCAGCGGTGACTTCCTCCAGGTTTCATCCCTCATCCCTTGCATAAACATCCGATATCACACTATTGAGATGAGCTTCCCAAAAGCGCCATCGGCTAGTTTTTAAATTCTCTCGTGTGCAGGTTTTTACAAATACGAGCATAAATTATTTTTATAAAGGCGTTTTCTGGAGAAATTATGATGTTAATGCTTTTGTACAGTATTTCGTAATAAACTCATTGTTTTAACAACAATCACCATGTTCCCATTGTGTCGCTTTTGATATTTTGAAGTGAAGTGCGCGAGTTGTGAATGAGAGTGAAAGACAACCGTCATTTTTCAATGTATAATTTATATTTTAACAACATACTTAACAATTATATTATAGAGGTATATTTTATCTGCTTTTTATTCCCTACTACACATGATGAATACACGCAGGTATATTCATTCTTGTCAACACATCCCGTCACATCCTTCAATTCATAAACATACGTCCAATTAGATATTAACATTACTAAGTTGTATTCATTATTTCTGAAATTATTAGACAAATAAAACAGTTACGAAGGCAGAAGAATTACGTAAAATCACGATTAGTACGCAAACTTGTTATTTCTCTTCCCAACACTTCCATTTTTCACACACGTCTTCGTCAAAGACGGCAATAAAGGGCAAAAGAAAGAAATGCATAGTGTTTTTCCTCTTGCCTCCGCAAGGAATTGTTAAAGTACTTTTGATTTCACTTTTCCTCTTCTCTGTTTATAAATGTTTCCTGATTTTGATGTTATGCTTTGCAATTATTTCATAAGACCTGCAAACTTGCTAACTGGAAGTGGCTTGTTATCTGGGAGAAACACTTGCAGCTATAGATCAGAAAAGCGTTAATCCACCTTACTATTTATGTGAGTTTCATCTCTCGTGGTTGAGTTTTCCTATTTCATTCACATTTTTCGCATCGTCCCACGTAAAAAAAGAAATATAATACAATGCATTATGACTAAACTGAGCTAGCAATATTAATTATAAAATATACATCTTTACATCCTTTCATCCATATGCAGATATATATAAATTCTATTTAAATATTTCATGTATATATAATTTATATACAACTCTTCTCATTTATACAATCCAATCTTTTCATGTCGTACTTCTCAAGTCATTCTTTCGTTCCACTTAAAATAATGCAAAGAAGAAAACATCTCTATAAGCTGATTACAAGTGCTGTTAAGAGCTAAAAGCTGAGAGCACTACATTTTTTTTTAAATTGCTTCAATTGTATCTTACTCAATTTTCTGATTGACCGATAGGAATAATTCCCTCTACTTTAAGTATTCTAACCACCAGCAGTCAAATACACCTTTACATCTCGTGAAATACTCTCATGCGATGTGTGATTTTCAAGGGCTTTTTCTTTCTTATACATCTCGATTCCAATTAATTGCACATTAATCAAGATGATACCTAAAATAAAAATCAATCTTATAACTCAAAATATACAAATGTGACAAAGACAGAAGAATTTCACTATTAAGAGATCACAATTATGCAACTTAAGTACAAAATTTCTTCTCTTGTGACTCTTATCTTAAGATTTACGATCTACTCCACAATTAGACTTTTTCTTGCGTAATATCTTGGAATGCTTCTCTAGTTATCCATAGGCTCTCTCTTTCTCTCTCTCTCCCTTTCTCAGTTTCTGACTAAATGCATTCTAATTTTTTTAGCTCAAGAAACAGATTCACATTATCATTCAGCGTTTAAATTTGACAATTGCTTGATTGCCAAAGGGGAAAATATTGCTTCACCCTTTCTTGCTTATGCACCTTCGTAACATTTCAGCTTGGTTATCGATAAACAATGCCCTAAAATGCCTATATTAGAATTTGTATTGTACACTGGTAAATAAAAATGGAGAAAATTTCATTATTCTACAGATTCCACAAATCCAGAGTCAATTTAAGATCCTATTTTCCCCGTATTATTATAACAAATTGCAGTGGAAATGATTCCATCAGTTAGAATTGATAAAACTCTATTAAACGGCTTTTTTAACGGCTCTATGAAACTACTGTGAAAAGCGTGAAAATGACAAAAATCACAGGAAATTGTTACATCCTTATATATATTATGTTAATCTCCGATGTCAGATGCATTTTTCGAAAGCTGTGCACTTACAAAAGCTCAGCCCATAATTCAAGCATATCCTGTTCTTATTGATTCTAGAATTGAATAATTTTCTCCATTAATTTTCACCAGCGTTCATAAAATAAATTCCAAATAAAATTACTTGCACTGGAGTAAATTCAGACAATAAGGAAGAAAGTTAATCTATACTGTTAAGTATAATGCTTTGCGGAATATCTTGATCGCATATTCTCTTTGATATCTTGTGCACTAAAAGTTTGGAATATTGTGCTATTTCAATGCTTCATTCTATATACACAAATCTGCCCTAAGAATCTACTTTAGATACTGATATGACTCGGAATATCGGGTTTTCGCCCACGGTGGAGGTCTCCCGGTGTGATAAGTACTTTGTTATTGTGGGATCGAAGCGAGGAGTCTATAACTGCACCTGAAATGACTGCGCAGGTGGCTTAGGCGGTGAGATAAAGGGATTGGTGTTGTGTCCTTGATCTGTCTTCACGATCGGTGCCACCCATTCGGCATCGAAGGGATCCGTGTTGCTAGTGAGGGATTTAGCGCGTGCATGGAGTGGTGGTGGTCGTCTAGGTGAAGTAGAGGCAGTTATTGCCACCTGACCAAGCCATTGATCAGGATTGGGAAGTGGCTGAACCGTTTCAATAGGCAGCACTTTTGTGGGTGATGCTGGGATGTCTGCCGGGCGACTGGTTGTGGGCTGAACATAAGCAGTGGGTGATGTGGGCGAAGCCACTGCGGAGCCGCTGGACACCACAGGCGCCGCAGTTGGACTAGTGGGAGCAGAATTGAGCATAAGTGGTGGTGATTTGGTGTCTGTCTTGGGAAAATCGAGATCATCGCTCTTAGCGAGGAAGCTCAATTCTTGACTCATCTCCTGACACAGCTGACTCACAGTATCCAGTCCCATGCTCTGCGGTGACACCTCTGGAATGGGTGACACGGATCTTTGTGACTGTGGCGTAGCGAGATCGAGAAAGGCGCGCTGGCGCTCCGCATTGGACGGAAGGTCATTAATCCGAAGGGACATTTGCCGTTTGAATGGGGATCCATTGCCCAGAGCGCTAAAGCCACGGAAACTCCCCTGACGCTCCAGCATCGACGGCGTGGCGTGAGGGCGCTCAATAGCGAACGGATTGAAGGGCTTCGGCTGTGGAGCTACTGTGGCTGTTGGCGCTGTATTCTCCGCCAAACGCTCAGTCAAGCTCTGCTGTCGGAAAGAGCCACTGCGTGTAAATGTAGAGTTCTTCAGGTCGAACGTCATTGTCACTCCGCACTCCTTGTCCCGTCGCTGTTTCCTTTCCAGGCATACTGCGAAGGCGCATCCCACAGCGTGCGACAAGCGCTCACCAGAATCCTTACTGGCCAGAAATCCATGACACATCCAGCGCCTGGTTGTGCCATCGCGACAAATGTAGCTGAAGCCCCTCTCGTGGTTCCTGTCCGGGGCGCAAAAGCTCACTTTCTCAATTGTCTGATCCACAATTAGGCCCTTCGTCTCGTCATCCACCACACGAAGTCCATCTCCGCTCACATGCAGTAAACCTCGAACAGGACGTCGCCTGGAGTTCTGCTTGAAAAACGATGAGCAAAAGCACAAAGTAAATATCAAATCGTAATTTATGATCGATCTTTTTTCACCCTTAAAACCTTGAGCGCCTCCTCACACACTTGCATTCCTCGGGACTCGTAGACTTCCACACAGCCAAGATATTTCACGGGAAAAGAACATGTTGCAGATCTAACAGCAGACTCATCAGCTTGCCACTGGTGAGGCTTCGAGGATTCCGGTACACGTTCTTTTCGCCGTCTAAACGAATCCCGAAATGATCGTCGCAGACGATCCATTTTCCGCGGAGATTTCTTGCTCTGGCGAATGGAGGCCGATTTCTGTGAATGAAGGAAGTATTTATAGTTTCTGCGTCTCTAGCGAGGATTTCCTAAATAAGCGCATATCCAAAAGCGGACAATTCAGGCGAAAATTCATGCTCAATTTAGCAGCTCCAGAGGGTGTCTTTGGTACATTCTTAGCTCAAAGCTATAAGAAGTTTTTGAGGGTGATTTTTACTGTTTTCATTTATTTATTCGAAAGACAAAACTCTATATACACATGTGAAAGAACCTAAATATGATATTTACTAACACTTTTTCTTTCTTTTACTATTTAGGCACTATACGTAGGTTAATGAATTGAAAAATACGATGAACAGTTGTTGTTGGCGCCAGAAAAATTAATGAATTGTATTAAATCAGAGTTTTTTACGACCAGTTCAATTTGCACGATTTTTCTTGCAAAAGCATCACCTAATAAAAATACAACTTTTTATATTCTTGCAAAAAGTTACTTATCTTCATAACATTCTTGCGCAGATATGAAAAATGTGTCATGTGCATTTCAATGCAACCCATTTCTCAGATTTAAAAAACTGGAAACGATTAGGCGCACCTTCTATCTCACGAATAAAGCCCGTTTAATGATCTTTATGAACAGTATTGACAAGTTGATGATAAATGTACATAGAAATCCTTTGGCAGGCCTGTTGATTTGCATACGATAATAAGGAAGTAATGACTTGTGCGATGTTAAACGAAGACTTGACTCTGGGTGACATGTACATTTGCATGTTTGTTCATGAGATATGCGGATATGTATGTATTTTATTTACACGCTATTTGCAATAAATAGAAAACACAAACCGCATCTCCAAAAGTGCCTCTCGTGAAACCGCCTCTATCCAGTGGTTCGTGATGTGACGACGAGGAGTTTCCCATTGTAGAAAAGTGTCTGTCCCCTCACAATTTACCAATTAACACACTTTTTTCCTCAAACGGAGATTCGCAGCGTCACAGCTAATATTCACGAGATAAGATCACTTTCCTCCCTACTTGAGGTGTGGACAGTCTTTGCAAATTAATGCGATTTCTCCTCAATATGGCACACAGTTTGGCTACATCTCTCTCGGCGCCGATGACAATCACTCAGTAAATGCCTCAAGAGAATTTATTAGATATAGTACTAATTGTGGCAAGTGGCATTATGGCAATGGAAATTAAGTAAAATCTCTCATCGGGTCAAATGCGATTGATTGCAACTGAACTCTCTCTCTCCCTCTCTCTCTCCCTCTCTCTCTCACTCTCTCTTGTTCTGTCTTCAATTGTGCTGCACAATCTCTGCTGGTGGCACTCGGGATTGTAACCCTCTTTATGAGTGCGATTGACCTATTGAGCGCGGGAACATTCCGGAAAGAGTGAATGTGTAAAATGTGTGAATCTCTTTGCATCATTCTACCTGTTCCTGTGTGAAAAAGCAATTTCCTGCATTTCCAGGATATTTCTCATGATCCCTCTCGCAGTGATCACGTCTCGAGAAGAAAGGCAGAGAATTACCTGGTTATTGTCTGACCATCAAAGACTTGTGCATTTGCGCACTGACTTGAGTTTCATCATCTCCCTATGAGTTTCATTTCCCATAATGTTTCACCATTTACCAACGAGGGGACAACAAACCATGGAGAAAAATTATGCTCTTCGACTGAATTTGAATGCACATAGGGATTTCATTTCCAGGGGGAATAAAATTCTCCCATGGATTTAACCGCGTGAGAAGAGGAAGAAGTGTGTGAAGTTTGTCTTTGCAAAGTGGCTCATTCAGCAGGTAAATTGTTAATGTTTTACGGCAATTCAGCTTCCTGGGCCAAAAGATGTTCCATAGTGAGCATTTTCGACCGATCAGAGGAAATTGATGGTTGGGTAGAGGGCAAATGTCTGGCCAGTCTCTTGCATCTGCTGCTTTCCATTTGTTAGTCTTTGCCACAGAGAAACGACAGCAGACTTTTTTCGGAAAAAAAGAAGCAGATGCTGAGTTTAACAACATGTTTCATTCGTCTTTAAATACACGTGGCGACAATGAAAACTCGCATCTCTTTAAAGGAAAAAGAACACCTTCTGCAAAAGATGTTGAGCGTGTGTCATCTGCTTATATACCTTCTCTATAATGATTTAATTCAGCGAGAAAAACAACAGCCACTCATTTTAACTGTTCATTTAAGTACATGTCTCCAAATACGTACAGTTCTATCACTGAGAGAAATTTTATACTCACAAGAGTAGATATCTTATTATATCCAATTAATCCAGCTATACAAATCGCTCAGTGTGTCCATAAAACTGTTCATTCATCGCTTTGTGTTAATAACCCTTTCAGTTTAGAGTTTCTTCTCAGTGTATACATTTGACAATTTTTCCATGGGCTTCAGAACACTCATAAGCAAAGAAGACTTCAACTATACCATTCACACGATCGCGTGGACGTTCGTCATGGTGATTATAGGTGAATGATCTCACACATTCTTTGTGCGACTATAAGAACCAGATTGCCAGTATTTGTACAATTTCCTCAGACAGACATTTTTGCCTCTGCTTACAATATCAACTATCTTCCTGGCATCGACCTTGTGTTGGTTCTCGCGAAATTTGCAAGTATAACAATAGAGAAGTTTTATTCTTTCCCTTCCACATGCGTTTTTTCAGCTCTTGAGTCACCGCGTTTGAAAAATGCTCCAATCATCGGCTAGTAAATAGTCGGAATGAGTAATCTACTTTATCAATCACATTAGCAACTCCACTCAATACGTGATGCAATTGTTGCTATCCTCTTCTGAATGTCTACACAAAAGCCATAAAATTCGGTGTCAGTCTGGCTAATTTCCAGAGCAAATCTGCACATCTCCCTTATCAGTTTTATCACCTGAAAAGATGTGAAAATTCCACGACTATTTACCCGTATAATTGCTAAATTGTATCTGCATTCAGTGTTTCTGTTTATCAACGCACAGCCTTGTGATAATAAAAATGTGTATTTTTACTTAGGATGGAGTTTTCTCAAATTTATCTTCTGTGCGATAAGGCCAGCCACAAATTAAAGACAATTTCACACCGCAAACAATTCCTTGAATACATAAATTGCTGTACAATTTGGAGGTGCAGTAAATTTTCTTCGGCACTGTTTTTCTTTTCAGTGAAATGTTCGCCCTTGAATATTGGGGATATTACTCGGCCCAAAAACACCTTTTCTCGCACAATCGAGCATATAGCACAATTAAACGGATGTGACGATGGAGCACATGTCGCTGATAAATCTAAAATTAGTGCGAATTCTTGAGAAATGCTCTGTGTGCATGTGAAAAACCGCACGTTTGCTAATATTTCTTTCCCTTTCATTTTTAGTCAATCGATGGGAATGAGAAGAAAAAGTGGGCTTGATGACCTTGCTGAGGTGCCTGACACCGTCTTCTAGGTGATAATTCTTCCTCCGCGAAGAGGCAAAGAGACAAGAGAAAACAGGAACATTTTATTGGACTGCACATTACCTGGCAACGTGTGCAAGTTTCATGATGTCAAAGGAAATTTCTCTGTGGAGAAGACGATGATCTTACGTCAATAACGAAAATACCACAAACCGGTTTAACAGTTCCTACAGAGAAAATCACATACAAGGCGTCAGATCAGCGCTCCTAAGTCATATCATAAACACATTGCAGTGAGAAGTATATAACTTAAACCAGAAGGCTTTTTAATTCACATATCAAAAGCAATAAATGAATTCAAAATTTGTTTACACACAGTTTTTGTCGATTTCTTTCAGAATTTAAAAGTATAAAAAGAAACACGAATTTTGCCAAAATCCCCAAGAGTTGTTCTTGTGTTTCATTGATGTATATGAAATAAAGACGATTCAATGATTGGACTATGTATGGAATTGAGCCCCGCCCACTTAAATACTCCACCTATTTGCCTTAAATTTAGACTTGTTTCGTTATAAACTATAACCGTGACCATTCTTCAATCAAGAATCTCTTACACTCTCAAGAATCAATTTTGAATGGGGTTTTAAACCCAAAAATTAAGTTTTTTTTGTTGTTTTCTAAATATTTCAATCCTCAAATTCGCATTATATTTTCATCACGTCATCAAAAAGAAGATATAAACAAAATAACTCCCGAGTCATGTGACTTTCACGCATGAGTGTTAGTGAATTTTCCATAATTATTTCTTCATTAGCGCCAGACAAAAATCTATGAATGGGCGATAAAATTCAGTAGGGTGAATTTCTTGAGGTCCACCGGTCAGAAATTTCGAGATGTGCCAGAGTGAGAGAGAGAGTGCGAAATACCTGTTAAGCATTTGGAATAACACGTCAAATTGCAAAACTCAGGTAAGAGTTGCGCAAAACCTCAAGTTTGCAACTACGAGCTGCACTTTTAGCGACTTTTGCCGTGTAATCCAGTTGTGATAGTCATGCACAAAGTACTGCTCGTAAACATGGATCATCGATTAGGCGAAAAAATCCCCGTGATTTAGATGAAATCACGTTTTTTCATAGACTAATCCTAAGTTTTTAGCTATGCTCCTGAGTCACCATATTGAATGTCTTTTGGGGCGTTTTGGATACACGTTCGTCTCTTCCACTCTTTATTCTCTTGCTGCTTGATCAGTGTGAGAGATGCCTTTTCATTTTCTCAACCACACACACTTTTGCACTGAATCATGGATTTTTACACTTTTAGCCCATCTAGCAGTGGATTTTTTTTGCAGAAAAACAAGATACTTATTCCTCAAGCGTGAGGAAAAATGCCACGGATGAGGAGAAAAGTTGCTAGACACCACTTAGATTTGGAATGTGGTGGAAAATTTAGTGAATTTCAGGATCTTTTGCAAAATGCCGCGTGCCACTTTACTCACAAAAGCACTCTTTTCTCATAAAACGGGTCTAGAACTTGTGCACAAATCACTTCTTAGGGAATTTGCTGAGATGTCCACAGACTTTGTGGAGGTCTCTTGGAAACAGGACGGGGAAAAGAAGAAGAAAAAGCGTTTTGGGGAATTTTCAACGCGACCGAGGCCAAGAGACCCGTAAACCAGTAACGGTTGCCGCCGAACAACTGAAATTCTCACTCTTTCGTACACACCCGACAAACATACAATGCGATCAGCAACTACATCACCTCAAGACTCACACTGCGGCTTTTCCTCATTTGCCGATCGTCGATATGATCTAGAGAAGGGACCGATAATAAATAGCAGGTCAGAATTCGCTAAATTGTCACAAATTTTCCAATCTTTGAAGAGAAAACTGATTTTCAGTGAAAAAAACTGATCTTTTATTCATATCTTGCGTATGATGATGTCAGTGATGTCATTTCCAGTGCGCATGTGTCAGTGACTTGTGAGGTAGATAAATAAAATTCAACAGTCTTCTCAACACATCCACACAAGACTGCCTAAGAAGGATAACGCATTTTGTGTTAATCCCTCCAAAAATCCCAATAGCAGTAAAGAGAACATCTCGAAAAATTCGCATTCCAGTGGCATCAAATATGTACATTTCATACCATGATCAGCATTCGGGAGGAATTGGCATGTGAAAGAGATACGATATGACACAACGGCCAACACACTCAAGCCAACAGTCGCAACAATTCACCGAGAAAACTTAACGTAATTTCCCACAGTCAGCAAAATACATACTCTTCTCCCTATGTAGACACGCCATATGCGGAGTGAGAGAGTCAAACGTATGTAATGCCACGGCTGTACATAAGAAACTCCATTGAAATTCACACACCCATTGAGAAGGAACGATATTTGTATGGGAATACCTCTCATACTCATTTTCATCTTTGAAAATATTGCTCACCACCTTTGCATTACTCATCAAAAGCGGGCCCCCAATAGCTCTTGCGAAGCGATTAATGCAATTCTCACGTACTTGATATGATTTGGCAAGGTTTAGCACATCAAATGCAACTTCTGAGGCACCCTGTGATGTAATCGTAAGTGAAGACAATCATTTCCCGGCGTGCAGACTACTTTAACTTCAAACACAGGTAAGCCTCGACGAACAAGCTGAGAACGCTCATATGACAAACACAAAGTGCCTGTGAATCTTGGAAAAAATACACATCAAGTAACTAACATCCTTAGACGAAGCACATTATTTCAGTTTGACTGTATTTATTAATAACTTTAGTCTAGTCAGAAGAACGCCTAAAAGAAATTTTTACCAATCTCCTTAAATACTTAGACCAATAACACTAAATTATCACTATGATTATCAATACCTAAGTCAGTTTTTGAACTCTTCTGAAATACATTTAGTAAATGAATTGTTTATCCGCAAGCAGTATAATTATGGTACAGGAATTAACAAGTTAATCACTCTGACCAAACCAAAACTACTGAAATATATTATAAATTATAATCCATTTGTCAATTTAATTAGGTATGGAAAAAAATCTTCCAATATTTTGCTCTTCTACTGATTATTCGCTTCAGATTTGGTTGCACGAAAGGTCAACAAACGATTAATTGCGATTTAAATAGGATCGATAAATCGTTAATTAACGCGGTTTTTCTGACGTCAACACGCTCATGTGATGTTCTATATTTGTATAATTTCTAGAAACCAAGGTCAACGCTAGGATTTCTGTAAAAAACAACATCTCTGTTTAGCTTAGGATCACCCAGAAAAAGAAAGGGTAAATAGAAACTCAAACACTCCTTCACACAATCTGAGAAAGCGTGTTGCGTAATACCTCAAAGTTTAAGTTGAGGGTGGAAAAAAGCAGCTTTTCGTCACGATTTCTTGCCAACCCGAGGTCAGGCTTTTCACAGTCTCTCGCGTCTGTGGGTTGTTTCTCATTACTTTTTGCACCATAGCTTTGATGCATTACGTTCTGCCTTATTTGACACAGTAAAATGTGCGCTTTTGTATCGCACTTTAGCACCTATTCAGCATGAGAGATGATTTCGCAAGTGAGATTTTTGTGAAGTTTATGTGTTGTGCAATACATTTCGGAGGCGTGCAGATGAATAGTCGCTATGCATTGTTGGCTGCTGAGGAAGAATTTTATAGAAAGCATTGCGATTTGGGTGAATCACAAAATGATGATGAAGTGGCGAGTAATTGAACGGCAATCAGAAGGGTCAGGTTCGTGTGTGACTAGAATTGACACAGGAGTTAAGAGGACAATTAGCAACTTACCTTTCCACTTGCAACAGGAAATGACGTGCGGGTGAAGTTGAGGGAGTGAATTTGCACTTTGATCACCACATGCCTTCACGGCTGTGCTTCATTGTTCACTGGCTGAATCAGAGGATCGATTTTTCCAAGAGGAGAGTCCTTCAATTCTCAGCAAATCTCCGTCCTTGCTGCCCAGTGTATGCACTTTGGGAAAGCTCTGTTGAAAATTTTCCTCAGAGCAAAGCCACAACCACACTTTCAGTATATATCACACACCCTTTCAACTCACTGAGGAGATTTATGCGGACAAATAACTCGAGATTCCATCACTGAATATCTTTTAACAGAAGCACTGCACATAGAAACACGAATAGGGCCATTATCTTGGACCTTTTGCCACCTTTTCGCCCCCTAATCAGGGCCACAATTTGATGAGCGCTCGGAGCTGAACGCCGTCCATATCTCCAATCGAACTCAGGTTGAGCTATAAAACTTTTTACAGCGGAATTCCCAACAGCACTCTCTCACTCCTGTCACTCTCCAATGCACACCAGCTCGTCTCACTTCCTCCTCCAAAGCCGCTGGTCGTGGCGTCTTGCTCGCGAGGAAAGTCAGTAAAGCACGGGAGAGGTAGGTAACAGTGCTCGAAGAGCGCAAGCCCATGCATAGGGTGCTTCTGAAGGGAAATCCGCGAAAAGCAAATGAGAAAATGTTAGTGAAACCACTGGGCGAGAGCCAGAATCAGAAATCTCACATGCGGAATGCTTTTCCTTATGTTCTGACTATTTATTAACCCATAACTTGCCAAATTTGTGCTAATTGATGCAATTTAGAACGGCAACAACTCCTATATTCTGTGAAACATGTAAGGGACGGGGCTTCTGATGGGGTGTGGTTTAAAATACTATTTCATAGGATCAACTGGGAATGTGATAGATAAGTCCCAGTGTTTAGAATTATCTTCTGTTCTTGGAAATTGGACGGCTTTATGTTTCTATGGAAACCTTACAACACAATAACATCTTGGTCATTGAATTTGAGAAAATGAGTGATATTCAGAGAGAAACTCTTCAAGAGATTACTATCAAATTGGCTGAAGATCAGCTGAGGAGTCAAACTACACTCATTGGTCCAAGAGAGAGGACAACATTCATCCTAGGGAGCAAGAATGTCGTGAGTATCTACTAAAATGTTGCATATAGTATGTAATGAGACATTTATCTGCTTTTTCAGGGAAAATCTTCAATCATTAATCGATATCTTGACCGGGATGAGAGCCCCAAAGCTACTTTAGCTCTGGAATACTCTTACGGAAGACGCTCGAGTCCTGGCCAAGGAATCCAGAAACAAGTTTGCCACGTTTGGGAATTGGGAACTGTCGTCAATTCCGAACATCTTTTGAGCATCCCTTTCAGATCACACGACATCGAGCACGTGTCCGTGATTATTGTGATGGATCTCTCAAGACCTGAGGCTCTCTGGAATGACTTACAGTCAGTAGTTTTGGGACTGAAAAGTGCCTTTGGAGACTCCGTGACACGAGATAGAGCCAAAGAACTGAAGACTCTCAGAGAAGTGGATCACAAAGATGCGAGCACTCTGGATTTATTCCCTGTGCCGGTGTTTATCATCGGCGGGAAATATGATATGTTCCAGGATAAGGATCCAGAGATCAAAAAACAAGTCTGTCGATGCTTGAGAGCAACGGCTCATCTTATAGGAGCATCGCTGTTCTTCTATTCCATGCACAACAGTGCAATGGGTAAAACTCTGAGGGACATTCTAAACCGCTGTGGCTTCGGAAGTCCTGCAAATCCGATCAGGAATTTCATGGTAGATTACAATGGCCCACTGTCCGTGAGCTTTGAACAGGATTCATGGGATGCCATCGGTATTCCGCCAAAGAGTTTGGAAGCAATTGGATCGCTTTATTGCAGTGCCATTCCACAGGAGGACAACAGCGTGCCGCCTCTTCCTCCAGATCCAGTGAAGGATGCCGATTTCAGGGAACCAATTATTGATGAATTGAGAGCTCAAAGAGATGAGGAATTCCAGACGCTTCTTAAGCATTCGGATCTGACTGGGATGTTTGAAAAAATCGTCTGATTTTCACACGCAGAATGTGTCTTGGATGAGCTGGCTTTTTGTTTCCTATTTTGGCAGTAAAAAAATATAGCTAAAAATCATTATTAAAAGTGCATACTTTTCCAAATTGGCCTGTCATGCAAGACTACCTATTCAGTTCATTTTTATTATAATTGAATGATTGGCAATTAATATGTATTATCTAATTTATTTACACAATAAGCTATCATCAAATAAATATACAGCAACTCCTATTGCACCTAATTTTAAAGACAGTTTATAACATTATTCACAAGAGCTTCACCACTACGACTTCCGGTTGTGAAAGTGTGAATATAAAGGAAAAGTAAAGACAAAAATAAAGACAATAATAATTGAGGAATGTCACCAAGTATGGAGATTGATCACTTGATCCAGATATCGTTCAGAGTTTCATCCAGGAGTTCCTCCGGTGGCAGCGCCTTGAGACTCCTCAGCGTCTGCATGTAGAAAGTCAGTTCCGATGTCACGCTTCCGTGTTGTGGTCCACCGTTGTTCACAATATTGTGCTTCGCGATCTGTTCTCGCAGCTTGTCTTTGAAGTTCTTGTGCACAATTCTGTACACACTGTGAACTTGAACGTCCGGAAGGATGGGCGCAATTGCCTCGTGAAGCTTCACAAAGTGCCGCGAGAGATTGCGAAATGCCTGAGAAGGAACTGGAGGCCTGGCATCCCAGTTACTCATCTGACTGTCCACCATTGTGCACACAATAGACATCACCTTGTTCTCCACTTCCTTAATATGGCTCACAAAGTCTTTCTCCACCGTGTCATAGCCCGCCACAATGGCACCGTTCGCTTCCAGACGCTGGAAGTGTGCTTTGACATGTGGCAGTAGCCAGAGAACTAGCTGCAGAGCTCTGGACACAAGTGCAAGGTTCGCACTGGTGATAGTCTTTAATCCAGCCACATGCAGAGCACCAGCGCCCAAGACTAGCTGACAACAGCGCGAATTAAAGATTCTGAGCAAGTCCACTACACTCCGCGACAGCTGGGCAGCAATCAGAGGCAATTGCTGAGCACATCGACAGTATTCGCTAACGATTTGCACGAGCAGCAGTGCCGCCCCAACGAGGGCGAACGGCTCACCATCAACAAGAAGCACAGCCGATGGCGGAGAAGACATTCCCTCTTCACGAGTCCACTCAAACTCCCCTCGGCCGATGTGTTCCACCATCCATTGAAACTCTGCCGGCACTTCTGCCTGCTTCCAACGCTCGCTGTCCAGCAGCAGAGCCAACTTAGATTTCCTCTCGGCATGAAACTTATTAGCAAATCTCGTGCCTTGATTAGTCACGGCTGCCCTCAAAGCCACACTCTGCCCGCCACAGATTGCCTCACATCCGCCACTGAAATCCGCCACAATTCCACTAAGTCTGGAGATGTCCTCAGCCGTGACGGAACTCTTCTCCAGACTCTCATTCGACACGAGAGTGGCACAGCGCTCGTGGCAGTAGTTAGAAATAGTCTTTAGCAAGTCCTGCAATCGCTGCTGCACCGCCCGATGATCAGCTGGCGAGAGAAAGGCCTCAGAGTCCATCAAGGCAGTCACATCCACTTTTCCCGCGCTCGCATCCGCCGTCTGAAGCATCACATCATGCACCGCCTTCACGCGTTTCAGTAGTCTCACCAGCGTGCCCGTGGCCGTCTCCAAGAGCAGAATCCAGTCAGTCAGAGAGAGACTCTGTGCCTCCTCACCAGCACCTGTGAGACAGACCTCCTGATCTCCAGTGGCAATCACCTCGATCATGAGTTGCTTCACGATCGCCTTGATGGCCACAATCGCCTCTTCCTTGTACGTGTCCACAAACGAGAAGTTTTTCTTTCGCAGCAACCCTGAGATTATGCACACCAGCTTGTCCTCGTCCAGCACCTTCTCGTCCATTGTGAGCGGTCGATTGAGATCTGCTGTCGAATACTTCTCAAAGTCCGTCGTCAGCATCTTGTCCACTAGTCTCTCCATCTCCGTCAGCTGCGACGGCAGATGCCGAAAGCAGTGAACACCCACTAATTCCTGCGCCACAATCTCCTGTGTCGTCCCGATGAGATCCAGCGCCGCCACATAGTCCTGCGTGCCCAGGAGCAGTTGAATCATGGGCTGCGTCTGATGCACTGTTGCCATCAGACGCAGCTTCTCCAGAACCATCAAGTAATGTGTCCGCGACCGAGCCAATTTCGCGACCAGAAGAGCCTCCCGCACCTGCGAAACAATGCAAAAACAGTTTAAATTCGATAAACATGCTCATAGCGTCCCCATTCTTCCACTTCGCCACACACCGAAGCATAAACACATTTTCTTTCTTATCTTTCGCCTCATTTACCAGAAGATATTCACACCTCTCAATTATACGAAATGAAGTAAGAATTTCACTGTTAAAATACAGAGCGTCTTGCATCACCCGCTATCATATGTGTCTTCATATTTATGATTTTCACAATTTATTTCTGTAGTCAAGACCGTCGTAAAATATTTACTTCAGTATTTCATGTTATTTCATAGCTTTTGAAAAATTATCATTTATCGTAAATGCATAATTTGATTCAGTTACAGTGCAATTTACTCATAATTCACAAAAGTAACTTATTATAGACATTCTTATATCACATGTCCAAGATTTAAGAGTACGTAAACAAAAACTTTGAGAATCTTTTGATGTTTTTACAATACTTAAAGAAAAACATTTGTAGATTTTAAGCCTTGAAGCTAATATAGGTCACTAATATACTCACTTGAGTCTCATCGATGTGGGTTAATTTACTCCTCAATTGTCTAACGTTGGTGATGGCTTGTCTCATTTGGGCGATGATCACGTCCTGGGACGTCATTGCGTGGAAAAAGGCAGACGACTTCTGGCCAACTTGACGCGCAATTTGCACTTCCACAATGTCCAAGTAGTGGGTCAGCTTCTCCTGGAGCAGCCGACAGGATTGGGGTGAGTCCGGACTGTCACCCACACCTGGAAATACCGACGCGAACGTGGCGGGATTGCTCAGCTCCAGATGCGGCTTCATGAAGATCTGCGGAATGTCCTGGAGGTCGTAATCGCTGACCTCATTGCCATTCTGGCCAGAGTGACTAGTTTGGGATGAGGTCAGCTGCTTCTCGAACCGCACATGGCGCTTGTATCGCTTTCCAATCTTCGCCAAGTGGACCTGAAAGTGGTTCCATGTGATGTCCGGAAGGTGGTGTGAAGGCTCAAGTGAAGCGCTAGAGTGCAGGTCCACGAAGATTTCAATCTGCTTGCTGCGGTTGGGATCATTGAGCACAGCCGGCAGATTTTGGGCCGCCGAGAAGACTGACCACTGTTCCGGACCCTTGGCGTCACCTTGGACATGGTATCTGTTCACGTGGCTCTCGTAGTCTCGGTCGCTCACGCCGTCCAGGGGCAGAGAAGCGCACACGCCATTGCTCCCGTACCGGCAAACGAAGGATCCACCTTCCCTAGTGCAGTGCTGATCCCTTAAGTGCCTGGAAAGACATCAGAGGGAATTTTGTATTAAATACACAGCTTTTGCCACGATACTCAGGACTGTGATAACACTGTCTGCTTGCTTATCAACTCCCCTTGAGGAGCCCGTGGAAATCGAGGCTCTAGCACTGGAAGTGATGAAGAAAATTGATCACATATTTTATCAAAGATACTCACTTGACGAACTCTGAAGATGACTTGAAAGCATTCATAGGACAGAAGGAACACGTTTGCCATGCATACTTCACATCCACCGTGATCTGTGGTTTCGCCATTTCATTGTGCACGATAGAAAGCATAAATATTTCAATAAATGTAACTATTTTCACCGAAAATTGCACTTTTCAGCACGCTCATCGTCATTTCTGCCAACGTCTTGACAACCACTATTGACAGATGGTCGGTACGGCAGATTATTTAGGCATGGAATTCCTCCATAAACTTTCCAGCGCACAATCGAAACGATTGAAACAATCGAAATTTTCGATTTATTCATTGCAAATCTTGCAATGAATTGCATCCAACTAATCACACCCGATAAATTTGTAAACGAGGCATTTCTAGCTTCTGAAAATTGTCGACTTCTTTACAAAAGTGCTCAAATAAGCAATAAATTTGGGCTTATATGATTTTATTTATTAATACAACTGATATTGTGTATACATACATATAATATATTAATTTAAAATATGAATATCTTGATCCTTTAAATGTTTTACTCACAATAAGCTTTTCAAGCTTGCTTTTGATCCTTTCTCTAAAATCCTGCATTTCCATTTATTTTGTACGTCTCATCTTTCATTCACAATCTCTTTTCCCTTACAGCGCAATTTAAGAGGAACATATGTAAAAATCGAATTTCAATGTGAAAAACATACTAACGAAGAATACTTATGCACAAACAAGTACTGGGAATTCACAAAAACGGATCACAATTACAAAAACGTCTACAGCCTAAATAGAAAATAAAATAATTGGAAAAATATCTTATTGATCACCAATTAAAGCACCACAGTTAAATTATAAAAATCATAAAACTACGACTGTCTCAATTATACTGCTTGAGCTCATGTAACACCAATAACATATGGGACTCCAGTGTAAATATTTCCGGGGTAACATCTTTGTTCATATCGCGAAAAATTGAGTCAAATTCATTCCGTGTGCGAGAGATTACATTTTTTTTTGTAAAGAGCTGAAGCCGTGAACTAGCCTTGTAACCATTTGTACTCGGAACACACACACACACACATCGCATAAAGATAGTGGAATGCAAAAGGGGTGAAACATCTCAGCTGAGCAATTTTAGTCTCTGGTGTGCTTGCGTCGCTCCCAAGCCAGTTGCATTGACCAGATGCTGAGCGGACGCATGTAACCGATGGCTCGGTAGGTCCTTTCAGCGTACAATGCCTCAGGAGTTTCAAAGTTTAATCCGATTCGCTCGGACATGGTCTGGTACAGCCCGCCCGCAGTTGCAAAGCCCTCCTCGAACATCCCCTCGTGGATCATGAGCGCCGCTAGGCCGTATGTCACGCCCGTCCAAGCCTCCTCACTCTGGATTGTTGTCCAATCCGGATGACCGTCCTTATCTGGCACGGGATTCTGGATATATCCATTCACAGCGCCCAAATTACCGTTGCAAAAGCGCTTCACGTTGTTCTCAAAGATCACTTTGAGAGCCGAGCGCACGTTCTCCTTGGGGAAGAGCTCGTAATCAAAACCGCAGCTCTTCATGTACCAATGGCCGCACAGTTGATCAGACATCACGGTGTCCTTGTTGGCTGGCGCTGTGTCGAACTTATAGAACGACCCATTCCACAGCTTATCTTCGAAAGATCGCTTCCCTTTCTCCAGGATGTCCGTGTACTTGACGCACTCCTCCGGTTGGTCCATCTTATTAGCCATTATGGCCATGCAGTGAAGACTAGCCAGCCAAAGACTTCCGCAATAAGAGCTGAAAAAAGAAATAACCGCATTGGAAATGTAGTCTTTATCCGATTTATTCATTATTTAAATACTTTAAAAGCAATATAAATCTAGATCTCACCTCGGTCCATCCATGACCCAGGAGTCATAGGTCTGATCAGGAAACTTGCTATTCTCTATCAGCCCGTCATCATCGTGATCCCACTCGAGAGACTTGGCCATGACAGCCTTGCAGGCCGGATACATAGCCTTTAGATACACCATCGCGTCCATCAGGTACACCTTTCCATTCGTCTCGTTGATGTACATTGAGGCCGATTTGCGATTGGCTTTGTCGTCCGGCGACAAGCGATGCTTATTGTCTAGCGTGTACATCTCGAACAGGCTATCCTTATCGATGAACTCAATTGAGCTGAATTTGCTGGCATTCTCCGCATTCGCTTGAGCCAACTGGCTCAACACATGATAATCCCTGAACACTTGCAACACAAACTTAGTGTTGAGATCCTTCCACTCCGCCACATCGTGAATGGGATAGGAGTTAGGCAGAATATACGGTTCCTCGCATGGATCGCCCAGATCATGCGGCACGCTGTCTTTCGCCTTGCGACAGCTGATTTTGCCATCATAGAGACACTTCCGTGGCTCCCCGACCTCAGCAAAGATGCTATCGCGGAAGTCATACTGCAGACTCACTTGAAGATTAGGCCACAGATTAGCAATAGCATGAGAGGCATAGAAGTGCACATCGTAAGTGTTGAACATGCGGTATTCATGGCCTTCAAGATAAGCAAATCGTCCATAAGCCAATCGAGGATCGTCATAGGCCAAGTCATCCTTAGGATCAATGGTGAACCAACAAGTTCCGCCGTCAGAAATGAAGTATAATTCATTGAAGATGGCACTCTTGTACCAATCAGGAAGATCTCTGCAAACACGAAAAGATCATTAACATGTTTCTGTAAATTGTTCAAGCAAAAATATGTGTAACTCACGGATCCTCCAGAATTGGCCTCTGCCAGGCATCAATCTGCTGCTCCCACTTGAGGTAATTCACAAATGCATAGTCAGCGATTCGCGGTCCTCCTTCGCCGGAGTTGCCAAAATGTTTTGTATAATAGCGCGAGTATTTCTTCAATTTCTTCCCGAAATTCACTATCGGCATGTCCCATGCCAAACAAAATTCCACCTCTCCAGACGAATCGGGTTTCACGGTGATTTGCCCACTCACTGCCACTCCGACGTCCTTCCCTTTCAGATTCTCATCCACGGACTTGTCCGTGAGCTTTCCGGTGTCCCTTAAATCACTCCACAGTTTCTCACCACTGCCATTCGGATCGAACTTGTGGCATCGTGAGATTGTCACATCGCCAGCGTTTTTGCACGCCAAATTATATGTGCACTCCATGCCGGCGATTGTCTGCTTTATAGCTACACCTTTAGCTGTGCCCTCACCAAATGGGAAAGTCGTGGGATTGCCTGGAAAATGGACATAAAAAAGGATAAATTTCAGTACCGAATAAAATTTGATCGGTTTCAAACTCACCTTCAGCATCTTGCTTTTTTGTTCCCGTGCCATTCTTAAACGTGAACGTGATGGAGACCTTTCGCTCCTTATCACAGGTGTTCTCCACGCTCCACACAAACACCGCACACGGCAGAGATGAATCTTTGTAGTCATGGGGAATAACCGGTGATACTTGGCGCCCGATGAGTCTCACGCCGTGTTCAGACAAGTCAATTTCACTCCAGGAGCGCGGATAGAGAGCCGTGTAGTGACACTTCGTGGCATCCAAATTGCTCTCCCACGCACTCAATGGATTCTTTGGTCGGCTGCAATTTATCGGGGGTGTTTTACACACATCTCTTCATTGTTAATCACAGTGTTAGCAAAGCAATTTATAGAACATTTTTTTCGTTTGTTAGTCAGAAGCAAAAATTGTGCGCAGCATGCAAAGAAGCACGAAAGAAAATCAATTACGCTCAGCAATTTGGAAAAAAAGGGTCCAAAGTAAACTTACTTGTACGTTGAGAGGAGACTCTGAAAGATTGTCTGATCATTCTCATCGCGAATCGTGACAAAAAACTGATCCGCCACAACAGTGTTGTATTCATAGAGTCCTGGCTTCATGCTGAATCGGCAAAACTCCCCACTGAAACCCCGTCCGATCGTTCCGGCGCCAATTCCTCCTATCGGTGTCCCTATAACAAATTTTATATTTAGAAAATAAATTGAAAAGATATGTACTTAACAGATTCAAGAAATAGAAGAAACTGGTATTATTCTAGTTACGAATATAAATGGATAGACTATATACCATAAATACACTTGGCATTCTGCATGTCGTAGTAATCCATTAAGCACTGCCGGCCTTCTCTGGTCACTTTCCAATAATAGGACAAATACCTGTCGAGAGACACGGTATCAATTAGATTGTGTATTTTTATCAAAAACTTTCTCAGCCGCTCAGCAATGATGATTTATTAGGGAAATTGCCCATTGGCAAATTACTTTTCCCACCCGGAAACACAAAAGGGTGAAATTCGAGACGGAATTCCTCAATAGACTTGTTTGTTCTCCATTCAGTATCTCCTTCTCCAAACAATCTGTTTATGGCTAAGTTGCTTTTCATCCTCTTTCACGGATACAATTTTGATCCACTTCGAGGTTAATGACGCGTCCTTAATTAACATTGTTTTACAGTGTTGCTATGTGAATTGTTAAAGCTGGAGCTCATTAATATTCCAGATTTAACACTGTCCAACAGAGAGAGAGCCTGTATGATCGAAAAACTCAACATCCATTCTGGCACTAAAGCACTCAAACTTTACCTTCTCATCCACGAACAAACATATGGCCAGATATTTCCTTAATCCCTATCCATTTCCGATATAGGTCAATATATTTCTGAATATAGGTTATTCTGTTATTATTTGTTGTGTGTTTAACAAAAATAGAGTCTCATTTTGAATTCATATTTTAGGTCATGAAATCTTTCTTCTCATAAATTTATCACAAGCTTTGTCTTGTTTTCGGTTTCTGTCAATTTCCACACTGATCCCCAACAAATTTTCTTATCGAGATGATAAGGTATATGTCGTGTAGACAAGAAAGAATTATTGATGGGGAGAAATTCAAGAGTGTCCAAGTAAGAAAAATGTCTGGAAATTGGCCAAATTATCGCCCTCTTCCAAATGTCCACTTTCCTCTTCTTTCCAGCAGCAAAAATAGTGAGGAAATAATAAATTCTCTTTCACTTTTCCTCTCGGCTGTTTTCCTCCGAAAGAGCTTTATAAGAAAATCGATAAGAGTATGTAAATAAAATTCTTTGTTACACTTTGTGGCATACATGGAGATTTGAGATTTGTCTCGAATTGAGAGGCTCCGCAAGGCGGAATTGGCACAGCTCAGCTGATTAGATTGGAGGGGGAAGAATTCCATTTCCTCGCGATCTCGCGAGATGGAATCTTTCGCCGCGCGGAGAGACTTTGACCTCAATTGACACTTTGATTGAATTGTGAACATTGGCGCCGATGATTCGCAAAGGGGCGCGCAAAGGTGGAAAATAGTCAAATATGGGAGATGAGCTGTCCAGAGACGAGTTTCGATTTCCGAGAAGGACGCACGAGCGGCGGGAAGGGAAGTGATGAGGACTGAAATCAATGAACTTACCTGTAAAAGAGGGGCAAAAGTGGGATTGTTTGTCGAAATGAGGGGCGTATGTTCTGGTGTCTCTTCTCCGGGAAAACGTGGTTGAAGCTGAGCTTGAGGCCATAGCTGGGCACCGAGGAATACTGCTTCAGGTCGTACGTCGATTGCACACTCACACAATCCATGACTAGTTCTAGGGACTCTGCTTTTTTTACCCAAAAATATCACCAAAACTTCCCTTCCGGCACGCAAAAATTCAACCACACCGATTGACAGCCAGCCACCGACTAAAAATACGTACGACGACACGAGTCCACCGATCCGAAGACGCTCAGTCGAGACGCACTTCTCGCTTTTCACACTGGCACACACTGATTTTTGTGTCGTGTTATCTGCTCATTTTCTCCGCGTGTGTCGAAAAGCAGAGCTGGTTTGGGCATTCGGAAAGTTTGCGTGACTGTCGCCTGAGGGTATGCAGACCAGACGGCGGCTCTCCAGGTTTTCCCTCAATTGAAAAGCGTCCAATTAGCGCTGTATGAAATATTCCTTCAGCAAATTTGTGGTTTTCTTCTAGAGGAAATTTATCCAATATATATTATATGATTCTATGTCAAACCATAGGTCAGATACAGTTTTTCTTCTTCATATTTCTGGCTCATTTCTTTATTAGGATCTTTTGTTAGAAGACGATGAGTATCCTTTGTGGTCAGAAAAAAAAACACCGTATGATTGCTTTATCATTTAAATGCTTTATTTTCATCCTCTTGCAACTTCCGTCGTCAAATAATTACAATTTCCTCGATATAGTGCTACTCTTCTACATCTTCATTTTAAGCCATTTTTGTCCTCTACATTTTATACTCCTTTTTGTAATACTGTTACTTTTGTATCATATATTTTTACTTCGAGACAGATTTGCTATTTAGGCAATTGTATCATCAAAACACCCTTCTATAGAGGATAGAAAAGTGAATTTCTTGCGGAATGATGAGAAAATACAATGATATGTATCCTATTTTAATATATAACTATTTACTTTAGTGCCATTCAAAAGAACAAAGATTCTATTTAAGTATTTTGCGATTCCACCCCACATTTATTCCCTATCTCTGCCTCTATGATTTTCCTTTACGTAAAAAAGCGATATTGAAAACATGAGATTTGTCATAATGAAATGAAAGAGTGCGTAATTCTTACGTCACAGAAATATTTTGTACAAATTCTTCAGAATAGATGCCACCTTAAAATGTAAAATTTAAATATATTAAACTTCTCTCGCTCTTCATATCAAAAATTACATTGTTTATAGAAAATATACGACTGTAAGTATCAAGATAGTGTTCCATTCCAATGCTTCAAAATGAACTCAAGCATTCATTCCATCCCCTTTCTTCACAAAAATTGCAAAACCTGCCCTTTAGTGGTTGTTGTGCTCACTCTTGAGGGTCTTGTACCTCTCCTTGTCATGGTTATTCTCTGGCTGCTCTAGCTCAAAAGACACCATTGACAAGGTGTTCTCATTGAGAACAGGACTAACTTGCAGAAATTTGATGATGTTGGCGTGCCTCTCGAACGGACACCGAACTTGCTTCCATGAGATGAACTCCATTATTTGCTTCGCAAGCTGCCAAAATTTCTCGAAATTGATTTGTCCATTTGGTAAACTGTAATAAAGAGAGAAAAAAAGACTCTTAGACAAAATTAAAGGAAAACGTCTGTCATTCTGATTATTAATTTTATTAACCACAGAGCTTCTTGAAATTACTCTTTCCGGCATCTAAATGAATATATTAAGTATTCAGTTGACAAAATAACATACAATTCAACTCGTATTTCGCGTCAGAATGATTCACAAATCTCAATGAAGTCTCTTGAAACATACACACAACAAACAACAAAACTCTGCAAATGTTGAAGGTCTTTAACATATTCATGGAATAAATTGAATCGAACGACAAACGGTTATTAATTCCCATCCCATGAAGCATCGCACAGATAAATAATCCATCAAAATGCCTCCGGGGGCCAAATTATGAGAATTTTGAGGCTACTTTGCACAGTCCGTTACGCATCAGCAATTTTTCTAGTCTTACAACAGAGTGAGACTGTTTTGAATGGAAGTGTGTGCTTGCATATTATCTCATTTTCTCCGTCGTCATCATCACAGGAAATCTAATACTTCGAAGCTAACATATCAGTTATGAAGTGCAAGAACAGCAATTTTCAACTCACCGATTTGAGCATCCTTGATTGAGAAAGTATAAATCTTTGACTAGTAAACTGAAGAAGGGAATCACGATCCGTTGCCTCTCATCTGTGGTCCCTGAAGATCGCCAAACGGCGGCCTTGAGCGTGGATCTGTAACTGCTGAAATTGCTGCTCGGATCCATTTGATGTTCGAGAATTGAGAACTTGGCCGACTGCACTTTGGCCCATGTCTTCTTCAGTCTTGAAATCGGTGACATATTCAAGCCCGCTACAATTGCCATCAAACTGTTGAAGTTGCCAATGTTGAAGCACTCACGTGCCGCCTCAATCCAGAACTCCATCAAGCGGACGCGCTGCTTCTTCTTCCCATGCTGCAAGAAATCGGAAAGACAAGCACTTTTCAGTGAGAAATTTCACACACAGAGGAAAGAAAAGAAAAACTATACGCTGTTCAATTAAACATGAATAATCTATTGAGAGAAACATCTACTAATTACACGCTGGAAAATTGCATAATGTTGCAAATTTTCAAGAACACCTCACACGGCCAATATTGTTCTTTACCACTTTGTGTTGAGAGTATTAAGAAGGAGGCAAACGATCACTTAACAATTCCTCTCTTCACCCCTTCATTTTCTTACACTCAATTCACTCATATGTAATTTCCATCGACAGTACACAGTATTAATTGATATTTTGCAGCTTTACTCATATGTATCCACAGTGGACAGCTAAAGTATTGGGACACCACAAAATATGATCATTTTTCAATCTCCACATTTATAAAACTTATATCCAAAACAACCTTAATGAAGTTGTTAAACAATTTTTCCCATTTTTCATTAAAAATATTTCTTGAAAATATTTTTCAATCTCTGAAATCTTCTCAGTTTCACGAATATATCAAACTGTCTTGTCAATACAAAAAAAAAAAAATTAATTTATATTGCAGTGAAAATACGAGAAGAGCACAGTAATAAAATAGAAAAGTTGGTGTCCTCATTCTTTTGTTGCTCACTTTGAAGATAACAGAGAAGAAAATTGCATTGCAAAATTAATGATCGTGAAATTGATACACTTTTCTGCGATTAGTCGTATGAAATCATGTTTGCTGGAGGAGATACAAGAATAGATTAACCGCCAATTTGTTGGTCTCACAACATAAAACTTAATAGTTATGAGACTATACAGTGACGCTCAGAAGACTCGCGGAGAAAATATTGTGTGAAACTTCCTGTATAAAAAGCCAGTCATACATTGAATCCAACACTTATTACGGCAATGTTATCAGCGCAAGGCAAATTTGGTAGTTGAAATCTTGACCCCAAGCAATTGACCGATGATTTATTATGACTTTGGCCAGATGGCTCGAGTCAGGGGGTAAACAATTTGTGTTTCTACTCACTCTGACAATGGATGTGGCCACCATGTAACTGAGACGGTTGAACCACTGCACGTAGGATTCGAGATTCCGCGTTTTCTTGGCATCACCGGCACTGCTGCCCGGTGTGCCTGGCACGTGGGCGGAGTGATGAGCCGTCGAGGCATCGGTGGCAGTGAGATTCGGGGGGTTCTCCTTGCTAAAGGCCTGCACAAACTCCTCCGGACCAATGTAGGACAATCTCTCCAGCTCAATGTGCGTGAGCTGATGAGCTAGAACAGTTGGATTGGGACAGATGTCCGTGACATCCTGCACCAGTTGGCACATTTCACTCGGCGTTGTACTCTGTTGCTGTATATCGGTGGTGTGACTCAGCTCCTGTTGTCTCAGCCTCTCCAAAAACTCCTCGTAGCGATCCAACTTCGTGAGGCGCCCCACGAGCGTCTGCACTAGGTTTGTCACATCCCGCCTCAGTCGCGGATCGCATGCAATGCACTTTTGCGTGACCTGCTTCACCATCATCATCATCTGATCATCTCGAAAGTCATAGGGGAAAGTCTCCACCCACTCGGCGATCAGCTGCACAAAGTTCCTCACCACACACATCAGCTTCCCATCGTCCCTTGCCCGGCCCTCCAGCTGGAGCTTCTTCTGCTCCATGTCGCCCAGATGGCACACTTTGGCCAGCAAGTCCACCGGCTTGAGGAAGAGGCGACCGCTCAGGAGGAAGGCAAAGAGAAACTTCTGCTCCGGATAGTAGTCACACGTGGGCACCATGTGCTGAATCAAGGCCTCCAGCGGCGCCGCCACCAGCACACCATCGCGGTACACGAGAACACTGTTGGGTCCCACGTCCTCCTGATTATCCGAGTGTTGGTCCACTGACACCTGAAAGACAAACAGGAAAAATCTGAATATTCACGGGTCTAACATGCTAACCAAAGTGTGATAATTTCTTCTCAATACACAGAGATCATTCCGAAGAGCCACAAACAGTGGCTTCACGAATCACATGATCATCAAGAGATGGGTTTGAGGGTGTGTCAAACCACAGAAATTTTACAATTTCAAAGGTTTGGCAGCAACATTGCAAAATCCTGAAGCACTTGAGCATACATAATTGCTCTGCAAACACTCTCGTGTTGCGTTCAAAAATAAATAAATCTGGGCTAATATTTGAAAACAAATAGGGAAGCAATCTGGTCGTTTCAACCAGAAGATTTATTGCGAAAGATTCAGGATTTCTAACAGAAAAATATGTATTACGTAAGAAAGCTGCTGTGCAGATCGCAGAAATGCAACATGTTTTATTATATTCATTTGCAGAAAAGCCGAGAATTTCATTATTAATTATGCCACGATCGTTCTGTTAAAAAGGACTAATTCCAATTTTCCTGGGAAATAGGCAAACTCTGGTTAGGTCGATTAAGACTAGGTAAATTATCGCAGGCTTTTTTTCTTATTCTATCTAAATCATTATTAATGCCTAAGCAGAATTTGTCTTGTGCCAAGAAAATAAATCTAATCTAATTATTTTGTAAAAGAAATAAATAACGAATAAAAGAACAATAAAGAACGAAGTCAAGGAATTTGACGCTTTTACAAATACCAAGTTGTTTTTTCCCCACTGACCTGCAAGAATTTGCAATGAATTTATAAATAGTCACCCTGAATCACAATGCAGAAATATCAACAGTGGCTTCGAGCCTCGCTTCCAAACATTTAGCTAGCAATGGGGCCCACCTGAGGCGCTGTCTTGATGAAGATCGGCGTTTCTTCGCTGGCTGAGGGGAAATCGTCGTAGCAGGAGGACGAGGGCGTCCTCATGGTGGCCCTTGAGGTGTTGCCATGATGACCAGAGTCGGAGTTGCTGATGGTTGCGGCTGAGGTCGTGCTCCTGCCGTCCGCCGTGAGTTTGCACGAGGACACCGCCGGAATGCTGCAACCACTGCTGGACGGCGTGTCGCCCTGCTTCTGCGTGACCCGAGGCGTTCTCTGGCGTGAGCCCACTGGCTCCCAAACCTCGGTGCAGGAACTGGTGTAGCAGTTACTCTCCTTCTTCTCGCACATCCTCTCGTCCAGGACACGTCCGTCTCGCGCCACGCTAACTTCCTCCGTGTGCACGATGGAGGATTTGATGCTGAGGGAAGTCTCCAGACGCACGGGCTGCCGCAGGATGCCGGCCTGGTAGAGGATTTGGTTGAGGAGGTCACACGGAGGCACCTGGCCCGTACTCAGCGCCGCCCGGATGGCGTCCTGCTCAGAGCCGTCCAGGCGCACGGGAACCCCGTTGATGGTCAGCACCTCCTCCTCGCGCACCGTGGACGTGGTCTCGCAGTCCACAATGACACAATTTTTGCCCAGCACGGCCTCCACCGTCTTGAGAATGTCCTGCTCGTCCATGGCTCAGATGTCGTGACTCATCCTGCTCATCCTCCGGGACCTGCCCCACACCGCCTGCGCGCGGCCACTTCCGCACTCTGCGCAGAAGACACGCACTCGAGTGACCTCGGATCCGCCAAGAAATTGTGTCAATAGCCGCTTCTGCCCCGCCTCGACCGTCTTCTAAGTCGCACACTCCAAGCCACACAAGAAAACAGCCCACAAGCGTTACCAAGCGCGCCACAGACACTTCACAACTATTCCCGAATCACCAACAATTATGCACAGGGGAAACATCATTCGCGAACACAACAGGACAGTCTCTGGCACACACTGGACGAGGAGTCATAACAGTTAGAGTTCAGGAAGAGGGAGATACAGCCACTTTTGGGGAGTGCACAAACATTCACTGCAAAACAAACTGACAGACTGACGAATCGATGAAAATTAGTCGGCGTGGTTTCGCACTTTTCTTCGTAAAACCTTTGAAAATTTCACATGAAATTTTGAAAGATTAAGCAACCCCTAAGTCTAAAAACAGTCTGTTTATAAATATGTGGTGGGTGGAAAATATCTATTTTCCGGGTTCCTACTCTTCTTTTGCACCTCTTTATACAAAATTTCACGAATTTTTCCATGCCATAATGTACATCGATTGTCCACTCATCGAGTGACGCTCACACTTAAATTCACACTATGCCACACCAGAGGGCGCACACTCGTGCATTTGCCATGGACTGTTGGAGCGTTTCCAGAATGTTTTTTTTTTCTCTATCAGCCGTTCATGTTCATAACAATTACGTTCTGCATACCTTAAGGCTGAGGGGCACAGGGAGTGCCAGTTGAATGACTTTTTCATCCAATGTAATTAAATTTTACAGGTAATTTCCTCCTCCCTTTCACTAACATCGAACGCTTTTATGGAAACAGTTGCGCGACATTTTTCTGATAATGTTGCAATTTGTTGGATGTGCAGAGATTAAATAATTTTACCATTTGCTGTGGTCTTCGTCGCTCCACAAGGTGCTTATCCTGGATGATTCGGCAGTGTTGCTTCACTTCCTCCGACAGCTGGTGAATCAAGCGGTGTTGGTGAAGGTGCAGAGGTCCCGAGGGAGTCCCTGAAGTGGTCTGGCTGACACTCTGTGGCTTCCTGGCGGACGTGTGGGCAGCATGACTCTCAGAGCCACTTCCGTCCACCTGAGACTGGGCTTGTGGAAGTCTCCGAGCGGCCGGAGGAGGTGGAATATTGGTGGGTTTCGCCGGGATTGGCGGCCGTCTCTTGTCGCTGGGCTGCAGCATTCTTCACCCGCACATCACTTGATCACCGAAATGTGGGAAAACTCAGAGGGAAAGTCCCGAAAAACGAATTGTGGGAAAATATAAAAGGTTTTCGCGTCAAATGAGGGATTAATTCCTGGTCGACAAACACTCAAGAGACGTAGCCACCCTTCTTTGTTGTGATTTCAGGACGCGTGCGCGACGCAAGAGCAACAAAAAAAAACAACCCCTTTCGCCCAGATTCGACGCATTTTCCAACCCTCCGTGGAAAAACATATTTGAATAAGTCGTTGAGAAACATCGAACCTCGGCTTTGACCGGCATTTTTGTGACCCAGAGAAAGGCAGAAGAATAAAATTGACCGCTTCAATGTGTTTCTTCTTAAGATCACAGTTCTGAATCGACAGAATTTGCATAAATGAGAATTCACCGCGGAGATTGGAGAACATAGCAAAGTGAGGGGTTCATCCACTGAATTATTTTGAGGTAAAGTTTATATTGCAAACTTTTGCTAAACACTTTCTATGAATTTTTCGTGAGAATTTCACACGAAATGGCATGATTAGCGACTTAAATTCTAATTTATCTGCAAAATTCAGCGAGGAAAGGTCATTCTCGTGTATGAAATCACTCATTATTTAGTGTAAATGAAATCTTGTCTCCCTTGTTATACTCCCATCTACTCATCCTCACTTCTTTGTCATGTCTTTTTCGCATTTTAATAAAGATTCTTTAATTTGCAACTCATAAATTTTAATAGTCAAGTTTTTATTACAAGATGAAGAAAATTGACTTCAGAGCAGTTGAATTTATTATAAGGTTTTATCAAACTGAAAATTAACACTGGCTTTTCACCTGAATTAAAATTTCTTTTCATTGCAATGTCTTTTTTGATCAACATGAAAACTTTCAATCTTCATGATAAGCAACCCAAGTTAAAGCCTTCAGGACCCTAATAGAGGACAGTAACACTGATCTTAGACCGCCAGGCAATCTCTAATGATGTAAAACTCTTCTGAGCTCATTAAGGCTTATGAAATTCACCAACGGTAAAGAAATTCCCCTTCTTCCGCGTTAATGACACGCTCGTAAACTTGCTCATAGTAAATCTCAATATTCGAGTGATAGATTTGCAACACACCAATGAGAGAATCTATCTTGTGTGGGTCTTCGCCAAACCAAACAGAGTTTATGTGAAAAGAATTAACAGCAAAGAATGGGAAAAAACGCGCTAGAAACCGTTTGGCTTTGAAATGTGTGTGCAGAATGGAAGAAAAATGCGAAGATGCCGCAACATTGGCAATGTCATCACGAATTCCCTTAAATCAACATTTCGTGTTTGATTATGCGGAACTGTGGTAGAGAGATGAGGAAAACGCGCCGTTAAAAGTAAAAATAACCGTGTGGCATGCAGGGAAAATCGAACAAGTTGTCGAGAAGAAGAATAAAGCAGATTGAAGGTGTTCTTAAACATCCTTCTCTATAGAGGGTTTATCATAAGTTTTATATTTGTAAAATGAAATATCAGTAACACCATTTTTTTCTTACACACCTAATCATTCACTTCACATTGTTGTGGACTCAGTAAATTACATCGACGCATTTCTACATGACATTAAAGTAAATATAGCTTTGTTATTGAATTCTGTGATGAGATAAAGAGACCCCTAATCCTTTGTGATGCTGGCATAATAATCCACAATTTGCTTGTCTCATCATAGAATTCCGTCTAAGATTAGTTCCTTTCCTTATCCATCCTCTGCAATTTTACTTTCCTGACAATTGAGGCACAGAAATTGGCCCCCAGGAGAGGCATATTCGCACATTGCAATTATTCCCTCGCTCCGCATGACGCTGTTTTGTTTGTTGTTCAATGGCAAAACACTCTCCATGGCGCTTCTTCGGCGTGAATCTCAGAGGCGGAGTGACGGGAGAAGAACGGTGAGAGTCGAGAGCAAGAAGTTCATCAGTCACTGGCTCAGTCTGGCGAAGACATTGTCTCAGAGAAGTTGCATTTCTCAGTGCGGAGACGGTTGAAATTTACCGCGGAAAACTCGTTGGACTTTGTGCAAGTGTGAAAGTGTCTCAGGAAAAATGGTGAAGGCACTCTTCAGTTCCCTTATTATCCTACTGATTGGGAGTTTCTTCTCGCTGAATACAGTTTGTGGCATCCCAAATCATTTTTACGGTAATTAAATGTGTCTCTTTATCTTCTTTCAAAGACTCACAATATTCCAATTTGACGACATAGTGTGTAACAGGTTTCAAATGACTTCCCGGCATAGAATAAACCGCAACGAATTTCGTCTGATGGCATATTCAATCTCTGGACAACTTCCTTGCGGTTCTCTCTTCAATGTCTCACATCATTTTCACGGCTTCTTTTGGGAACATCCAGTAATTGAATTGTTAGATGAATGGTTTTCTGAAGAGGAGTGCGCGGGGATTCATGTCTTCATAAAAAAGAGTGGCTCGTAAAACAGCCACCGCGAGTTGCATATGGAAAGTGGGTAGAGAGCAATAGAACAAAGATAATTGCAAATGGGCAGACACACAGTGGTAGCAATTTTATCATAATATTGAGGCTAGATTTCTCATGAATTGGCTCAAACCTGTCCAGGGATCATTCTTCAGGGTCTCGGGGACGATTTATTGGACAGCCGCGTCTCATGCATTTGCAAGTACATTTGAGTCTCTCTGATCTAATTTAGATTGCAGACGTTATACTTTGATAATACTGGACGAACCACTCTTGACCGTTATTGAAAGATGCGCGATTTTGGCCTGCGGCCGCAACTTGTCATCGACAAAAATACTCCTTCCTTCCTGCGTGACCATTAAATCCACTCTTAATACTATTCCACGACTTCTTTGACCATTAAGTATTTATTGACCTGCTTGTGTAGCCGCAAAATGCAAATAAACCGGCAAATTTACGTGCAGCCCCATTGATGGATAAGTGCTCGCTCCATCGCCACTTCAAGGTAAACATTTTTTGCCAAACGCTTTTATCAGTGGTTCAACACTGCAAGTCTGCTTGCGGTGACGCCAATGCAAACACTTTAAAACACTCCAAAAAGTCAGATAACATACTCTCCGACACTGAAGAGCACATCATCGAGTGAAATTTCGAATTTCACGGTTCTATTCCAGCAACAAAACATCTCTCATTAATCTTTTATGCATTGTACCTGGAGTATCTGTAAGTTTGGAGCGCCTCACAAACACCATGGCAATTACAAGTAAGCCTTAATAACCACTTTTTGCGGATTCAACGTAAAAAGACATGTACTGAAAGCGCAGTGCGTGAAATATGGGTAATTCTTCTGTTCTCAGTGACACAGTTAAGTTCTTATGAACAAAACGCTGATGGAGAAGAAAACAGTTTGGTACAATGGTTCTTACGAGATAATACGATGCTGTCTAATCAGCATTTTGGAGAAACTTCTGGGTGGAGATTTATTGCTTCACACTTTGAAGATCATCAATTTTTAGATGGAACTCTTACTTTAATCGCCAAAAGAAAGCAAAACAGACTTTCTAACGCATGATCTGAATAAATGGAGATATTTAAAAAATTCGGGCTCTTCTGAGAGGACGCGTGAAATTTGAATAACAGGATCTTTAACAGAACGCCTCAAACATCTGTTTTCCTCAATAATATTCATATCATTGCTTCAGCTTTTTGGCTTGTCATGTAGACAACATATGTACGTAAATAGAGGTCAATAGACAATAGCGCTATGTTAAGTATGGCTCATGAAAATTATTTGTGACTTTACTAGACATTAATCGATTGATATGAACTAACAGACATTAATCGATTGATATGAATTAGCACTTCACAGAAGACTTTGGATTTGGGATAAAAATGGATGAGAGTTATATTGTTCAATTTATTTACCATAAATATAACTCCATGCTTAAGACGCTCACTGATGATAACAGCTTCCATTTCTGCAAGAATTTCTCTGTGTTCATCGCCATCTAAGGGAACGAGGCACAAAATGAGTTGTAATGGATCGATATGTGCGGCGTGCAAATGTATGCATTTTTCTCGTGCTCTTAACGGTATTGAGTGAAGTTCTGCCACCACCGCGATAGACTGCCAATCTATTGTTCTTGTTGAGTAGCAAGAGTGGTCACAGAGGCAGTAGCTAGACTTTCTCCCATTAATCTGATAACAAATTGCTGTTCACTGCTACCCTGGGTGTCTTGAAGCCATCATCCGTGCTCATGCCACGGTCAATGATAGCAATTACGGCCTTTTAAGCGTGGCAATGTATGGAATTCGCGCACGCAACAGTTGAGGCAGGGACCCCTCTTATGAACCATATTGGTCGCAGCAGGGAAAAGAGCCGCTAGTGTTGCATTGTTGGGCCGCAATGGATGAGGTAATGAAGACAAAGGGATCATTCATTACACCTGAAGGGTCATATACACCGCGCTTCGCGATATCGACAATGGATTATGCGTGCGATTTCTCCCATTCGTCATCCCCCTCGATGATGGCTAATGCCCAGAAGTGAGGTGACTGACCCAGTCCTGACGAGGGTCATGCCTTCTAGACCACATCTCTCAGCTACTGTGGGTCAAAGAGGCGTGTCTCTGCAGATCTCTAAACATATGCAGATCATTATGAGATTGCCAGACAATTTTCGGGTTCGTCAATTTTTTCTGAATGCCTCGTGAGCACGCATTCAAGTCACTTGTTTCACGCTAAATAACCTCATGTGTACAGTATAGCTGAGAAAACCACAGGAAAATTAATCAAATCATCCTCAATCATCTTTGGCATAAGACATCTGCACGAATTCCCTTAACGAGTCATCGCGAATTGAAATATTCTTGTCTGTTTCACAGCAGGTCTGTGCACTAAACGGTCACAGATGAGCATGTAGAACACGAGAAGAGCACCGGAATTTGGCGGAAATTGCTGAGATGGGAATCTTTCAATTCTCTGTGAAGTGGTCATGGCAAACAGTATGCTCTTTATTGTTACATTTCAATTTTAATCTTGGATTATATGTTCGTCATTATTTGTAAGGGAGTGTCAGTACTGTGTTTGAGGAAGTTAAAAGGATTTTCACACAAAAAGAACCCCCAAAATTACAGAAAGTCCTGAGTGTATTCTTGTTTAGCCCTTGACAAGAAACACAATTTATCAAAGCTTTTAGACTCCACTCTGTATTATGATATGCCTCTTTCGCTACGCAGTAAGGAAATGCACAGTTACTCGGTCAAACATCCAAGAGTTTCCTCGTGTACAATAACTTTTTTCACACTTGCGCCAGTCGCAAGATTGGATGGCTCTGAATATTGCATCCCGGTGGGTGTCTCAATCATGACCTGTCCATTGAGACAAATCATGAGTACGCCTTTTGTCTCCCAGTCACGATGGATTTATGCGGTGTTTCCTCGTCAGAAGCGGAAGATTCTACTGCTTTTTTCTGCAACATCATGCGGTGTAATGAGTAAAGAAAATCCCCATCGATATGATAAATCACTGGCCGATTTCGTGCCTCTGACTGATGGGCTTTTCAACGATGCACGCTTTTCCAGCAGTCTCACAAGAAGAAATATTGAAATGGGGACGCATACGATTGGGAAATGGGTTAATCACCTAGCCTAATAGCGAACAACAGCAGCCGGACTAAGTGAAATATTATGCATATAAAAATTCTCAAAGCAGTACAGCGTCAAAGAAATTCTAACTGTGCAGGGGTATTTTGCGCGCTTTGTAGGTAAAAATCATTTGCTCACTTCTTTTGCAATTATCGCTCAAAATACACTTAATTGAGTAACTGGAACGAATCTATAAGTGTCTTCCATTCAACCTTAATGGCTGTGGCAAGCCATTTCTCCGATCCGCTGGTAATGAGCTTCAAATAGAAATTGTGAATAAGATACATTCAATTAGCCGTCAAGTCTGCATTAGAATATCTTAATGGAATTGCCAAGTCGCATTGGACAAACGATCATTTCGTGCACCTGGTGAAAATCAAATTAAACATTCTGATGTGAAGTCTTACAGCGAGTGCCTTTAATAGCATTCTGTAGTTAATAATTGACAACTAGTGTGATGATCAGTGATTTAATATAAAAACACGGACAAAAATTTGATTGCTGCAACAAACGCTATATGAACAACTTTCCCATAATTTCTCAAATATTCTGTACTGCATTCTAACATCATAATATGCAGGAACAACAAAAAAAAACCACCTCAACAAAATTGCAATCCAATTTCACGCCATTAATAATTAGATTATCTGTTTGAGCGCACGCAAGAGATTTTGCTGCAAAGAATTTTCATGATTGAACAATAGTAATCCCCTAGATCATCGTGCAATCTTCTCAAATTAGCACACGAGAGATGGAATTCTTCGTGACTGAGTCAAATCAAATACCTTAAATTAGATGTTTATGTGATGATAGAGAATTTCTGAACAGAACGCCAGCATAGCGAGAGAAAGTCCAATTGCCCAGAAGAGAAAGATCGCCTGAACGTTGTCCATGGTGAACTTCTTGCGGTCCGTGGGATTTTGTGGCATTTCTGGGACAATATAGTGTCCTTTGCGCCACGTCTGCTCAATGCCCGCCTCAATAACACGTCTAAAGTACGTGTTGAGGATTGACCAGAATGGCGATCCCCAGCTCACGATATAAACTGCATGGTCAGGAACTATTGTGTAAAATCATAGAATTCACATTGATAACATTCAGAGATTATCCCTCCATTTCACTCACTCAACGGAGATTTCATAAGATGATACATTGGCTCTCCATTGCGGGCGAATCTCTTGAGGTCGATGTAATGCTGCGCTCTGGACTTCAGCGTGATGAAGGCTTGAGGTGTATTAGCGTCGATCATCCTTATCATGTCACTCTGCGATTTGATCGTGAAATACTTCTCAGGAATTCCTGCATATTCCTCACCCAGAATCGATTTATTTCTGTAAAGCTCCATCAAGCTGACTCTATTGCTTAAGATGCCAACTCTAAACTTGCTGGCCGCAAGTTGATACACCGTGTTGATGTCATCCTCATAAAAGGGCGCAATAAAGATGCTCGTTAGACGACTCACGAAGGCGTTGAGGATCAGGAAGCTGAACATTGACCATGCGATAAAAGAAATGCGATGCGCGTGACGACGGGGCGGAGAGTGAGTGGATGTCCAGAAAAAGACAGAAGTAGTCTCTACAAAAGACGAACTGAAGGCACGAAGTGATCTGCCTCCATCTCTTCTGCTCTGTTTTCTGAACACCGCATTGACGGCCAGAGTGAGGCAATACGAGATGAAGATCAGGATCTTCGACTCGTGGTCAAAGGTTCGTAAGAAATTAAGCGACATGGGAATCGTCTCAGCTTTCGGCACGATAACAACAACCGGATCTTCTAGGAATGGATAGAGACTCTCTACATGGAACGATGGAATAAGGCTGCGAGTGTTGAGAGCAATATCCGCCCTCCGATTAGCAACATCAGCTGCCGCTCCACCCTTAATTACGCCACAAGTTTGATTGAAAAACTCTTCAAAGCTGAAATTGAAAAATAGATTTTACTGAAATATTGCAAAACAATTCAATACATACACAAATCTTAATTTCGTAATATTGATTTTGCGTTTATACACGAACTTATCAATAGCCCCTATTTCCTTCCATTGCGCATTACGATAGAAAATCAATGCAATACAATTAAGTAAATAAGCATTTGTTTTGTCTGTGTTAAAAAAGATTGGGATTTTGAGAAAGTGATTGGGAATCTCAATGAAAAATAACAACAAAAATTTTAATTTCCATTATCTCAAATTTGATTTCAAGATAAATAACAAAAAACACAAAAATAGCAAATACTTTCAAACGTACCCGAATTTTTCAGTTCCATTGGGAGAAATTAGCTCTATAGACGCATTGAGGTAATCTGGGATTTCCTTCCACAGCCTTCCATCAGTTCCTCTCCAGTTTTGCTCTTCAATCTTATCAGAACGACTAACATTGATTGCCTTTGGTTCCAAGTTGAAGAGAGACATTTTAAATGGTTTTCCATAGAGATTACGCATTTTGTCTCTTGGAAAATAATTTTGTGGTTTTCTATAATTAAAGTAACACACTTTTATACAAAAACATACAAAAAATATATTTTCAAGGAAATCTTACTCATTAGTCAAATCGATAAACATATCATCTTTGTAAGGATGATAGGAAAAGGCTAGAGTTTCGTCATTCTTCTCTGGGTTTGTCATCAAAACAACCACTTGAATCATATTAAGTGACCAACAATCTGTGAAAAATCTGCTCAAGTTGTCAAGTATGTCGACACGACTCTCGAAATGATAAGTCTGGATAACAATTGTAAACATTGATCGAGGATTAATTGTGAATTCTTGAAAAATTTTCTGAATGAATTGAAGACACTGTAGAAGATCATCACAAAAAGCCACAGCATCCGTGAAGCATTCTGGCAACCATCTCAGGTACCGCAACTTCTTTGTCACTCTGTAATTCCGGTCAATAATTGACGAGGCGAAAGGGACATTCGTAGCACTACTCAGGAATTTATCTATTCCTGAAGATTCCGCAGAGCTGTTAACGATCACGAGTGTAGTCTTTGACGTGTTGTAATTGAATTGATGAATTTCAATTAACTTCTCCACGAGTGGCACAGAGGAAATTGCCAGCGATGAAAGGAGAACGAATGGTGTTAAATTCATTGCTGATTAACTTCTGGAATCCAACTCTGAAATAGGGCGCGCAATTGGATATCAACGATTACATTGCCATGGCTCACCCGCTTTTCAATTGCACCACTTTATCTAATGCGATTCCGCCTGATGCCAGTGATATGGGCAAGAAATTGAGGGGTATGGCTTAGTAATTATCTTGTCAACCTCTTGCGGCAATGAATCATTCTTCACTGAGGACTCTTGAAACTCTCACTTTCGCGGCTGTGTGGAGAAGCAAGAAAATTTATTAATTCATTTTATAGCCCACATCCACACATAATGGGAGGCAAAGAGGCTCAACTAGAGGAGGAACAGCGTTGGACTTCTTACCATAAGAATTGTCCATAAGCATCCATTAACCGTTTTTACCTCTTCTTCGCTGCTTCATTTTCCTTTTGCATTGAATTGTGCGTATGTTGGTACAGATAATTTTCTCATTTCTCCTCAATATCTTTTACCTCTTCATATTCAATGATGCAATCGTAAAACTGAGGATTCTGATGTTTGCTAGATGATTTATTAATATTAATAGCAAATAAAGTTGTTAGTAATCCTAACTGAATGATTTTACATACAATTTTATTCGAGAACTGGAAAATACCGACAGAGTGACATTCATTACTAAAATTGGCCACCAAAGTTGAGAAGATCCCGACAAATTGAAATATTCTAATGAGACTATTCCTCTTTCTATAGTATACTTTGCATCACAAATTTGCAAATTTTCTCTTTGGGTTAAAGAAAGAACCTCTTCTCGCCATTTCTCACAATGTGTCAGTGGAACTGTAAATTATAATTGAGGGGAGACTCACTCCAAAACTGAACAAGATAAGAGTAATTGTTCAGAGCTGAGAATTGAGTGATCACTATCAGTGTCGTAATTCAATTCACAAGAATCATGACATAATTTCAGTGGTTCTGACTGTTAAACCCATCAATCAAGAAACAACTAAGGAGGCAGTACGTGTCTCTTAGCGTCTTTGCTGGTGCTGAACCCATGGCACAATGGAGACGGTGAAGAAGTGGAGAAAATTCTTCTTGACCACTTCCCAAAACCATTCCCAGAAGACTCAACAAATGACACCTCATTTGAGAACAATAGTGATTCTTCTATTGCATCATAAATTGAGAAGACTTATTGTGCAGAAGGAATTCACTATACGTATAGTCAAAATTGAAGTAACGGACAAGATTCTACCTCTTCTCGCTCATCTAATTGAGATGTACAGCCGTGAGAGTTGAATTAAGAGCATTAAATTGGCGTTGGCGCTATAGCCAAAGAATTGATCAGACACAAGGTGGATATGAATTGCATGGCGTCTCTTCCGCTGATTCACGACCACAATACATAGTATGATGATTATTAGTTTAATCTATGAGTGCAAGGTAAACAGTCATATCTTGAAACTGAAATGCTCATATACGTATAAAATTGAAGTCAGTTTCTAGAGTGCATTTAGTCACTTTCGAATCATGACAGCGATCAAGTTGCTTTTAATATTCGCGCTTGCTGGAGCAGGTGAGAGTCACAAATATATTTATTGGATATGAAAACGCTAATTCCGTGAAACCTTATAGCCAACGCTCTGGAATGCTACCATTGTAAAAGTGAGGAATACGGGAGTAAATGCATTAACAATACTTCTGAATGGCAATTGCTAGAATGTCCTCCTGACATGACAGTGTGCTATATATTTCTACAACGTCAATCAGGTATTAATCCTATTGAATTGTTTTAACAGGACTAATAATAAAACCTATTTCTTGTCAGATAATCATACGATTGGATTAGCTGAAAGAGGGTGCGCTCCAGATATGAACCATTGCAAAAACCTTATAGGGATAGATAAGAGTTATCGAAGTGCTCGCATCGCTCTCAATTGTCACGTTTGCAATCAATCAAAATGCAATTCTAGAAATGCCTTGAATATGAATTCTTCGCAAAGATCATCTTTGAATATCTTCCTGTTTTTGCTACCCATTTTTATGATGTCTAAGATGTTGTGTGGAAAATGATGAATGAAATAAAGACGACAAATTCTCCTTTATCAGTTAGTTTTCTTTGGCGGAACTTTTTATTCAATATAATGTTGATACAATACAATCGCCTATAGTTCACCAAAAATGTAAGTATAAGGATTTGTTGTTTGAATTATAAATGAAAATATTCTGAATGATAGAATTTCATAGAGAAAATACAAAAGTTTAGCAAAATTATGAGTAGGTAATTTTCAATATTTCAAGACTTAAATAACAGAAAAAATCACCTTAATTGTGTCAATAAAAATCTGATTAAAATCCCCTGGACAGTTTTACACGTCACTGTACAAACTTTTCTGTGCTATTTTTGATCAAACTCTCATCATCCTAGCTGACCACTTTATTTTTAGTTGTTACAATCACTCGCGCTTTATTTTAGGATTATAAGCACCAGTTTATTTACAGTTTAATGGTAACGATTTCTCGCTTTAAAACATGCATTATCCCATGAAGATTCTCTTCACAATCATCAAAAGGGACAGGAGAAGTAAAGGGACATTGAGGGAATTTCTCATGGAAGAACTTATGTCCAAAGCACTGATGTTATTGCACTTAGCCACATTGCATATGCCACAGCTTTCATAGTAGCGAAAACTGACGCCTAACGGACCCAAGAGATCCCTGCAGAAATCCAGATTCTCAGCACATCCTCTCTCGGCAATTCCTTCGCTGTCATCTCCTGAAAAGTAAAGTGACACACATTTTATACAGAATTCCCTCCCACCTTCGATTGTAATAGACTTATGTAATACTTGTATTCCGCTGGAGCCTTATAAAGCACGCTTTTTCGGTAGGTGGGCATGTCATTACGGTCCATTGGGAGGTGTCATTCTTAACGCATTTATTCCCGTAATCGTCACTTTTGCAGTAGAAGCAATCCAGGGCACTCGCTGGAAGATTTCATGAGTTATTGACTTGATTAATGAATATTTGACAATTTTTGGCACTCACCCGTTGCAACGAGCAATGTGAAGAGAAACAGCTTGATCACTGACATCATTGAAAAGCACGACTGAAAGCGAGCAGCGTCAAGAGTCAAATGAGATTATTGTGAAAAATCAAGTTTCGAGCGTGGATCCATTTTTGGCTTTCGCCTACTCTTGAGTTTACCTTGCACTTTTCTTTATTACCCGCCGATCATCTCAATAGTATTTATGACATCCATATGAGTGACAGAAGAGGAGGAATATTACATATTTGCTATTTCGGGATCCACTCGTTTCCTGTGTGAATAAACTCTCTTGCCTGATGGTATGTTATCATTTATTTTTAATAGTTTTAATTCTCACTCCGCTCAATCCTTTGGTACTAGCAAGATTATTTATATACATAAATGGTGATTGAGGAATTTTCTCATATTTAAATCTTTGTAGCAATCAGAAGGAAAGGCAACAGAAGTGAGAGAATATTCATCGTGTTCCTTCCTGAAGAATTTATCTCCAAAGCATTAATAATGTTGCATTTCGCTCTGTTGCACACTCCACAACTTTCATAATATTGAAGCTGTCTTCTTGCTCCCAGTTGCCCAAGTAAATCCTTGCAGAAGTTCAAATTTAGAGCGCATCCTCTTTCAGCGAATCCATCCAAATCATACTCTGAAAATTGATCCACAGAAAAATATTGTTCTGCATTCGATTTTAAATCCAATTTTAAGTACCTTTTTCGCGACGAAGTCTTATATAGCACGCTATTTCGTGAGGTTGGCATGTCATCACGGTCCATTGGGAAGTATCATTGATGCATTTATCCCCGTGATCTTCACTCTTGCAATAGTAGCAATCCAAGGCACTGACTGGGAATTTTTACAAACTTTTAGTCCCTTTCATTTCAGCGATTATCATTATTACACTCACCAGCTGCAGCGAAAATCACTAAGAAAACTAACTTGATCACTAGCATAATGTACAAAGCACAACTGAACGTTAATAGAGACAAAAATCAAATGAAATCATTGTGAAAAACTAAGAAACGAGATTCCTTCTTTGGTATCTCGCCTACATACTCAGACAATACTGAGTTCACCTTGCACTTGGATGATCCAATCCAGATCGTCATAAACAATGTATTCAGAAACATTATTGAAATTCTATGTCATTCTGTGAATGTGTTGAGATACTTCTATTACTGTTTCTATGAAAATGAGGAGGCATTTCAAGGCAAATTAATAAAAAGTATGTATTTTGGAGACTTGCCAATGAGTCGGATGAATATTTTATGAACTTGATTTTCAACTATTCTACATAGAACATCATTTTTTCCCACATAAATCAAACTGGTAATGTCTTTCATATTGATTTCTTCAGCTCATTCAGGCCCATAATTATCTTTGAAATCCATATCATTTTATTGCGTCAATCGCTGCACGTTTCAACCCAGAAAAAACCTCAATTGAAACCTAATCTTCCCGCAGTTCATCATATCGATGCCTGTGTTGGAATTACGCTTGCAATGTCATGAATGTGCTTCAGCAGCTAATTTACCAGCATAATTTCTAGCAATAAAATTTACAAGCACAGTAAAAGAAATGAGTAATTCCACAGACTCTTTGGCGGCGTGTTGGAATGACAATAATTTGTTGGATTCTTCCTGTGTGGGAAGATTAATCAAAAAGTCTTCTAACAAATTAGTCGAGGCATTGTCTTTCGCTTCCAGACATTCAATTGACGAGTTCTCACTGGCGGATTACTTCAGTAGATCCGACAATCCGACACCTTGTGGAGCAATTTGACGGATTGCCTCGCAAAAGGGCTCTTTCTATGGTGTCACGAGAAGAAATGATCCACGGGGACGAGAAAGCATTCAATAACATGAAAGGTCTAACGGGAATGTGCCGATGAATAATTCATTCATGTTGTCGCGTCTATGCCTTGAATCACTTCTGAGCCCATTGTCTTGCCAGCCACCAGACACGAAAGTGCAATTAACATTGAACTTCTTTTTCGGTGCACACAGACATCAAATCGCTGTCAGGAGAGCCCAGCTATCGTTCCGTGAATCTCACATGGGAGATCGAAGAGGTGGCCCAACAGGAGCCTTCGCCCTCTGCACCCGCCTTCACTGTCTTCTACTGCGAAATGCAAACCTGGGGCGCTCACAGATGCAAATCGAAGGTGTTTCAGGACAATGAAATTCCCAACTCCCGGCAGCGAAGGCAGTTCTCAATGGTCATCGACAATCTGCGCATGGCCACGAAATACACATTTCACGTGAAAGAGCAGAAGACAGCAGAAACCAGAGGACCATCGCCCAGATCAGATGATTTCAGTGACGAGAACAGCCTAGATGATAAGGCATTTCGCGGACAGACAATCATAATTCCCACTAAAGGATGTGAGTAAAGAATTTATCTTTTTAATTAAGGGATTATTGAAAAATGTGCTCATCTTTCGCATCTTTCAGTTGCCGCTCATGCCACAAAGTGCCTCCCGAACGCTTCTGAAATTGAAGTGGAAACTGGACCCTATTTTGGTGGACGCATCATCGCTGAGGGCAGTGATTGTGGCATTGAAGGAGATATACAGGATCCTCGCTCCAGCTATACAATGCGCATAGATCACGAAAAGTGTGGCAGTCGCGTGAATCAAGAGGACTATACAGTGAAGACGTTGATTACTGTTCAAGAGAACCTCGGAATCTTCACGCACAGCACGCGACGTTTCGTCGTCGTGTGTACATATCAGCCGGAAACACTGACCGTGAGAGCGAGTTTCGCGGTTCCTGGACGCGGAGGAGCCACCGTGATGTCTCCGGAGTGGCACAAAGAGTCCGCAAGGAATGCTAGGGAAAGAAACTTCAAGATGGTGCATCGAAATGAGTTGATCACGAAGGAGAATGATCCCGATCGTGAGGTGGAAGTTGCGAATTTAATCCCTGACAATGATTTCTTCAGTCAAGCGAAGTTTTCTCGTCTAATCGATGATCATGCTAACGACAGGACAGCAGGAGATGAAATGTCATCCGGTCGTGGCTACACAGGCATCGTCATTGCTGTCTCTCTATCATTGATCACAATGGGAAGCCTCATTTACCTCGTGAAGCGCGAATTGAGACAAAAGGAACTGAAGAAGCAATTAACTTTCACCGCTGATAGATTTATGCCATGATGATCGACAAACCATGTAAATATAGTCTTCGCGTCCCGATGCACAACTCCCCAATATGCTCTCTTGTCTTATCAAATGGAAAGCATCTCGCCGCGCTCGACTTCTGTTTGATTCAAGATAACAGGGCATAGGAATTCTCCTCCACAATGCTCCAATGCTCACAATGGGACTCAAAAGTATCGGAAATCTCGTTCAATAGAACGAAAAATTTGAGATTCTCCCAAAACTCCAAAGTCTGATATTCTATACATTTTAAGCAATATGAAATTTTGTGAAGCACTTAATAAAAATTGAGAAAATCATTTTATTGGCAAATTTCTTGTATTTTTCTGTTTCACTGCATTTTATGTTCATTAAATCTCCAATATTGATGTCCTCTCTCGCTTCTCCTCATCTTTTATGCCAAAGATCTTAATCTCTTTCTGCATTTTCGCCTCAGAATGTAAACTTTTCTTAACTTTCTCGTTCAGTACTTTTAACCCATTTTCCGCATGAATTCGACACCGCTCATCTACCTCTGTTTCCTTCACGCTTTTCAGAAGGCGATATGTTGGCAGCAGGAAATCTTGGAAGTCTAGCAGATTGTCCACACCCTCGAGTATTTGAGCAAGAGTGAGAATTGCGGCTCTTCGGCTAGGCAGATATTTGTCTGTCTGCAGAATGGAATAGATTGTGTTGATCATTTCATGGAAGAAATTGTGAATTTGGTATGTCAAAAGTCGACAAATGTTGCCTAGATTGTACAGCGAAGATGTCCGAAATTCGTTATGAGGATTTCCAGAGCCTCTCAAGAAGCAACTGATGAGAATTCCTTTAAATTTGAACGCCATTTGACCCAAACTTTCAGTGATCTTTACAATCACTTCTCCTACTTTCAGTCTGAAGTCCATTTCTTTATCCGGGTTTTCGTATTCATGAACAAGAGTTTCAATTGCTGTCTCATTCAGGTACATTGTCAGCAAGACGAGAAGGCGAATACAGGTGAGGAAGGAATAGGAATCCTCATCTGATAGATATTGCAAAACCACGTGAAATATTGAGTGAAGATTTGCAAGAGTTTCCACGTCTTTCTGTTCAATCAATTTGATCATCTCGCTCATCCCGTAAACTCTAATGTGGGGCATTTTCTCATCGCACAGCTGACGGACTTCCTGGAACTTTGACTTCACGGTGGTGCTCTTCTTTTCGTCTATGATTTCCTCCAAGAATATATCGATGTATTGAGAGATTTCTTGGGTTTTCGATTGGATTGTCCGCAAAAGTTTTATCAATTCTGTCCTGAATGCCTCTGTCTTTTCTGCCGCTACAAATTCCCTTAAAATTGACATCAGAATAATCACAGTTTCTGTGTCCACTTCCTCTTTAAGATCCTTTTCAGCTTCATTCCGAAAAACATTGAGTATAAATGGCACAATATCCTGAGGATTCTCTCGCAAGAGAAAATGAATTGGCTGGAAGCTTAACAGTTCAGAGAGGCTCACTATCAGTAGAGTTTTTCGTTTGAAAGTTTCTTCAATCACTTGATGCACATCTTCAGCTTCTAGAAGACCCAATTCTGGCTGCTTCGTCTTTTCTTGAAGGCATTTTTCAAACAATCCAAAAAGTATTTTCAAGACATTGTATGTCAACAGGTTGTGATTGGATTGCTTGAGAATCTTCAATAGATTTCCCGACGTTTCCATCTCTTGTATGTCTTCCACTGGTCCTATTTGAATGGAAAACTCACCTTTCCTCATCTCTTTCACCATAACTCGAGGATGAAGCCTCAAAAGATTAGGATGATTCTCCCCAAAGAGAAAAATCTCCACTAATTTATGTAGTTCTTCATCACTTCTATTGCTGAGGCACTTCACAATGAGATCCTTGAGGATTTCTTGGTGAAAACAGTTATCTGGAAACTTTGCGTGAAGTTCAAATAGAATAGGAAGAACATTCACCAAGATACTACTCTTAGCTCCGGAAACTGATCCTCTAAATGCTCTTGCATTTAGCTTCAAATTGCTCGTTAATGCTTTGTTGTCCAATAGAATCACGCCTGTGAGGCTTTCCTCAGGATCTGAGAGTCTCTTGAAGGTTCCAACGAATATTTCTTCAACTCTTCTCTTCACTCCCTTGCTCTTCACCCCATGAAGGGAATTCAAACAAACAATTGAAGCTTCCACAATGAGATCATCTCCTCTCTCAATCGCATCTACGGCTTCAGAAGCAATTTCCTCAACGATGAAGAGATAAAACGAACTTCCATGACCTGGAGAAGCGATTATTTTTGCCAGTGTCTCACATTTCTTCCATTGAGGAGAGTTTTGTTCCTTTGACGCGACAATATTATTGGCCAGTGAGAGAAATCCTCCAGGAAGATGAAGCAGCCTTGTCAGTTCTTCATGCAAGACTTGTGAAAACTCCCTGGGAAGTTGAGGAGAGCCTTTCAATAGAAGAAGATATCTCATCAAAAGGTCCTTTTTGATCACCCCTTCGGGGTTTGTGAGCAAATTGCGCTCAGAAAGGATCTTGGAACTCTTCTTAGTTGCTTTTATGTACACTAAACTGGCAATTTGATGTAGACAAACCATCTCTAGAGATTGATCTGTTGAAAAATTTCTCATCCTGAGCACAATTTCAATTGTAGAAACGCATTCCTCAATGAATTGTAGGGGAATATAATCTATAGAGACAGACGTGATGTCAATCTCCGTCCTTTTCAGGACATTCCGCGGATTTATGCTTTCCGGTAGACTTCTGCATATTCCGTGCAGTACAATTTCCATTAATCCCAAATATATCAAGTCATTATCTTCCTTAGAAATAACTGCTTCATCATCTGTAGCAATATACATAAGTATATCACAGAGGAAAAGCGTCAATTTCCTCTCGCTTGGCACATTCTCTTCAAACTTTCTTTCGATGTGTTTTTCAAAGAGGCGCACTTTTTCTTCAACTAGATCTCCTTCGCTTTTTACACCTGAAATAATAATTTGTCATATTATAATGATTTCAAGGGCGATTAAGGATATTTTTACCACCATTATCAGCTAGAATTGCTGAATATTCGCTCAATATATCCAGAAATTTACGAGCCATTTTCACACAGAAAAAGCAAAACAAAAACCACGTGGTATTGACACTTCCAGTGACGCTGAATTGCAAACATCACGCTTTCCAATGAATTTCCTTCCAGAGATGCTCAATCATACTCATTTTATCTCACAGCTACTTTTTCAATGATATTGCAGAGAAGATGCCCAAAAATGCTTAAGTAGACAGACAAATGAAAAAGAAAGTCTTTAGTGAGAAGCGAACTTAATCAAATTTATTGAAATTGAGATGAACCACCACGTAGAGCCAAGACAAGATGCAACACAGAACCTCCTTGAACCTTGTAATCTGCCGCTGTTTTGTCATCATTCCTGCCCAGAAGAAGAAGAGATCAGTAAAAATGGCAAAACTCTCGACTAAACTATCAAATAGCACACAGAAGCGAGAGAAAAGTTGAGAAGCAAATTACTTACATTTGTTTTCCGGAAAAGATCAATCTCTGTTGCTGTGGCGGAATTCCTTCCTTTTCCTCAACGCGCTCCTTGATCCTGTCCACCTTGTCTGTGGGCTCTATATCAATTTCAATCTCTTTCCCGGTGAGAGTCTGCAAGAAGACAACTCAGCTAGTGTTCCGGACTTTGATATCAAAGACCTCAATTGCCTCACCTTTACTTTAATCAGCATCTTGAGACCTTCTTGCACGTACTGCAACCACAAATAATACAATATTTACTCGATTTTCTCGGGAAATTCACGGAGAAATCCTTTAAATTCACCTTCAGCGTGACTAAGAAACTCTTTTATTTGACAATCGAGTTGTCAGCACTTTCCAGATCGATTTCCAGTGAAATGCGGAATCCGTTCCCAAACTGTTCTTACGTATATTTAAAAAAAACCACCAAAACCGTAACCACAGTGTAAAAAAATACTGTACGAAACATATTACAAATCCTTGAAAGTCAATCCTTCACCACCCAATCCCGTGAGAATCCACTGAAAATCACTCTTCTCCAGGTCATCCTTCAGTTGACGGAAGTTTTTCATCTCATGAATATTCCAACTCGGCAGGAGAATCATTGCAAATCCGCCTCCACCGGCTCCAGAAAGCTTCGCGTGGAATCCATACTTCTCAGCAATCATGAAGATCTTCTCGAGAGCCGGATGTGACACTCCGAGGGATCTCAACAAATTGTTGTTCATAGAGACGAGATTCTGCAAACAAAACACGGCATTAATTTTTACTTTCATACATGAAAAGAACTCTTCGAACCTCAAGTTTCTGAAAATTTTCAGTATCCGTGATGTGCGTTATGTGCTCCAGAATATCCACGGCGTCCTCCACGAGATGTTTCATAGCCTCAAGAATGCTGTCCACGAGTTTCGGATGTCTGGATCGCAGGTCAGCAACTTTTTCCACCAGCTTCGCAGTGCTGCGTCCAACTCTGGAGTCCACCAATAGGATAGGCAGGGAGCAAGTCAGTTTCACGTCCACCGGAGGCACACCCTTGTAAAATTTCACCACATTCCCGAAAGTACAGATTGTATTATCCAGTCCAGATGGATTGCCATGCATGATTTTCTCCGAGTAAAAGGCCCAAGAAGAGATCTTCTTCTTTATACAATGTTGCTCATCATCACTGAAATTTTTGTAGTCCTCCAGGAAGCTCGGCTTTTCCAAAATCCTGCAAATCAAGGGAAATTCTTTAAACACCCTTCTTTCTAACTGGTTTTTTTTTGTTGTAAATACCTGACCAAAAGACAAAATGCTGCCGCTAGACAAACTCCAAAGCTCGCAGAACTTCCCAAACCAGCCCCAATGCTCATCTCTGTTTTTAAATCAATGCTGAATCCATTCTGCAAACTTTTAATATTCCCCTCAATTAGAATTCCCATCAAGAGGTAGACAAAGGCTGAGAGAGAATCCAGTTCTCTCCCATTCAAAGCCTCTTTTCTGGCCAGTTTCACATTCTCTTCAACAAATTGACGCACTTCACCCATGAACACATCATGGTTGAGCTCATCAGGAAGCTTCAAGGCGCTGTACTTTCTTTCACAATTGGCCAGAAATTTGTTGACAAGATCCAGAGGAATAGAGACAGAATCTAAGCCGATTTTCGGAAAGGAAATAATCACAAGATGGGCATTGTTTTCCTGAAATGAAAACAATTGAAGGCATCAACAAAAGGCAATCATGTGTGAATGGTGTGAATAGAAGTATTTTGAAAAGCATTAGATTCAATAAAATAACGAGAATTTACCTCGAATATGAGCGTATTCCTGACTTGCACCACTCCTGCCACTGCTGGTTTCCCATAAACTACTGAATGCTCTCCGTGCAGGATCACCTTTCCTGGAGCGGAGACCTCGAATTTAACCATTCTTCCGAAGATAAAGACAATTTGGGAACCGCTGGGCCTTTATTCACACACTACTGCTTAGCTTCAGTCCACTGTGCTGGCGTGTAAGTCTTCTGGGAGAAAGCATGAATTGTCTTGAGCTCCTCCGCCAGAGCGCTGTTCACCAATCGATGCCTTTGAAGATGGGATTTCCCTTCAAACAATGGAGAAACTACAATCGCGCTGAACTTTCCCCCACATCCGTCAGATTCGTCCACGACTTCCTGCAACAGAGAAATTCACGTATAAACTTTCAGGAATTTTGATGTACAGTTGCAGTCAGATTAAAAGGCAGGAAGTAATTCAGGAGTGGCATGTATTTACTTATGAAACAATTGAATTAAGTTGAAATACAGGAAGAATGCCATAAAATGTACACCGCTGTAAGCTGATATCAGGTAAGGAAAGAGGTAAGGCAGATTTTCCGGTGCTTTGATGAATTCTTGTCCTATCAAGAGTGCTATTTGTCCGGCAAGTGATAAATAGAAACCCCAAATGGTTAAAGTGTCTCTCCAACTAGTTTTCTTGTGTTGGTTAAACTGCCTCAGGTGGAAGAAATCCAGTGTACTCTTGTCGCTCTTTGATCCCAACAGATGATATAGCCTAATGCTGAGGAGAAAGATGCCTTGGAGGCCCAGGAAGGCAGTATAGAGACCGTCTTTCTGCAGCAAAGGCATCATGCTGAAGGTGGCAATATTCAGGAACCAAAAGCAAACGATTGGATCCAGAGGAAACGTCAGAATAACAGGCACTGTGACCAGAAGAATGGATTTCTCGTGGACTTGAAACGAGAAGAGGAAGAATCCCAGTGATGAGTTGATCAGCGAGAGCAGAAAGTTTCTCTTTGTGGGACTGAAGAAGGGATGAATGCAGCTGGGCAAGACAGAAGCCATCGTTGTGCTGAGACAGTAGAGAGCCATTTTCTCCTTGGGAATTGCATCCCTGAAAAGAATTTCCGCTTAGACCAACATTGGCGAAAGAATATAAAATGCCAGATACTCACTTAAATTTGAAGATTGCGTTGAAAGTGCACCAGAAATTGGCCACTTTATCCTCAAACAGTCCTCTATTGAACGGGAAAATTCTTTTCACCACTTGTTGCAAATCCTCGAAATCGCCGAGCCAGGGAAGCCACAAGATAGCAAATGTCATCATAACAACTCCTCCAATACCTAGAAGTCTCTTAAGAGCTCCTCCACAGCCAATCTTGTTCCTCTGGCCAGGCAGACACTTCGCCAGGAGGAGAAAGAAGAAAGGCAGAGCATGATAAAGAGACATTTGCTTGTAGTTCAGCGCTAAGGTGAAGAGAAGCGAGGCCAGGAAGAGGTGATCGTGCAGGAGAGACGCAATTGCCCATATTGTGAGTCCCAGAGAGATGTTATTGTACTGAAAGTGGCCGTTGTCTATCAGAATTTGTCCTGGGAAGCTCATAGCAAGCAACAAGTGCAGAATTTTCCAACTGGCCGGCGCCTTTTCTATCCGGATCTGCTTCCACACGGCGGAGCAGCCCCAAAAGACGGCCGGGAGATAGATTAGCAGGTCAGCCAGGAAGACACTGAGTCTCATGAAGAGTTTGTGAGCATCACTGGTGATTCCTCTTGATGTTCTCAACTGTACAAAGGCGGGATCTATCAACTGAGCAACCTTTCCGCATGCCCAGCTGTGATAGGCAGTCAAGGGTGGATAGTCCAGACCCCAGTAGAGCAGATCATTGTCCGTGGAGTTCCTGTACCACTCCTTCACCGGAAGATTTGTTGTAATTTCCTGCCAGTGACGCTGAGCCTCGAAATCTCCATACATCGGAGGCTTCCCAGCACCGGAGTAAGAGTGTAGAGACACTGTGGCTCTGAGGAAGGCCCCAAATCCCACGATACACATCACAACAGCCCACTTTTGATTCATCTTTGACCTCTGCTCTGACCAGAACACCCGGACTGGAAGTCAAAAACGCGATACGTCATCAAGGGTCACTTACCACGTGAATCGCTTCTAATTTTTCAGTAAGTTTTTGCTTTAGATAATCTTCAGTATACGTTGTCATTGTGCACCCCAAATACCACAGCGAAACAGGTGAAAATATGGAGAAAATGTGCAAGACTTACGGCAGAACAAGCCCTCAGAGAACCTTCGCGATACTTTCCAAGAAACTTCCACTCGGCACTTCCATTTCGCTTTCCAGATGTCATTGGATACAAAACATAAACATTGCGCATAAATTTGTAAATGCCGTATTTTCTCAATTTTATCTTGTAATTTAAGTTGTGACTGTGAATATGAGCAACAAAGAAGCAAATTTAACAAACGTGACACTTGATAAACATTCAGGATTATGCAAATTGAAGAAACGCTGGAATCGCATTGAGTCTTCATCTTCGGGGCGGGAAAGTGACGAAAGTGAGGTTATAGGATCCTCACAAGACTTCCAGCCACTTACAGCATCTGCCAGGAAGTTGGTAGCGAACATCTCCAGGCACGCAATACCCAAACGAGCAAAACAGTCTGGCAAGGAGTCTTCAGACAGTGACTTAGATGATCTTCTTGAGAACCCTGTGAAGACACAAACAAAAGATTCTGGGAGCTGTTCCCGAGGACAGAAGAGAATGTCTCGTCTTGATATTCTTTACACGAGCAGTTCAGAGAATAAATTCACCTTCAAGAAGAGGCGACTGGCATTGAAAGATGCTGAAGAAGACGGGAGAGGACGGAGAGGACCTAGACAGAAACTGGTTTATGATGACAACCATGAAGACACCCAGAAACACCTGCAATCCTTGATAGAAAACGACAGTTCAGATTCTAATGATGGAAATGCCAAGCAAAGTCCAGAAGAGAAGAAGAAGTTTATAAAAACTCCCTCAACGACCATCGATTGGAATGAATCTTTGGAAGAATCTAATCCTGAACAGACTATAGTCTTCTCAGAGGAGTCGGTGAAAACGCCAATCAACTATACGAGGATTACAGCTGACGAAATCAGCGAATACTTTGGATTAAAATACATCAACTGCACCATCGATGGAAGAAAGAGCATTGTTCTCTTGAGACCTCGCCAGGAAGACGTGAGAAAGAATCAAACGCTGGATGTTGAACTCTCGGAGAAACAAATTAGGATGTCAGATTGCCCTGTTTATCTGGTAGATAAGTACAGGATAATAATAAAGTAAAAACAAGGTAAAATTTTTCATTCAAAAATTTATATTATACTTATTCTTCTCAAACCTGAAAATCATGATAACGTGCGTCTTCTTCCATGGACCGAAAATTTTAAATCCTAATCTAATGCCTAAATATGCATGTATTTCATATTTTTCTGGCATTTGGACGAGTATGAGTTTTTATTTTCCATACCAAAAAGAACGATAGTAGAATATTGTGATTTATTCGTTCTAAAGTGGCCTTAGAGAAGCATTCTCCATTCTCCTCTACTAGGAAAATAGATTGGATGGAATAATGACATCCGTTTGATTGGTGAAAAGGAAGCTTTTAAATTTGTGAAAAACGATATACGATATGAAACTCAACAAGGAAAATATGCATATAGGCAACATTGGCAATCATGAGGTTTCCCATTTCCAGAAATGATGAGGACTACGATAAAGGCCATGAAGTCATTTTTGCAAGCTTGCACTGTTGAAAACATTTTGCAAAACTTCTATGGAATGGAACGAATTTAATAAAATCTCTACTTTATTTGATACGTCTGATTTTGGTACAATTTAAAGCGGAGATAAGCTTCTGAGTAATTGTCACTTTTACAGAAGACTTATTTACTGGAAAACATCACTAACGTCTATTAACTCAAGTGGTGGCGTGTTTGATTTTGCGCTTAGCAAAAGATACTCATATTATGCCATCTCACATGGAGGGGAATGAACTTAAGGTCACAATTTCTTCCAGTGTGACTTGTCATGAATTCATCAGAGTGGAATTCGATGGACAACAGAATGTGGGTTTTGAAAGACCCTATAAAGAGGAAACCATATAGTGAATTCCTTTTGATCTGTCACCCTGGCATTTCCATTCAATTTCACATGACTCTTTGTGACCAAAAGAATATCCATTAATAACATTTAACGTAAAAATTACATTCGTCGATTGTCTCTCAGCAGGAAAGCTCCGGGGCGTTTGAGAAGCAATTTCTCTCTGAGTTTTTGCATGCTTTTCAAGCCTTGTGTGCGTTTCTCATAAAGCTTTTTGTCTCAGCAGTGGCAAAGAGACAAAAAGCAATGTTTGTTTGTAGAGAGAAATAACTCTTACCTTTCATCAGGAGGGCAATATTTTCTATTCATTTTCTCTACGACCTCTCACGCTGCTTTTGTGCGTCTTTGCACTGTTCCATTGCATTAGAATTTTCTAATGTAAAAGACGTGGAATTTCTCCATAATATTCTATGCCAAAGCTATGGATTGACTATACAACGGAATAAATTAAGAATAACGTACATTTTGCTTATTATTTTCACACCTGTTTGGAAAATCTCTCTTAAATTTCACACGACAAACTTTTATGGTATTCCAGGGCTCCTGTCGCAAAGTATTCAAAGCCAGAAGAGTGAGTAAATTAAGGAAATTGCTAACAAGTCTGCATGTGAAGTTTGTATATATAGAATTCAATATTAAATTCTTTAACTTTGGATGTTTAGAAATTTCCATGTCTCCCGCTGAAAAGTCAATTTTCCACTAGATTGTGTGTCTGGCTCGTCATTTCTTCTTCGCAATTGATTGAAATGATAATAGAGGGACAAACGTCGTTGTAATTTCATTGTCGTTTTGTGCGTAATTCACATTCTTCTTGTATAATTTCTTGGTGGGTGAAAGATTATGTAATTCTTCTTATTTTCACTTCCTTTCTTTTCTTCAACAGAAAATGTGAAGAGTGTTCATATTCACCAATTACTTCTACGCTTTTGAACAATTTCAGCTATGATTCATTTTATTCTTAATTGATTCACACATCAGTGAAGATATTGGGAAATTAGTAAAAATGAGCAAATTTGTCTCATAAGAAACTCATGATAATACCTTCATTGATGTGGGTTTTCAGGTATGGCAATGGCCTGGTAAAAGCGAAAATATAGTTTAACCTCATGCGAATTGAAACTGAATCACGGGCGAAGATCAAAAGCAATCGTGCAAAGTGATGGGGCAATTAATTAAAATGGCATAGAGGGACAAAGACGGGTTGAGAATGAAAATGTGGCCAATGTGGCACTCAGTGTCCATCAGCAGAGTGAACTTCCCTATATTCATATTCCCTTGGCAACGGATAACATCTCTGTTGCGAGAGTTGATATTTCCGCTCGAGGGTATCGATGTGGTATTTGGCTGAATTGTCATGCTCTATTTTCACCTTGAGGGGTGGGAAAATACCCCTCTCTTCATTCCTGACAAATATACGTAAAATATGCGGAAGAAAGTTTATCTGTGACAGTCTCCCAAAGAGAGGCAATTTATCGCTTGTTGAAGACCTATAAACTCTGGGCCTTCCAAAGATATCCGTATATTTAAATTCCCTTAGCCACCTTTTCGACATTATTTTTCCACCCTCGTCGATTTTCCAAGCCCTTATCCGGCAATTTTCCACCAGTTTTCACGAGTCATTTGTATATTTGATATTTGGTATCTTCCGCTCTCTTTTGAATTGAGTACTAAAACTACAAAATTATGTACACAATTTTACAGTTGGGAACTCACATAAAAGTGCTGTGTTCATAAATCACACCCTGAGAGGATTTTATTGCACTTTTATCACCTCCGCGACTCCATGAAAAGTGATTTTCCGCTATTTACCAGTTTAGGGATATGGGATAAATTGCTTTCAATGCGAACCACTAAATCACAATGGAGCAAATTTGTCTGTATTAAAATCACCAGTAAAACCTCTCTTCTAATAATTTCATAGTTTGTTCTAAATTGTAGCACTTTAAAACTAACTAACTAACTCTTTTGAAACTAAAGAAAATTTACTGTTTTGGAATAGGTCGAATTTAGTGCTTGATAAGAGTTAATTTTTCCAAATGCATCGACATAAAGCCAGAGAGCATGGGAGTCACGATAAAAGTCATCTAAGAACAAAAGGTTTATGTCTAATTATTTGCCACGCTACTAGAGGATCACCTCGTAAAAAGTATTTTATTTACTTCGAAGGACTCAGCAAATACCCACAAAACAGAAAATGTATTTGCGGAAAAGCTTTCATTCCATGCTTTAATGCATCGACTTGTTGTATGGTGCCATCATTTGAGTTTCTCTCGTAATTCTCGTCTACAATAAATAGGACGAGAAGCTCTGAAAGAGGATTGAGGACAATGAAGTCAAGTTCATGGAAGAAAAATCAATACCGTGTGAAATCTTAAAATGTAGTGACATTGAATAAGAAACGTCTGACTTTTAATCACAATTTGCAAAATGTTGGAGTAGGTATGTTGAAAATGAATTCACTGTGAGCACTTTCGTGGTTTTTTTCTGGTTGTCAACGTGTCAGAATGTGAAGCTCTTTTGAATGAGGATTACGAGATTTTCAGGCATGATGTTAGGCCGAGGCATACTTGGTTCTCTCGCTTTCTGAGGCAGAACAGAGTCTCAGCTGGAAAGCAAATTCTATCTCTAGTGATTGGACAAAACAAATGGTATTGAAGTAGTCTTTGGAAAGCCTAATCCTCGTATTTCTTTCTGGCGAAATTCTTCGCCGCCTTATGAAGATTAATTGATTAGAATATTGTGTGTTTTCATATATGTAGGCTGATGAGGTCTAAGTTAAATGCTTTTCTCTCTTATACTCAGATTTCATGGCCTATTGATGTTGTCAAGTCAAACCAATACCTACTTAAATTCTCTTTACTTTTCTGAGATGAAACACAGAAGACTCCATCCAATTTCCTTTCATGATCCTTTTTACACATTCCCGCAATCAGTAGAGGTTTCATTGGGTTTCATTCAATATATATGTGTGTGTTTTTTTTGTAGTCTCATGCTTGCCAATTGCTAAAGAAATAAATCATTCAGTTCCTTTGATATGGAAATGCAATGTTGGAAAGAATATCTGTACAGATTGAGTTTGAGATAAGAAAGAAACTTTTCAAAGTGAAATTATATGAATTCCTGTACGCAGACTATTGACAAAAACCTATGATAAAATCAGGGAAATAATCAAAAGGGCACATGACGATGAAATTGCCTAATTTGTTCAATTACCATCTTTCCACCTGCGTCAATTAAGAGGACCAAATTGCCGGAAGGCACCAAATGGCGGGGAAAACTCACTTTAGCGATACTCCCTTGAGGGCTTCATGAGCTGTATTCAATTATTATAATCTCTTCCGCTGTATGACAGGCTATATTTGAATCTTCCCATTCTCACCCTTGCAACCAACTCCTTGGGCGTATATATGGAAAAGCGTTTGCAGGTGACTGTCAACTCATGTTTGTTAACCTGAAGGCAGAACAAACAGAATCAGGTGTTGCCTTCCAAAGTAAATCACCCACACCCCTCTTTCGAGAAGCAATAATGAAAATAATTACCTTCATGGCTTCTCAAAGTTACTTTCAAAGAGGAGTTTTCTTGGAACGTTCTTAGTGCTATAAACAGCAGTTAAATTGCATTTTGAGGTCACTTTAAGATCTAGCAAAAAAGCACAAAAGCACTTTGCCATATGCGCCCTTTCTTGCCCCCTTTGAACCCACTTACGAGATGTGTTGGGGCCAAATTAAAGTGCAATTATGCAAATGCGAAAACAAAACAACCCACCAAACTCCTAGATCATTCTCTCATTGCGCTCCATGGGTTAAACAGGCTCTCAGATAGTCTCAATGTCTAACGAAATTGTAGTTGTGCGGTGGAGGAAGTTTTCTCATTTCGCAACTCAACTGCAATTTCTCAACTTTCACGGTGCATTGGATGGAGAACATGGGATTTATTTAGTGCGGAGGAACACCTCCTGCCGTCCGGTGTCTGATTATCGCAATTTCCCATTTATTCGACAAGATGTCTGAGGATGGACGATTTTAAGGAACCATCCTGTCAACGCCATGTGTTACATGATTTATTAAAAATATGGTTATAAATTGTGAGACGTAATCTGTATCGATTTTATTGCTTTCACTTCATTTTCAATCTCTCGCAAGAATATGTTATTTCCTTCAAATTATTCGAATCAAGATACTGGTTAATTGAAAAGAGTATTAAAAGTCTTTTGTCTACTAAATATTTGTTTGATGTGAAGAAATTAACTATACGTTGAGATAGAGGAACTTCAGTACACGACAGTGTTTCCAATCCGCTTTCGTGTAAATTTTCTTTTACTGCGGAAACATTTAATTAGGTTCATTTAGATTAGATATTCCCTTAAAGGCGATAATATATATATTACAAGAACTTTTGCGAATACTGAAAATTTACGGAATTTGGTTGCAATAGAGTTAAGAAATCTACAATATCCATGGTAATGGGAAATGCAAAAAGATATAAATATATTAGACATATGACTTGAAGCTCTCTTGGAATGCCATTTTCATACCAGCAGGCGTCTCCATTTCTGTCTGCCATCAAACACAGAAATTTAGCATTTGAAAGAGAGCACGCCATGACTCGTATTTTCCTTCAGTTTCACATCCGGGAATATGTAAAACGTGTGTTAAGGCATTTTTAGCGAATTCCCCGCCTTTCAGCCATTGAAGGTCGATTTATTCGAGAGTGACGGAGAGCACGGCACACATCCTTCGACTGTAAATGATTCGAGAGGCAACCAAACAATGACAGTGAGGGCTTGTTTAAACGCCCACAGGGCGGCCAAAACCACAGCAAAATATTTAGCAGGATGCGGTATCTACGAGTACATTGTCAGAAATTGTGTGGGTGGCAGAAAGCAATCCTTTCGGCACGGCATCTCCCATTTTCCATCAGTACAAGTTAAACTTTGAAATTATGTGTTTGTAGAAGGACGAGGAGTGTCGACAGTGATTCATAATAGATTGTGAATACCGTTTAAATCATGGTGCAAGCAAAAGGTCTAAATATATTAGCTCTTGTCAGGATAACTCAACGTACAAATAGAGCTTTATGCTACTGAGGAATAACAAAATAACCGCCAGCTTAAGTTCATTAAGCTAAAGTTCATCAGAGAAATAGCAAAATTAGCGAGAAACTTTACTGAAAATCAAATTATTATTCCAACAACACTGTGAAAAAATCATGTTTACAACGGAATTAAAATAAGTAACATTGGCGTAAGCCACAATGTTTCAAACTGCTGTGGTTCGCCTTCTATATTGTGTTTCCGGGAAAAATTTTCTTGCCTCTGTTATGGTGAGTTTCTCTAGTGGAAAATGCTGCAAAATATGACTCTTCTCTCAAGGTTCCTTTACAGTCTTATTCGCAGTGCTTTGGCGAATCTCACGCTCTTCCATTGTTCACTTGTTTTCAAAAGTTCACTTGTTAAATGCAGCTTAAAGTATTTCCAACTTCTTGCCAAAAGCCCTTCTGTGAACATATCTCATGTGGGAAAAGGATGAAAATCATCGTTGAAGTCGGACAAACTACTCTTGGAAAGT